AATAGAGAAGATATTTCTAAAATAACTGCGTACATTTTTGCTAATCAACGTTGTTGAACCGCACATTCCTAATCTAAGCATGTGACGACTTACTATATATAGCTTCAACACAAAGACAGCAGCCCTTTTTCTTTTGATAACTTCATCTTTTTAACAGTAACAGGCCCGACTCTGTACACTTGCATGTAACATTAGACTGCAGTAACTCTGATAAGAATTAATGATATAATTTGCAACTTGCCCTGAAGTCTGTTTTATTTTTTGCTATCATACATTTTTATTCTCTTACTTTCAAAATTTTCCTTCACCAATCCTCAGCGCTTGTTGCCCCAAAAAAAATCAGCTGCCTTGGACCATGACCCTTCAAGTCCCTCTATAAATCCAGCCCAATTCCATGAAGATCCAATTTTTTGATAATCATACATACATAGTCATTTTGGTTGAATGCCTCGGTTTCTGTATGATAATAAACATTATAATTTTTTGACCCATATTTGTCAAGGAAGCGTTTTATTTAACCGACAAGTTTTCCATTCGGCCAGAGACAACCGATGTACACACCTATGCATTAAAACTCAAATGCTGGGCGGAGACACTAAAAGCAACCGCTTTTAGGGTTTTTTATTTAACCGACAAGTTTTCCATTCAGCCAGAGACAACCGATGTACACACCTATGCATTAAAACTCAAATGCTGGGCGGAGACCCTAAAAGCAACACAACCAAGAACAAGTACAAATGTGAGTTACATTCAAAAAGACCTCTTCACTACAGAACAGGTTTTTATTCGTACGGATGCTCACCGCTCACCACTACAACCTCCATACGAGGGACCCTATACAGTGGTAGAACGACACCCAAAATATTTCGTCATTGACAAAAAGGGGCATAGGGACACGGTGGCAATAGACCGCCTCAAACCCGCATACTCACCGGCACCATCAATACCGTCATCCATGCCCCATGCCAACGACCACAGCGCTGACACCACCTTCTACAACACCTTCAGCAAAATTAATTCCGTCGTCGAACGACACATCAGCATCAACAAAAACGTCAAGGCTATCTCCATCAACGGACGAGGACATGTCAACAACAGAAACATCTACGTCGACACAAACACACCCAAATCGATCCATCGACACCAACATTCCATCACCCCGGAGAACCACAAGATCGGGAAGAACAGTTCACCTCCCATCTCGATATCTTGATTAGCATCGATCAACAGCTTGCGCTGATGATCTGGTAGGGGAATATTGTTGAACCGCACATCCCTAATCTAAGCATGTGACGACTTACTATATATAGCTTCAACACAAAGACAACAGCCCTTTTTCTTGTGACATTTTACGATCGAACTTCTCTTTGTCTAATTGCATTGCCGAACACGTTTTCATTTATTTTGTATTGCGCAAATAAATACGTTATAAACATTCTTACTTGTTGTTTCTTATATCTAAAGAAACTCGCAACAACGTCAACTTATCTTAGATACCCTAAGTTCACACTATATTGCGTCACAAATCTCAGAGTTCAGAGATCATTTTAATAAACGACAATATTTTACTTTGGTACCTCCATTGCAGTTAGTATTATAATTTATGATTAGTTGGAGTTGCGTTACTGTTTGTGAAAAATCGTCTAAATCATCTCAGGCTTCAAAGGCCGCAGTGAGAGTACCGTAAATAAAATATTATTAGTTTAACATTGTGCTGACTCCAGTTAATTAAGCTTTGATAGCATCATAAACAACAACATAAATAAAATAAATAAAAATAGGTTTGGTTGGTTGGGTTAAGTTTTGTTATCATTGATTTCAATTCATCGTTGAGCAAAGATCAAGTCCGGATTATATGTTGTGTTACATATTTATCGAAGACCGATTTCTTAACTGTTATAGTTTTTTAATTGTTTTTTTTCACACTTATTTTATTTGAATCTTTGATCAAGTTTAATAGATTTTTTACGTTTAGAAAATCGTTTGCATGTTGTTACTTGTTAAGAATTTGGTTTATTTTTTTTTAGTTTGTCTGCTGATTTTGTTAGAATAAGCAGCCCGTAGGAGGTTATTTATTCTTAAATAGATGTCACGTTGGTGTGTTGTGGTAGATAGTTTAGTGTGGCCCAATCTTAAAATAAACAGTGGTGCGGCAACGTCATCAGGATATTAAAAATTGAAATTCTCGATTAATGCGTTCCACTTTCGTTAAAAAAATCAATTTGAAAAGGCAAATGAGAGTTCAACATGATATTTTTTAAATTAAATTAATTTAAGTAAATTTAACGAATGATTATTTTGATATTAGTTAATGAGGAACATCTCATGGTAATATTCATCCGATGTTTGGCACTAGGTTGACCGTTTTTCCATCCTCTGCCAGGTACAATCTCACTCGGTCGCTTCGCAAGTCGTCAGTTGACCCCTCTCCATACCCAATCACCTCCACCTAGATAAAATCCAAACATGAATATTATTAATAAAATGTGTTTAACAAACTAACTTTATATATATTGAAATGTGTTTATTTAATAATCCTGCACTTAAAGTTTGAAATACATATATGAAAAGAAATTTTAACATTTCAATGTCACTTGACTATCAATATGAAAATTAATAAAAAAAAAATGAACAGAGCAAAGCTGTCAACTAACGCGAAGATGAGGATAATTTGCTTGCAAAAATTCTCGAGCTTCTTCAACCGGCTGGTTTAATGAGCATTTTTCAATACGGTTAATTATATGGGATGATAATATTTCTCGAAAATATCAAATTTTAGTTTATTAAATGGAACATGTACATGTACAGTGGCGGATCTAGGGTGGGGGGCTCGGGGTAAAAAAAAGGTTGCCAGTCTAATTTTGCCACACTACTCCAAAACATAAACATTTCCAAAATTGTAATCCCTTCTCCGTCATAGTTGTTTAGATCCGCCACTGTATATATCTATCACCATACAGAATGTAATGTGTGATTTGTATGGGCATATGTTGGGAGTGAAAAACGCTGCAGGCAACTCACTTTTCCTTTCAGCTCAGGCCATTCCTTCCAGTCAAAACTTCGGGGTTGATGAAGGAGATAGTAAAAAATAAAACATTGTAAAGACGATCCATGCAAAGTGGACCACGAAAAAAATATTTGTCATTTTTAGAAAATAATTTTTTACTAACTGGGCGTGAACAACGTAAAAGAGAGCCAGGCAAACGAAGATGACTTTCATGTTCACCGCTTCAAGTTCACAGCTGTCAATAAAGAATCTATTCTATTCCAAACTTATTTAGGACTATTGGTTGAAATAAATTGTGGGTCGGCAAAAAACTCACTGGTACACCTCTATCTATAACAATAATTTGTTCACCGTAAAAAGCATGCATCAGACAAACTCACAATTGCGCGCCTATAAATATAACACACACTCACACACATACATATATATAATACATAAAATTATATATATATATATATATATAATTTTTAATTTTAACTTTTTATTTATGTTGATTATGCCATGATATTTTTTTTGATAGCGCTTTTGAGATCCTTTGAATTAACGCTTTATTAAATTTTTTATTAATAATAATAATAATAATATATATATAGCTTCACATATATATATCAAGTTTTTTTGTACAGAAAAGTGAACTAAATTTGTAAGGTATTATATGTGTATATATACAATCAAACACGGACACACATACACACACGTATATATATATATATATATATATATATATATATTATGGTTGTTAAGAGGTAAATATCAACGCTCAGCCGAGAAGCCGATACTGTTATATATATATATATATATATATATATATATATATAACAGTATCGTTTATAACGTTTTGTAGCAGAAAGCTGTTGAAGTGCAAAGCTTACAAATAGTCCATTTTTCAGTTAAAAAAATATGGGTGAACATTTGTTGAGTACTTGTCCAACATGAAAAATAAGACCAAACAGGAATCATGCGAACAGATTCTAAGAATGCCGAAAGATTGAAACGAAAATGCTCACCTTCACAGGATTCCTACGATGTTATATGTTAAATTGTTTTAAACAATTATATAAAAGCAAATGCAATTAAACTATTTAAATTTACAAAACAGTACATTTCCTATGAGTAAAACCATACTAATGACGAACAAGCAATTTTTCAAAGTGCTCAAGAACACTAGTTATTGATTTTGATTTCAACACCTTGCAGCACATAGGTTTCAAAGATAATTCTGTCTATAAATTAAAAAACAGCTTTCATAAATTTGAGAACATTCAACAAGACAGGATTTAAGAGTCTGTGATTTAAGAGACGCATTGAAAATAACAGCCAACCAACCAACCAACCGAATCAGCTATCGAACATTTTTTTAATCCATTTTATTCACATTATTCATTTTATCCATTTTTATTCGGTCGAAATTTAAAGTTTGGTTTGGCCATTGCTAAAAGCCGAATAGAACAACTTTCAATTCAGCCATCATTTATTTTACTTTCATAACAATGATTGTGAAAAAGTTATTTCGCCTATTTTAGATGTAAGACACAATAAACAAGAGACTGATTTTTTTCGATAACAAATTGTTGGATAGAAATGAATTGCATACTTCTTGGTGGAGAATTCATCAAAAACAATTAGAGTTACCAACATTGTCTCTAAGCAACATCTTGCTTTATTACAAAAACAGAGAAAAACGAGCAAACAACGCAGAAAAGTTTCCTCACGGACAGGATGAAAATACTTCACTCACAACTTTTGCATTATCCAAAACACACACACACACACACACACACACACACACACACACACACACACACACACACACACACACACACACACACACACACACACACACACACACAATTGATTCAGTTTTCTTCTTGTTTCCAACAATCGTAACAAAACTTATTTTAAAAATTATAATGAGTCAGGATGTTCTCGCGCTGCTACGTGATTCTTCATATTTATAAATAAACATAAGATAACATCTCCGAAAAACAGAATTTTATTTATTTACCAAATTTATATTTTTAATATATGAATATATATTTATATGTAGGAGATACACCATAGAGAACAAAGGGTATGTATGATACAATTGTATTTATAGTCATAAAGTTTGTTAACGTTGTTATAGAATGGAAGCCCACTATCGTACATGAGAAGATTAATATAGCGTACAAATTAGACAATGTACATCAAAAATATGCTTAATTATATAAGTCTGTCTAAAGATAAAGCAAAAATCAATAAATACACATGCATGTACAAATAACTGACATAACGATCATTTTTTATAAGAACACATCGTGCTAACATCTACTTATATTTCGTTGTTTCTTTTATATCACACATACACACGTTAAAATCATAAAAAACGTATATGCATATAATGAAGGAAACGAATTTAATTAAAAGCGCAATTTATATAGCGCTTTCAATCAGATCCTCCAACAAATCCTTCGTAATGAAGAGCACTGAAGACCGTTCATTCTCCAACTCCAACATCATCATCATCCAACTTTTTCAACTCAGCATTCTTTTACAATATTAATCAATTAAATGGGGAACGTTACGTAGATATAATATCAACTGGGAAGGTAAAATGTTAATAAAATTTCTTTTAACTTTTCAATTTATATATATATATATATATATATATATATATATATATATATATATATATATATATATATTGATATACGTAACTAAATAAAAAAAATAAAATAAAAACACACAATGAGAAAAATAAATGTAGAAATGTTAAACTACAAAGCAGTTGAACTTCACTTGAAGCAATTGATGCTAACAAAGTTTTCAAAATGATCATCTATCTTAGCATAAGATTTGTGAACTTCAAACCAGTAGATGTTCATACGAGGGAGAATTCATTTCAATCAGACGTCCATGTTGTCCACCAAGGGATTTTTCGGCTTGGTGAGATTTTGAGAAAATAATGTTGATAATTAGGGAGATAAGGAAAGAAAGATAATGACTACTAGCGTGTAATAAAGGGGGTAGACTGGTTACCTTTTTGATGAGTGAAATCATAGTTTTCTTCAATCGTTGAACCGGTGTTATTGGGATGTCGTAAGCTAGACTGCTCTCTACCGGCTTGTGAAACATTAAATAATTATGAAATATTTAAAATAAACCTGACTTGTTACAATGATTGTCTTAACAAATTAATTAATCATCATCGAAGTCTTAGCAAATACGTTACGAACAGTTAGGCTCCGATCTATCCATATAATGATCACTAAATTAAAAACACAGCTAACGTAGCAAGTTTTTAAAGTGGCCATACTTTTTTAGGAATGGAATCATCTGAGCTGTTGGTCAAGGTACTGACGTCGTGGTCCCCAGATGGTCCATTGTAATAATATAAAGGGGCGGGCGAGTTGCCGGATTCTATGAGGGGCTGCATCCGCTGCATGCGAAGTTTCTTGCTGTCGTTGCTGCTCTGCTTCAAATTCTGTATTTTTTAAAAATTGAGAATAAAAATCAGAAATTGACGTTCTAAAAGAAAAATGAATAAAATAGAATGAAAACACGACGTTGCATTTGTCCACATCATAATAAGGAGTAATAGTATGTGCATATATATAAAAGCAACAATGACAAGTCCCGAATTTTATTTCGCTGCCATACACCAACGCCTCAACTGCACAGTCACTCTCTTCCGACATGTCTTTCAGACAGCGAATGAACGGTATTCAAACGTCGCAGATCATTCAACCTATCAATCATTACATTACTGCATTCTGTTTAACCTTTGTTACGCGTGATTTCATAATCTGTGGTACGTTAACCATACAATCTAACCCTAACCCTATCAGCGTACATTCCATCTTCTCTACTCTCTCATTTCATTGTACCATTCCTTCTCCACCAACCCACCCACATCACTTTGGTCTTACGTCAACTCTCCTATCTCCCATCTTGTTGAACAATCAATAATGTTCTTACTTTCCTTCTGTCTTCATATTTAATGTTCAAGTCATCTACATCCAACATTTCCCTAGAAACGTTACCACCCCTAGTCCTCCTTAACTTAATTATTTCATCCTGCCTGACAGCAAGTTTCAAGTCTGAACTTTCTATTGCACAACCTAAAAACTCAACAACCATTTTTTACATTATTTCTTTTCACTAGCAATCCTCACTCATCATACATGCACATAACAGTGACCTGCCCATCGTTGCTACATCACACATGCTTTTTTAAACCTCTTCTTTTACTTAACACATATGCGGTTAGATTGCAGAGTAAAGACAAACAAGCGATGGAGGGACTGGAGAAAGAAGCTGGAAATGATGGGATAACCTAGGATCACCACGGTGCAGGATCTACGTTGGAATGGGGCGATGCTACAGTTCAAGTGCTGCAGTCTATCTAGTTGAAGTATTTGCTTTCCCACATTTCTAAACAAATTTGAATGCATAACAATCGACGACCACCAGTTTCAATAGCAATGCATCAAAGCGTAACTTGACAAAATAAACCAGCACATATAACAACACAACCACCACCACCACTACCGCCACCACCACATAGTTCCCACCTCCTTCTTCATCTTGAGACTACGAAATATTTTCTTGCCCGATCCACTCAACGAGCTTTTGTGGGATCGCTTGCCAGGCGACTGCGATGTGGTTAGTGGAGCAATTATTTTAATTGGAATTATCATCATTACTCATTTTATTCCCAATCAATAACTAACATTACAAATTGATATCAAACGAAATTGTCGACATTATTTCAAGTAAGAAAATTATTATTATAAAGTAAATGAATTCTTTATTTCATTGAAAACGAAAAAACATTTAAAAAAAACTAAAGGACAAATCAAAACTGACTATCGTACAAAAATAAAAAGTTCTGCAAAAATCACAATTAGAAGTAGAGGCCTGACAAACAGCACACAACAGCACGATCCAATGCATATTGACAGCAACCAAATTAATACATATAATACTAATAATATTAAAACAAGGACGAGGTCGAGCATTAACACACTTTTATATTTTTATTGTATACGTCATCATCTCCTCTCTGCACATCCCTATCACTGCTGTACATGTCAACGCCGGAGAGGGTGCGCCTCGTCTCTGACCGGTGACGATTATCTTCCTCCCTCACCCTTCTGAAATTCGACAACATCGGATCTCTATTCTCGTCGTTACGATGGTGCACGAACTGCTGAGCACCTCTGCTATCGTTGTTGCTGGGATTATTTGACGAGGCCACCGAAGGTCGTCTCAACTCATCCTCTGGGACTGGCACGGGCAGCTCCTCGAGTGGGTACGTTGACTTGAGGTGTGGCAGGCACAACGTGTTTCTTCTCTTCAACTCGTCCACCCTGTTCTCGTCAGGTGTCTCTGGAATGTTATTGAGTACAAAAGTCCCACGACGAGCGTTCGAAAGACTGCTGCTACTGCCTCCCAACGACAGTCGACTACTTGAAGAGAATGCGAAACTGTTATCGTCGATGCTGCCGTGAGACCGTTGTCCATCCTGCGTTTGTTGTGGTAGAGATGATAATGTAGCAGATCTCTGGCTGGTTGATGACAAACGACGTGATGGTTCTACAGTGCTGTGTAACCTGCCACTGGTGAAGTTACTGCCCGGGGAGGGTATGTTGTGCAGAGACCTGGTCATCTTATTTTGTTGTTGCACCAAACACCAATTCACATCCTCGCCGGGCTCGTCGTCGTTTGAAAACATCATGCCCAGGCCCTCTGCAGTGAGGCGATGAAATGAATGTCATTCTTCAACCAATTTATCTCTTGTCATTTTTATTATTGTTAACTACAAATAATAGAATAATAAATTTGTTAAAGCAAACATTATTACACAACGCTGTGACTAATTTGCAGAATCACAAATCATTATTTTGGTTTTCTATCTAAAAGTTAGCTGCAAAACAAGACAAGACCATCCCAGACCCAGCCAGCCACTCACCTACTTAACGTTACCTTTGTTTATTCTTTATAATGAAACTCTGTGAAACGCAGAACTGTTTATATGTCATTCTATACTTATAATTAAACTTTCTCGCCACAAAGGCTGTATGTACACTATCTACCCCACACAACGCACATATACACACATTAAGTATGCACGCGCAAGCACCGCATCATACGGGTATGATGGTCTTTGAGTTTCGGGCAGACAATATTCGAACCATGCCACTGAGTAATAACAGCGCGAGACATGGCACTTCTACTGAGTGAGCTAATTTCTCTGACCCCTTATGATTATATGTACATTCTTATGTTTGTTATTATTTATTTATACAAATAACTAACAAAACAGTCCAAATCCTCTAATCGTGATTCCGCTAAATCTAAAATTTGACAACAAAAAGTTGCAAAAAAATGAAGAAATTACTTGGAACGGGATTATTATTTTTTGGACCACCTGGGACATCCCTACTTTCTGGATCATGACCTACAGCTGACGTCGACTTTGATTTGGGAGCGCATGCAACTGGAATCAGAAACTGACAACCAGATGACGATGATGTCAAATTTGATGGAGTCAATGGTGAAGCAGTTATCGAAATTCCATAACTGGATATGGCAATATATTTTTAAATAATCTTATTATTCAATTAGTTTGGCAAATCAGTAAAAATGCTGCGACATGTTTTAAATGCCCTCTTTGATATATCTCAACGCCTTCCTTGAATGGTGAAAGGCAGGTGTTTATAACAAGTGTTATAGATGGGCTTGTTTAAATAATTAACACATGAAAACAAAGAAATACATATATGTTACGTTCCTGTCAATCAGTAATTAAGAAAAAAAAACTAAATATATATTTTATACTGACAATTGAAGAAAAAACGTCATCAACACAATTAATTATTAGCTTAATAATAAAGCTGAAAATTGTTTGAGTTGGAAAGATATCAGATAAGTAACAACAGAAGTAGAAATTGAAACAAAACATATGCAAACTTGTTCCATTGTCCATCCTTTTTGCTTGGCAGATGTTGTTGATGTATTGGTGGTTTTGTCGACATTTTGTTGATGCTTGAATGAGCAATGTCTAAAAATAAATTTTAAATTTGGTCATATAACTGGGCCATTATCCGTCAATTTGAACGTAGGCCAGCACTCCACAAATTAAAGTTTTAATCATGATTTTCCAGCATATAATAAAGTTGATTAAAATGGAGTACCTGAAGTTATATTTTCACTTTTTTTCTCAAATCATGTTTAATTATAATGATATCAATAACATGCAATTATCAGTCAATAATATATTTACAGTTTGTATGAATTCACATGAATTCAACGTTTTGAAAACTAGGACCTAGACCCTTACTCTGTCATTTTTTTCAGGTTGCAGCAGTTAAAATTTAACATTAAAAGATCACCTTTAAGATTGAAGAAATAATTTTTGGACTGCAAGTAATGTTATCGATCGTGTTCTACAGTAAACAGAATGTAGCAATGATAAATTCACGATGTACGTGGTTCGCTGAACTGAGTTCCGTGCTCACATGCAGAGCAAGTATATAACTTACGAGTATTAATGTGGCAGCCCATTAATTTAGACACCAGCTCTGGATGTCGTACTACAATATAATTAACATCACCAATGCACACACGCAATAATGGCATCGTCATTTTAGTATTGTTTTCCACGTTTTCTGATACAAATTAGGTAGAAAATGTAATAAATTGGCTGCGAAAAATTATCAAACTCAACAAATATATTAAAAAACGAAGATAGTGGCAGAAGTTTACGCCCATCCTTATTCTAAATCAATGAGAAGAAAACGTAATCCCACCAATAAATTAGCACTAATCAATGTAGCTGCTTTTATTTTAGTTTGTAATTACAGGCTCATTATAACATACAATTTAATATACATTCAAAACAACCAAAAAATAACACAGACATTTATAAAAATATTCAAACCTTATAAAACATTTTATTTATAATCTTGGAAACAAAAAAAACATGCTAATTTATCAAACTACAGCTCTCATGAAAATTTTCAAAAAACAAGACTGAAAATTTTATTCAAATTACAGTAAAAAAGTTATTAATCATAAATTATGCTCTTTTATAAGGATTAAATTTGAAATCTGAGAAGCCAACCTTGGAAAGAACTAATAGTCGAAGAACTGGATGACCTCGACATGGATTGTCGGGTAGAGGTCAAACCTGGGTTCTTCTGGGTTAAAGATTTTGGTCGATTCGCAAGAACCGCCAGCTTATTTTTAAGAACATTTATTTCTTCGTCTGAAATAACAAATTTTAATTCATCTATTATTATTATTATTAAACCAAAATTAAAATTAATACAATTTAGTCATCACATTATTCTCTTCCATGACAATTTACTAAGCTTGTAGCATGCTCATTTGATGACAAATGCAGAAAAACAACAAAACAATTTATATTAAATATTCTTTACTTTTATTATGTGATAAAATGCTAACAAACTACCATAATGATCCTAAAAACAGCCGACATAAGAAACAAGATCATCAATAAAATTTTCTTCAAATAAGAGTTAATGAAATTAAATAATTAAAAAAACTGAAAATAATATACAAAATCTGCAACTACACTAATTAAATGCAATAAATTGCTGAATAGTTTAAAAAAGATTTTTCTAATTAATTTGCTGATCTGCATCGGTTGTGATTGTGACATTGACTTATTGCGAACTTGTTGCACTGAGTGTATTATAAAATAATGCAACCTTTTTTCTTCCTGAGAGCAACTTCCTTCTCAAAATCCTTCCTCAACTTATTCAACTCTTTGATATGATTCAAGACCTCCTGAATATTAAATGGTGAAAGTTACAAAAATGTTATATTTACAATGAATAGTAAAAAAATATAAATAAGTAATTTAATCAACAACATTTAACAAGAAAGAAACACAAAATAATAACCTTTTCTAAATGGTCTCTGTTTGTTTCTAGCTCATTGACTTTGGACCCCAATATTTCATTTCTTTCGTTTGCTTTGGAAAATCTCCCTTGCATGGCCTCAATCAGTGTTTGCAGGTCAGCATGGTGCTGCTTATTGAACTGGTTGTTTTTTGTCATTTCCTGAAGCTCTTTCATAATTTTCTCCTTCTCGATTTCCAGAGTTCGTTTGTTTCCATTTGCGACCTCTATCTCGTTTTTCATCTTTTCGATGTCTCCTTCCAGACTAGTCACCTTCTTTGTGTAATACTTAACATCTACCTTTTCAGCCCGGGCCAACTGTTGTTCCTTTTCAAAGATTAGATCAGTTCTTGCATTTGTTAATTGAATACTCAACTCATTGTATCTTGTGAGTAGATGTCCATACTCTTGATCTATGTTTCCGAACTTTGAATCTTTATCTTCTAACAATTTTTCAAGTTTATTTATCTTTTTTTCCATTTCATACACCATTTCTGCTGAATCCTTTTTTTTTCTATTTAAATCTTGAATTTCACTTTTATAAATTTCTTCTTTCTCTTTCCATGCCTGGTTCTCCTCAGTTTTCTTTTCAAGAGTTGACTTGACCTCGTTAAGTTCATTAGTTGTTAGTAAAAGTGCGTCAATGTTTGACTGGTTTATCAAGATAATCTTTTCAAGAATTGACCTGACCTCATTCAGCTCATTGGTTGTTTGCAACAGGGTGTCAATGTTTGACTGGTTCTCATCAGTTTTCTTTTCAAGAGCTGAATTGACCTTATTCAGTTCATTGGTTGTTTGTAACAGGGCATCAATGTTTGACTGGTTCTCTGCAGTTATCTTTTCAAGAGTTGATTTGACCTCATTCAGCTCATTGGTTGTTTGCAACAGGGCATCAATGTTTGACTGGTTCTCTTCAGTTTTTTTTTCAAGAGTTGACCTGAACTGATTTAGCTCATTGGTTGTTTGCAACAGGACAGCAATATTTGACTGGTTCTCTGCAGTTATCTTTTCAAGAGTTGATTTGACCTCATTCAGCTCATTGGTTGTTTGCAACAGGGCATCAATGTTTGACTGGTTTTCATCAGTTTTCTTTTCAAGAGTTGACTTGACCTCATTCAGTTCATTGGTTGTTTGCAACAGTGCGTCAATGTTTGACTGGTTCTCTTCAGTTTTCTTTTCAAGAGTTGACTTGACCTCATTCAGTTCATTGGTTGTTTGCAACAGGGCATCAATGTTTGACTGGTTCTCTTCAGTTTTTTTTTCAAGAGTTGACCTGACCTCATTCAGCTCATTGGTTGTTTTCAACATGGCGTCAGTGTTTGACTGGTTCTCATCAGTTTTCTTCTCAATATTTGATCTAAGCTCAATGAGCTCATTGGTTGTTTGCAACAGGGCGTCAATGTTTGACTGGTTTTCATCAGTTTTCTTTTCAAGAGTTGACCTGACCTCATTCAGCTCATTGGTTGTTTGCAACAGAGCGTCAATGTTTGACTGGTTCTCTTCAGTTTTCTTTTCAAGAGTTGACCTGACCTCATTCAGTTCATTGGTTGTTTGCAACAGTGCGTCAATGTTTGACTGGTTCTCTTCAGTTTTCTTTTCAAGAGTTGACTTGACCTCATTCAGTTCATTGGTTGTTTGCAACAGGGCATCAATGTTTGACTGGTTCTCATCAATTTTCTTTTCAAGAGTTGATTTGACCTCATTCAGCTCATTGGTTGTTTGCAACAGGGCATCAATGTTTGACTGGTTCTCTTCAGTTTTTTTTTCAAGAGTTGACCTGACCTCATTCAGCTCATTGGTTGTTTGCAACAGGGCGTCAATGTTTGACTGGTTTTCATCAGTTTTCTTTTCAAGAGTTGACTTGACCTCATTCAGTTCATTAGTTGTTTGCAACAGGGCGTCAATGTTTGACTGGTTCTCTTCAGTTTTCTTTTCAAGAGTTGACCTGACCTCATTCAGCTCATTGGTTGTTTGCAACAGAGCGTCAATGTTTGACTGGTTCTCTTCAGTTTTCTTTTCAAGAGTTGACCTGACCTCATTCAGCTCATTGGTTGTTTGCAACAGGGCGTCAATGTTTGACTGGTTTTCATCAGTTTTCTTTTCAAGAGTTGACTTGACCTCATTCAGTTCATTGGTTGCTTGCAACAGGGCGTCAATGTTTGACTGGTTCTCTTCAGTTTTTTTTTCAAGAGTTGACTTGACCTCATTCAGTTCATTGGTTGTTTGCAACAGGGCGTCAATGTTTGACTGGTTCTCTGCAGTTATCTTTTCAAGAGTTGAACTGACCTCATTCAGTTCTTTGGTTGTTTGCAACAGGGCAGCAATGTTTGACTGGTTCTCATCAGTTTTCTTTTCAAGAGCTGACCTGACCTCATTCAGCTCATTGGTTGTTTGCAACAGGGCATCAATGTTTGACTGGTTCTCATCAATTTTCTTTTCAAGAGTTGACTTGACCTCATTCAGTTCATTGGTTGTTTGCAACAGGGCGTCAATGTTTGACTGGTTTTCATCAGTTTTCTTTTCAAGAGTTGACCTGACCTCATTCAGTTCATTGGTTGTTTGCAACAGAGTGTCAAAGTTTGACTGGTTCTCATCAATTTTCTTTTCAAGAGTTGACCTGACCTCATTCAGTTCATTGGTTGTTTGCAACAGAGCGTCAATGTTTGACTGGTTCTCTTCAGTTTTCTTTTCAAGAGTTGACCTGACCTCATTCAGCTCATTGGTTGTTTGCAACAGGGCATCAATGTTAGACTGGTTCTCATCAATTTTCTTTTCAAGAGCTGACTTGACCTCATTCAGCTCATTGGTTGTTTGCAACAGTGCGTCAGTGTTTGACTGGTTCTCATTAATTTTCCTTTCAAGAGTTGACTTGACCTCATTCAGTTCATTGGTTGTTTGCAACAGGGCATCAATGTTTGACTGGTTCTCCTCAGTTTTCATTTCAAGAGCTGACTTGACCTTATTCAGTTCATTGGTTGTTTGCAACAGGGCATCAATGTTTGACTGGTTCTCAACAGTTTTCATATGAAAAGATTCAGTAACTTCTTTTACAGCTTTGAGATAGATTTCTCTTTCTTTCAACATTTCAGTTCTCAAATGGTTTACCTCATTGGATAATTGCAGCACAGCATCAATATTTTTCTGGTTTTCATAATTTTTCTTTTCAAGTGCTTCATTAAATTCTTTAATTGAATCAAGTTGAATTTTTCTTTCAGTAAACAACTCACTAATTTGTAAATTGAGCTTCAACTCATTCTGCTGAAATTTTGCATTGTTGAATTGAAGGTTTTCATTTTTTTTGGTGAGGCATGATAATTCATTTGTTAGTTCTGCAGTTTTTTGTTTTAAACTGCTCAGTTGATTGTTCAGTTCATTAATTTCGTCCTTCAAATTCAATTCAATAACTTCACCTAGACACTCTCCTGAATCAGACAGATGACTTTTATCTAATGACTTGCAACCAAAATGTGTGTTTTTTTCATAGCTTTTTTCTGCAACTTCATCTCTCAGATCCTTGATGATGACTTGTAATTCGCTTATAGTTTCATTAAGGCCAATGACTTTATCCTGTAGTTCAGAATTGTCTTGAGAAAGCATAGAAATTTGATTGCGAAGACTATCAATTGTATTTTGACTTGCCTGTTTCGACCGCAACTTATTTAATTCATCATGTAGCTTATCATTTTCTTTCTCTAAAAATGTATTTGATTCTTTTAAATTGTTTGCCTCCTTCAATAATTCTTCATTTCTTTTTCTTATTTCATTTTTCACATCTTCAGTAGTCTTGTGATCAGATTGTATCAGTTCAGTCATTGAATTGTAGTCACTTTTCAATTTTTCACATTTTCTCTCACACTTGTTTAGTCTTTCTGTTAGCTCTGTTATCTTTTCATCTTTCTGATCCACCATCAACTCTTTTTGCTGCAATTCAAATTGTATCTCACTCCTTAGTTTCTGTTCAGCTATGAGTTGATTTTGTATTTTTTTGAGTCTCTGTTCTCTTTGTGTAATCATTGAATTTAAAGACTCGTCAAGAGACTGGCTAACTGGAGAGGAATATGGGAAAAAATATTTTGCCAGTATGTTTGCTTCATTGATATCAAAACCTGAAACAAATTATTTCATTGAAATAGTTGAGCCAATTTGATTAATTAATATCAAAGTTATTCAATAAATAATTATAATACTCAAATAATATTTTAAATGACTTACTAATTCTGTTTGATATAGGAGTTGAAGATCCACTGGGTTTGCTGTTGATGGCATTTGTCTCTGCTAAAAGGCCTTGATAAAAATCCGGATTCAATTCAAGCAATGACATTTTTGGAATTGCTTTCTGTAGTAATATTTTAATGGCAATTTGAAATTGTTGATCCAAAGACATGGCCGAATTCACAAATATGGCTGACTTCTCAGAGTTTATGCCAGCAATGATGATAAGCAACAAGCACTACAAAATAAATGAATTAATAAAAATATTTAGAATTTTAAAATGAACAATTTTTACTTGAAAAAATCTTTGGCAAAATTTAACTTACTTTGCCTAACTCCAATGAGTCTCCATTACCAGCCTTATAAATATTGAAATAATTATCTAATGGTCGGTGGAAAACATCCTCCAGATGAGCTCTTACACTTTCCAAAGTATTTTCGCTTTCAGAATGTTTATGCCTTTCTCTGAAAGAGCATTTTTTGGGAATCATACTTGCCAAGTCCTTTAGGATTTTACCATCGTTTAAACATTGGAACGTTTTTATTTCCTCACCATGAATTAGGGAACACTGCAGAAGAATTTGTTTTAAAATAAAAATGATGTCATAAAATAAATGAGAATTTTTAATTTACCTTGAATATATTAATAACTATTACACAATATAAAATATTTTAACTAGTTTTTAACAAAAATTTTGAAGTGAAAGATAAAATGAATTTTTTTAAAAACTTATCTTACCCATTGTAATAATACTTTTCCTTTACTTTCATCCATTGCTTCTTCATCAAAAATACTCCAATGTAAAAAGGTGTCTTCCTTATCCTAAAAGTTAAAAAATAATAATTTAGTTATCACAAATGACAAAATGGACATTTTTAAAACTTCTTCAACTTACGGAAATTAAAATTCCATCCAAAATACAAAAGTAAATACAAAATTCAAAATACGTACCAATATTAAACTTTTTCCGCTCATATTGTATTCTGGGATGCACCTCGAGTTACGGTAATTTTTCAATTTTTTTAAACCGTATAAACCGACTAAAAGGTTTATTTATTTTAAAGTTTCTTACGAAACAATCTTTCCTGAAATACTTTTCTGAACGTTTTGAATTAAATGTCAAATTGAGATATTTCACAAAATCTTAAAATTACGGAATAAACACTTTTGAAATTCGTGAGTAAAGTTTAAGTTCGGGTATAACATTACGTAGCGTAGCTGAAGTTGTTATACATCCTTTAAATACTCGAATGCCCAAAGACTTATTATCGATTACGATTCACTATGATGATCTGCAAACCAGCAGCGCTAATTAAAGAGTTTTAACAACCTAACAAAGGTATTCTGCAACAAATGCGTCAAAGCAAATTTATTCTTTTACAAGGGATTACTCTTATTTATAACATTGACCGAATACTACAAATTGTAACAAACTTCACTTAATAAAATGTTTTACAATGCACATTAACAGGTATTGTTGAACATTTTATAACAATCAACAAAATCATTTTTTTTATTTATAACATTGACCGTATACTGCAAATTGTAACAAATTTCACTTAATAAAATGTTTTACAATGCACATTAACAGGTATTGTTGAACATTTTGTAACAATCAACAAATTATTGTTTGATTTGTAATGAATCATCTTCATTACAATACCTATAATCTAATTAAACATCTAATTTCTTATAATAAATAATATGATAAATGAGATTTTTTATTAATAACATAATTTTACAGTTTGAAAAAATCATTTGAATGCAACAATATCACACAAACACATTTTCATCATAACTCATCACTACAATTTGAGAAATTCAACAATTTAACATAATTTTGAAATGTATGTCTGAAAACAAATTAATTCCGATCTTTAAAAATACGCAACGAATAATTTTGATGACTTGTAATTCTGTCAATTTTCTTTTTTCAAGTATTTCCAATGAATATTCAACTAGGATTTTTTAAAAAAACGAGCAAAACTAAAAATATTTACGTGTGTGTTTTGTGTGTGCTTGTGCGTCTGTTATCTGTTAAATCAAAACATACGACCGGATTTATCAATAGACAAACGAGACAAATATGTCGGACTTGCAGTTTAGGGAGACTCGGAAATCCCGTGTTCAGATCCCATTTTTGTTCTAAATATTTTCATTTTATTTTTTATAACATTTTAATTTAATGGTTTTGTAAACGTCTTTATTATGATTCATTTAAAAACCATTTCTTGCTTTAAAATTTTTGAACATTTTGGGAGTTAAAAATCAGAGCAAAAAATATTTTAGATATCTAAAGATAGAGGATTAAACGTCTAACGTAAAATCATTTTTATTCGTAATAAAAATGTCAACTCCAGTTTGAATATCCGAAAAAATGTTCAAGAGGAAAATTTACAACAGCTTAATAACTAATTATAATGCAACTATGTAAACTAAAATATTTTCTTTATTCCTTCCTTTTTTTTGATGACATCATGAAATAATAATGTGCCTTAGGTAGTTTCAATGCAACTTGTTTCTCACAAGTTTTGTAGTCTAGGCTTTATCTTTGATTCTAGTATCTCTTTCTTCTCAGATTATAGTGTTGCCAGAAGTTCTTACTTTCATCTATGTAGAATAAAATTTTTTTGCCTTTTCTTGACGATTCTACTCTTTGCTTTCTTGATAGATCCTTAGTCTTATCTGGGATTGATTAGTGTAACTTGCTCTACTATTGTCTTCCTGATTCTAGCCCTGAACCTATTGCTAAACCGCACTGTAGACTTGACCAAGTCTGATTTACTGATAGGAATGGTTGATTTCAGTAATATTTATGTCCACATCTACATTCCAGGATATATTTCCAATAAACTGTAACACATTCTAATTTTTTTTAAATACTGCACTAATGAATGCCAAACTTGTAATGCATCTAGTACAAATAATTATAAATGTTTTGACTAAACTTATTGTTAAAGTCAGCGCAGCAAGGGGATCTAATGCTTATAAAAATTGAAATTACTTATATTATGAAACAACAACAAAATTTAAAAACTGCAAAAATCAGCGGACATTTTCAAACTCTAAGCACAAAAGCTTAAAGTTTGAGTGAAGGAAAATTCCAGAACTGTGTCATGGGAAAGTAATGCTGAAACGCATTTAAGCATGACAAGTGCTCGTTTGTGCAATTTGGCATTGTGTTTAAACGTATTTTTTTTATTATCAGAGTACATAGTCTATAACAAGCAGTGAAAAACTAATTCATACTATCAAATGAATTTGTTTTTGAATATTAAAACTGTATAAAACACAGCACCATGTCCGAAATTACTTGAAATGTGTATATATTTTGGATAAATCTCCATCCACTGTAAATATCACCGTTGAACTGTTAAAAAATGCTAAAGACGCGATAAACCTTTGTCTATGGAAAATAAAACATGTCTTTGGATATGGATACAAACGATATATCAATATTTGCCAAACGTCGATGTTAACATCGATATTTTATGAAAGATTTATTGCCGATTTATTGATAGTCGAACTCTCAAATAACTTCTCGACTCGAAAACACTCTCAAAATTTTGGTCCGCTGAACCAAAATCTTACGAAACAATAAAATTAACCTATGCTGAATCGATGTTTTTAAGGACGATGTTGCATCCCTAGACATCGTTCGATGATTTGTAATTCTCAAGTGCATGTAGGCCTATACCAGTACATCTCTCATTTGCAACCAATAAATATAGTTTAAAATCTATGAAACATTGTACATCTTCAAGTTTTGTAAATGCATTAAAATGAAATTCAATTTTTTCTTTCTTCTCTGATTTAAACTATGAGTGACTTGACTATCCGCCTATAGGATGTTTTGCCACAGAAGCTGCGGCATTTACCACACACTCAATAATTTTACTGTACGCAGCGGTAATTATCATCGAATAAGTTAAAAAAAAGACATTTTGCTGTATTTGACCGTGGACCTATTAAATTTTTATAAATGTATGCGGTGTTAAAAAGGTATGTTGCCTTATTTACCGCAGACGTAGTAAGTTTCATAATATACCTACCCAATGATATTTTCCGCAAACATGGACTCGGGCATATATTTTTTATGAAATTGATACAAATTATGATCAAGAAATTAATAAACTTTTTCATGTAGTATTTGAAAATCATGTAAAAAGTATCAAAATGAGACAAAGCAACATTGATAACATTAACGCAAATGAGGAAGAAAAATGTATTCAAGTTTTAAAACTGAATAACAAGAATAACTATGGAATTAACAACTGACTAAAAATTACAATAGTTCAATTACAGTAAAACAAATAAGTTTTTAGCATATTCTTAAAAAGTTAAATAACTCAAGGTAAGATCATGCAAAGAGTTTGAAAGTCCACTTTACATTGCAAGATTTGGGAAAGCCAAATTCTTGAATCTTATTTTCAATTGAGTCAATGGAACCATTAAAAAATTGATCCAATTTTTATAGAATGCAGTATCATATAAATAAATCCTAATCGATGCCGAGCCGGTAATAAACTTGAATGTTAAAGTGCAATTTTTAAACTTAGTACGTTTTTCCAGTTAGCCAACGGATTTGATCCAGGATTGATGCAAGGTTAAATATATATTCAAACAAACGTATATAACGGAAACATGTTTTATTATGCAAGCACCACACATGTTAACACATTTTGAAAAACAAACATTTCAATGATAGTCTTGATGTTAGTGTCTGGGAATATTAAAAAGTTATTAAGATATAATCAAGATGGTCACACCAAGAATCAAGGCAATAAAATATCCCATTAAGCCATTCTCTCTCTCTCTCTGCTAAATAGCCGAACGCGTGTTCCTTACGCTCACAAACAACTTGGACTTTCCTAGACTGTCTTCGATCAGTTTTTTGCTTCTGTATTTAAAATCTACTAATCATGAAATTTTAATTAGAAACAAGAGAATATCTACTCAGAACTAATTTGGGGTTTACTTTTATAATTATTTCAAAGTTCTTGTTACTTATTTATTTTCATGGTGTCACACATCCGTTTTCGATTTTCTATCTGTTAGTAAGTTGGTTAAACTAAACATAGTAACAGTTATATTCCGAGTATTTTATTTCCATTTATGGTTGCGGTTTACTGACTGCCTGCCCACCTGCCTGCAGCTACCTCACTTTCTGTTTCTTTTTTATTTATTTCTACACAAATTCGTTTTTTTTCAAATTTGTACTAGCGTTGTTATTTTAATAATTAATTTTTATTAATAAGCTTAACGACCTTAATTTAATCATTTTAATGTGGTATTATTATTATTACCGTAATTATAATTAATTATCCACTTTCACTTTTTATCTACATGTATGGTTATCTGTTCTCCATTGTATCGTATTGAAATTAATTTTAAATTAAACAGGAATTAACAAGTGGCATTGGAGAGTCAAACACCATTCAAATATCATCTTCTGCTGGTGCCTCACATTATTAAATAAAGAGTTTGTTTTGTAACTTCCAAAATAAAGAAATATAAGAATTGAAATAAATCTTTTACAATGACTCCTCCAGACAGGTTAATTAAAAAATCATGGATTTAAATTCTATTTAATTATTAAATTATAGATTATTAATAAATTATTTGTTACCAAAAGATCTAAAAACCAAAAAAATTTGTAATAACATAATCATTTATTATTATTGGTTATTTATTTGTTAATAAATTAGATAAATATTAAATAAGAAATAGAAATTGTGTAAGAAATGAAGCTTAACAAAACTGCTTATTTAAAAGATAAATAAACATGATTTAAAAAATAATACACATTAAAAGAATGGAAATAAATTTGTAAAAATTGAATTAATCAAAATATAAATTCAAGTAGTTAACTAAATATAAATCAATTACAAACAGATAAATAAATTTGAAACTTCAAAAATTGTTCAACGACATCTGATATCTCATCTTCACTAAATAGTTTTTTATTATATACTTCTGCAAAAATATTTGTCATTGAGATGGAAGATTTATACAGGCTTGCTTGCATTATCTTCAGATTTGATAAGCTTGGTCCCCAAGCATTCTTGCTCTACAGTTTTTAATTTGCCTACACAGAGTTATGTTTGCCTGCACTGTTTTATTAGATATTCTCTAACCACTGCTTGATTTTTGAGTCTGATCTCAAGAGCTGTTGCCATATACTAAGCCTCTGTTGTTTTACATGAAAATCTAATTGAAAACATGTTTTTGCTATTTGAATCACTACATTTTTTGAGACATTCCTATGCATCTTAAAATTAATTGTAAACTTGTTTTATTTTAGCAAACTTTTATTATATTTTATTTTATTAGCAAACTATTAACTACATCTTTAAATAATTTAAACAGCTGATTATTATTTGTTTCAGCCATGATAGCATCAACTATTACGAAATCCTCGGACTCCAGAAAACCTGCACTCCAGATGACATCAAGAGAGCCTACAGAAAAGTCAGTCCTTTAATTGTTTATCAAATTATTTAATTAATTAATTAAATGAATAATTAAGCTAATGAATTTTAATAAATATTGGGCTAATGATTTTTAATAGATATTTGTTTTTTTTATTCATATATCTTTTCTCTACTAGCTCATGATTGGTTTATTAGCTAATAATAAGATTATTGAATGATTGTAGGTAGGTAGGTAATAGTTAATAAAATTTCCCCCCTCCACTTACCTAGATGGCCCTCAAGTATCACCCTGATAAGAACCCCAACAATATCGAGGCTACAGAAAAGGTGATGATGATGATATTGAATACAAAATTATAATTATTCACAATAAACATATTATTATTGTATGGTATTTTTTTATATTGTATTGTAATAATAATAATTGTTATTGTACAATTCACGTTGTTCTAATCCATGGGCTCACTTCACTCTGTTAACAAGTTACGTGACCTGTCGTCAATCAGGATTGTTAATACTGACATCCACGTCAGTGATGCATTAAAGACTCTCGGTGTTGTTCTTCATAATAAACTGACATTTTCAAATCATTTTAAATCTATTGCATGGGCATGTATTACAATTATCACATTAGGGAAAAACATCGTGTTAGACAGTTTTTATCAATTGACCTGGCTGGGAATCCAGCACGTTGTTTGATATTCTCCAAACTTGATTACTACAACTCAATAATGTTTGGCATATTCCAGAAGCAGGAAACACATCTTCAGAGGCTGATGAATTGGGCTGCCAGAGTTGTGCTCATTATCGATGCTCTGCCTCATTTTATAATATATGCAACATTAAATTTAAAATGCCTTCACTGGCTTCCATTTCATAATTGTGTTCTATATAAAATAACCATCATCGTTTTCAAGTTGTTTGCCGACATATCTCGATAGTCTTCTTCGTCTAAATACGAACAATCAACATCTTCGCTCTGTCAAGGCTCTCCATTGCTTATTCCAATATTTCATCAAACAACATTGGAAAATGTGCATTTTGTCATGCTGCCACTATCTTCTGGAATTCTCTACTTCCTAACATCAGAAACTCCAGCTCCCTTCATGAATTTAAATCAACCTTGAAAACTCATTATGTTGATGCTGCTTTTAAATTAAACAACTGTAATTGTAATTTGTAAATTTGTTTTATTATTTGTTTTAACCATCAAACTTTTTATTATTTTTATCCATTTGCCGTGCTTAATTAATTATTATATTCTTCCAAGGATGCATCAGTCACTTGCACTGGCGTTTCATAAATGATATTATTATTATTATTTATTATTATAATTATTTATTATTATTATTATTATTATTGTAATATTTCACTGAGTGAGGGTAATAAATAAGTAGATGAAGATGAAATATGAAGTAATATTGTAACACAAACTCAGTTCAAAGAGATCAACAGAGCCAACCAGGTGCTCAGCAATCCAACGAAACGACAAATCTACGACGAGTACGGAGCCATGGGTCTTCGAGTGGCCGATCAAATTGGTGAGGAGAATCTGAAGACGTATTACAGACTCACCGGACCTTGCTGCAAGGTTCAGAGGATGAATGTGTGGATGCATGTATGGATGGATGGATGGATGGATGGATGGATGGATGGATGGATGGATAAATAGATGAGTTGGTTGATAGTTGGATGGATAGATGCCAAAATGTGTGGATGGTTAAATGGATGGGTGTAGGATTTCTGCATAATTTTTATCATCAGCATTTTCTTCACTACGTATCATTATTTCAAATACTTTTGTCTTCATCATTTCTACTTTTTTAATCATCGTCTTCATAAACACCGACCACATTTTACACCACCATCATCGTCAACACCATCAGGCTTTATTCTTCATCTGCTGCTTGTTAACCGGCTGCTACTTCTGCTGTTGCTGTTGTTGTTGTTGCAACTTCTGCTGCGGCAAGTACAAACCTGAGCCACACGATGATGACGTCAACATCCACGACCTCGAGGTTAGTGGATCTTTCCTTCTCTTCTTCATTAACATCGTTTATTATTGGAGTGTTTTTTTTAATCAACTGTGTTAAGATTTGTTTTTTGTATTAATATTACTGTTTGACTGATCTTTAGTATTTATTGCAATTAAGTTTGCACTCCTTATTATCCTACTTATCACTACAATCACCACCGTCTTCATCATCATCACCGTCGTCATCATTATCAGGAGGAGGAAGGTCAAGCGTCGAAGAACAGCACAGGGGCTGCAGACGCTTTCGGTAATGACGTCATAACGACCCAGCCAACGGAAAAGTCGAAGATCAATATGAAGGACGTTAGTGGTCCTCCTCCAGCCTATGATTCTGTCCACAAATCATAATTGATTTTTTCAGTGATTGACAAACAGCCAACCAATAACAATCGAAGAATTTTTAAAATATTTATTTTCACTTATTGATGGTTGGCCTGTCTGTCAAGTTTGCTTGCTGGCCCTGAATGAAGTTTTTGGTTTTAAATTTAAAAACAAATTTTTTTTGAAGATACACATACAAGCAACAAGCACATAGTGACGTACATACATTATACGTACGTACGTACGTATATACATACATACATACACACACATACACTGATGAAAAAGTTGATGGCAAAGAAAACAACGTCCTACCTCGGGAAACCGGGTCTCTGGACGCAAAACGAAGATTGATTGACATACACTCATACACATACACACTGCTTTTTATGTTTATTTGTGTGTGTGTTTTCGTGAAGAATAATGATATGTTCAATTGTTCATTTAGCTTCTATACAATCATTTAAATTCTTTCTCCATTTTCATAGCAGATATTTTTTTTCATTTTATCAATCAATCGTTTTTTTCAAACTATTCAACTAGGAGTAAAATAGGAGCTACATTTTTGATTATGACGATGACTGTGCCGATGATGATAACGGTGATGATGATCACGATGAGGATGATGATGATGATTATAATGGGGAATTGTGATGAATGAGATGATGGAATTTGCGTTGGCAGCGTTGATGTACTGTTGATTGCATAGGTTAATTTGATGGTAAATAATTAATTTCAAGACAAATTATTTTTATAAATAATAACATACAGCTTTTTGAACAGACACACACATATAATATATGTATTATATATATATATATATATATATATATATATATATATATATATATATATATATATATAATTTTAGTAAAGATATAATTGTGTATGTGTGTGTGTCTTCTAGAACAGACACACACACACACACACACACACACATATATATATATAATATATGTATACGTATGTATGTATACGATAAATTGCCTATATGTTAGATCTATTTTTTATTAATTAGTACATTATTGTTTTTTCATTTATTTATTCGTATATTTATTTGTTTTTATATTTATTTAGTATATTTATTTATTTAAGTGTTCATCTTAGCACCATTCCAAATTAAAATTTGATGACACCAATAGGTCAAAGTATTATTTATTTTTATTTATTGATATATTTATTAATTAATCAATATATAATGTTACTTTTAAAATTTGTATTGTCTCTCAATTACTTATTATTATCGTTATCATCGTCATTGTAGATGATATTGTTATAAAAATATATTAATTGCTAATAATAATAATAATAATAATAATACCAGTATTATTATTTGATTTTATTATTAATTAATTAAAACAGCCTTATACATTGAAGACAAATATACATAAGGATTTGGCTAAAACATACATACACATACATATATTTTTTATACATTTTTTTGTTTATTAACATTTTAGATTAGTGAATACTAATCTATGATTATTTAACAAAATAGGTGGTAGATTAATTATTTAAACAGATTGTATGTGTATATAAATACGTATATATATTTAAAATATATAAATATTTATATGGCATTTGTATATATATAGCATTTATTATGTATATATTATATATATACAATTGTAATCAATTTCTCATCTTATGCTTAACATTCAATTCAATTCAAAAATAGTTTTATTCAGCAAAATAACAACAGTTTTTCGCTAGGAGACCCGAAGTATCAACTTGTAGGGTCACCTATACACAATAGAAAAGGATTATGGATAGTAATAAACATAAACTTGAAACTAATTCTATTATAAACAAAATATAAAAATAATAGATGATGAGAAAGGAATTCTTTTAACTATACACTAATAATAATAATAAAACATTTTCGAGTAATATGAAAATTAAGACAATAAAACTAAATGGTTTTATTTGAATTATTATTTGAATAGTTATTTAATAACGTAACAAACAAGTTGCAATATGTGATTCAATAAATCTAGAGGTTTCTAGCTATATTTTTAATAATGTGTGAATTGTTCTAATAGTTAATCGATTGGTTAATTAATTTTGTTGTTGTTATAGAACCTGTAATGACTTAACGTTGAGATGATGCTAGCGGTCAGAAACGGGATGCAGAAGTGTTGATTGATGTTCGAGCAAAAGTATGCACGATGAACATTGCATCCTTTCCTGTTTTTGATGAAAACTGTTGACCGGACTTTCATGCACTAGGTCATGTTGTGGGGATGCAGTTGAACGGTGCATACTTGCCAACTTTTGGATTTTCAAAATCGTGACATTATATACATATATATAATAGAGATTTGGACTCAACACAGTCAATCACTATGAGCCGTGAAATCCTCGACAGCAACATCAAAGTAATATACCAGAACACTAACTACACGCATCTCAAAATTGCAGAAGCATTCCTAATTGACATAAATAAACCAAAAATAAATATACAACAAAAAATGACAACCCGGTCCTTAATCAACAATGAAAACAAAGAAGTAATAAAAACTAGCATTGTAAATAATGACAAAGAAGAATATGATGCTATCGATGAAGAAAAGGAAACCAACGAAGATGGACCAGCCAATGAAGAAACCTGACACCTAATTTCCATCTAAGTTCATTTTCACAAAGTCAATATTTTCCTATTAAATAAACTTGCACTGATGATTCATTCGGAATCGAAATATGGCCTTATTTGCAGCATGACTTCGGAAAACAAGTTTATTTTGAATTTTAATAAACTAAATGTTCTCTAAAAAACTTTAGTGAGAAACATCGAAAAAACGAACTACAAACATATTAACGCCAAACATTCGGTAATATGTATATATAGTACGGCTGTCCAATGCTCAGTTGTGCATCTCAGCGTCCTGTATATTTATTTCATTAAATATTCAATTGGAAATAGCGGTATAGATTGCTTGAAGGTCCCATGCCGATAGCATCAGAACCGATTGAATGGGATAGTAGTAAAGGTGGCATGGATCTTCCATATCAGTAGCATTAGTAATATCAGAGGGGTTCTTCTTAAGTCACTCGTTGAATGGTATCAGTGCATTTGCTGATGATCTGTTGACATCCAGATACTTTTTCAAATTGATTGTTTGTATTGAATAATAATGTTTAAATCTATCGAGAGTAAAGCAAACAGGAAGCCTTTGAGGAGAATGCCATTTTGAGGAGTCCAGAAAGACTCTTTAATTCTAAGTACGGATGTCCACTGCTCAGTTGTGCATCTCAGCGTCCTGTTTATTTATTTCATTAAATATTTAAGTGGGAATAGTGGTAGAGATTGCTTGGATGTCCCATGTCGATAGCATCAAATCCGATTAAGTGGGATAGTAGTAAAGGTGGCATGCATCTTCCATATCAGTAGCATTAGTAATATTAAAGGGGTTCTTCTTGAGTTCATCACTCGTTGAATAATCCGTCAGTGCATTTGATGATGATCTGTTGATATCCAAATACTTTTTCAAAAATTTTCTTGTATTGAATAATAATGTTTAAATCTATCGAGAGTAAACCAAAACAGGGAGCCGTTGAGGAGAATGCCATTTTTGAGGAGTCCAGAAAGTTACTTTATTCTAAGTACAGATGTCTAATGGTCAGTTGTGCATCTAAGCGCCCTGTTTATTTATTTCATTAATTATTCAAGTGGGAATAGTGGTATAGATTGCTTGGAGGTCCGATTGAGTGAGATAGTAGTAAAGGTGGCATGCATCTTCCATATCAGTAGCTTAAGTAATATCAGAGGGGTTCTTCTTAAGTTCATCATTTGTTGAATGGTCCATCATTGCACTGTTGACATCCAGATTTGAATCTTTTTAATGAGAATTTGAATCGTTAAAATTACATTTGAAATAATGAATAGATACTTTTGCAATTTATTCAAGTTAAGTTTTATAATGGCGTTGTAAGTGTGATTAAATTCTTCAAGTTGATTCAAAAGCCTCATCTTTATGAAAGCAGTTTGAAAATATTTTGAAAAGATTAGTCTAACCCGTGACCACTTTGAGGTTATTCCATCAAACATTTCGACGCGCTTGGTTGTGGTATCACCTTCGTAAACTCCGCCAGCAAAATATGTTCGGGTTATTAGCAGTACAAACGCTGTGGCCTTCTAAAAGAGGAAACCAGCCCCGAATCTTGGTATATTTGAAATCTTCGAAAGGAAACTTGGTTGTTTTATTGGTTAATGATTTGACAAAGTCATAAATGGATATTGAAGAGAAAGGATGTTCATCCTGTAAAAAAATTCATTATTTTATTAACTAAATTGAATAAATTCCACCAATTGCATGCAGTGTATAAACCAACGAACGTTTACAATATTTTGAAAATATTACTATCATCAATGTTCTGTGTGTGTCGCTAAAGAAGCCACGACATATACCAGGGACCAAATAATTTATACTGTACGCAGCGGTAAGCACCATCGAATAAGTAAGAAAGATATACTGCGGTATATTCGGGGAACCCAGCCTCGTTCTGTTTCAAATGGACTTTGTGAAGAAAGTGCACATACAGCAAGAATAAAAAATTAGAGAAAAAATTTCATGCGCCCTTGATTAACCTCGAAGCAGAGTGGTCATGGTAACAAAAATGATACGAAGATGGGAAATGTAGATGTTTAAATTATTACGACATAAAAAGCAAGAATGAAAAGCAAAAAAGAAGCAATAATTAAACCATTAATATGAAAATTTTTAAAAGTTCTTAAAAGCATTGCTCACTCTAAATTGATTGTCAAGAATTGTAAAATTACATGCTTTAACTATCTCGTGCAGTCTTTTAAATATAGTCTCAGCAAAAATCACTCTTCTTTAAAAATTTTTCTTTGATCTTCCTTCTGCATTTGTTTTCCAGGGACGGTGAGTGACGTTTGTGTAACAGAACACGTCACCGCAAGCGTCATACATATTTATATCTAAAGCTATCATATTAAACAAACCCTGGATTCATTTGTTATGCAAAAACTTTCACACATACATTTCATTGAACGCAGAAATAGGCGCACATGAAACATACAAAAACCTGCTACAACTTTGTAATAAAACACCTACAAACTTCTCATACGTGTATATGAGGAGTTTGTAGGTGTAGGTCACATACAATCGTATACACATACACACACATGCTACTCATAATACTACAGGCATTTGTTTATACGAACAATCGGGCGACTTGTACTGTCACTGCACAAACACACACACATATTTTTATATACACTATAAAGACGTGCACATGAAATACGCACATCCAACAATACGAATAAAGTGGCATTGCAGAGCATATGATGAATTTTTAATAATTTATAAGAATTAATTGTTCGATTTATACTCTTAATCAATCATCGTCAATATGCATCCACAACTACATCATTATCATCTTCCTCTCTCATCATCACTTTATCACTGTTATCATCTTTATCGCAATCATCTCTTTCATCATCACTTCATCATTGTGCGTTATAATATTTATCACCATAATGTTTGATGTTATCGTTATTATGGACTTAATTATAATCATAATTATCATCGTCGTCATTATCTTCACTTCTGGTCGATAATCATCATCGACAACGTGAACGAACCGACAGGACGATAGAAACATTCAAACAAGTTCATTTTGTTGTAATATGTAACATATGTACGTGCTCTCACCTGACTTACTATTTCTTCTATGATAACTATACGTGTGTCTGTGTATGTATGTGTATATTTATATGTCTGTGTGTGTGTGCATGCGTGTGTGTGTGTATGTCTCTGTGCGTACGTGTGTAAATACAATTATTCCTTTATGAATACAATTAGAAAAATAAAAATAATGTATTTTAAACATTTTTCGGAACATGTACTTCCACTAGCGCGCACACACAAATATACACATACACACACACGCACTCACACATACATACGCACACGCACACAAACATATATACATAATATGTACGTGTATATATAGGCATCGTTGCTGTAAAATTTCTTGCTGTTTATATTGAATAAAAATATATAACTTATAAACAGACAACATGTACCATATAATAAGGTGAATATGATAAAATATTAACTATATATATATATATATATATATATATATATATATATATAGAACATGTCAGCAAAACGAACAAAATCTATCATTAATACATGAAAATAGATGAGTTTCAAGTTTCTCCATAAAATCACGCCGGTTTAGGTCCGAATTTCGGAGAGAAGCAGGCAGGTTGTTCCAAGCAGTTGTTCCGGAAACAGCATGGTTACGAGAGCCTATACGGAGACTCGTTGTTGGGATCAGAAGCAGGTTTGAAACATCAGATGCTTTTGAAGATTTTTATGAACCTGCCAGACAGTCATTATGGAGCTAGACCGTTGATAGACTGGTGGATGAGTGTAGAACTTTTGAACGCCACACTTTTGTCGACGGTTAGCCAATGAAGTTCCTTCAATATTGGGGAAACATGGTCATATTTTAGAGCTCTAACAACAACTTTGCCGCTCGATTCTGTATTGATTGTAATACCGCCATGTTTTATGACTTGCCTGATACATACATTCATACACATGCGGTTATGAATGATTACCTATGTAGGCTTTTTCAGAAAGCTAATATACCCGCCGTAAAGGAATCTGCAGGCCTAATCTCTGAAAGGAGTAACAGACCAGATGGTTAGACTCTAGATCCTTGGTCCCGTGGTTGTTGTTTGGCGTGGGATGTGACGTTCCCCACAGGCTAGCCGATAGATTTATAACAATAAAAACTGCAAATTTTAAAAATAATAAATACAAAAATTTAACTGACAACACAAAATTGTTTTTGCCAATTTGTATTGAAACGTTTGGACCAATTGATATAGAAACACAATTTATTATTGATCATATAAGCTCAAAAATAGCTGAAATATCTGGCGATCCAAGTGATAAGGTTTATATAAAGCAAAATGTTTCTCCATTGTTACAAGAAATGTAACACTTCCTGTATTTTATAAAATATCGCCAGAAAGCCTGTACGAGACCCGTGAACTAATATTAACAAGCCAGTTGGGGCAAAGTGATGGTTTTTATATGACTGTTGTTTTTCTATTGGCTCGCACACACACTTACACACTTACACACACACACTTACACACACAAACACACACACTACACACACACGCATACATTTTTAAAACAGACGCATGCATACAATTTGTACTGACGTAACTGCATGCATTATGTTCTTACTTCTTTATCTTTAAATAAAATAGAAACACTTTTCTTTACATCACAATGGCGGATGAATTCGTGTAAAAAAGTTGCATCGATGTATATATAACATGTTATATATTATATTGCACACACACGCATATATATATATATAGATATATGTGTATGTATATATATACACATAGAATTAACACATCCTTAAACATCCATACATCTATCCATCCATCCATACATACATACATACATGCATGCATACATTCACACATACATACATATATACACACCTATACATACATATATACATTCATACATACAAATAAACAAACATAGAACAAATACATACTACATACACACGTGCATACATACATACATACATACATACATACATACATACATACATACATACATACATACATACATACATACATACATACATACATACATACATACATACATACATACATACATACATACATACATACATACATACATACATACATACATACATACATACATACATACATACATACATACATACATACATACATACATACATACATACATACATACATACATACATACATACATACAAAAGTTCATATGTGATATGGCGCACTAAAGAAATGTTAAAAGTTCTTCAATGTTTTTTATTTCCAGTTCCTTGACTGTAACAATAACAATGAAATTACATTAAGAATTTGTGATGTTGTAATATGTTACGTAATAACAACGGCAACTAGCAACAACAGTAACAACTGCAACAACAACAATAATAATTTTAAAACAATAATAGCAAAAGTACTAATTTTGTTGCGTTAATGTTAACATTACTAATGCTCAAATAAAATGTGATGCAGTTGGATAAACGAACGATGAAAACTATTAATATTCTGTTGTGGTGTGTGTGTTAAGATGCTCTACTTCTTCCATATTTTTAATTCAATTTTTCACTGTTGAAAATACATTTAACTATATTATATTATTAAAAATATAATAAAAGGATTATTAATGTCGTGAATAAATACATTATGTATCGATACGTTTTATCTGTATGATAAGTCTAATTGCTGTTCTATTATGGATTTCAACCTAAATTAAAAACTATTGAATCATTGATTTGAAGAATTTATGTGAAAATTATTTATATATTTAATAATATAATTAAGAATAATAGTAATAATAAATAATAATAGTAGTGGTAGTAATAATAACAATAATATAATACAAATAATAATAATAATAAATACATTTATTAATTTTGAATGGATACATTTTTATAGAATCTATTACTCATTAATTCATCGTCCCGACTACGTGCGGATACAAAGCCACAAACGGATTTTTATTTTAATATTTTCGTTTGTTTTGTTCAATTTTTTAAATTCCATTATTATTTGTTTGAAAATTTTTTAGGCCAATTCTTTACAATACCGACTTATGGTCTGAGGTCTTGAATAAGGAATAATATATTATTATTATTATTAATATAAATATTATTTAATTATTCCGGCTGCGATTATTATAATTATTATTGTTGTAATTTTTAATTATTTTTATTATTAACTTAATGCGAACGACGTATAGTCAGTGAATATGAGAGACCGTCGAATCGTCAGAAGCCATCTTAGCAGCAGAGTCACTTGAAATGTTTGCACTTTTGAAATATTCAACGATAACCTCTAGTAAACATGCCTGAAAGTATCGTTATTCTATTTTAATAGTTTCTTGTTGGGATTAATCAGGTTTTAATTTATAATTTGTTGCGACCGACCGTTGCTGTTCCGGTTTTGTCGGTTAATCGGTTAAAACCTTGCCGAACCGGCATTTGTTCGGAGTTTCCGTTAAGACACGAAGAAAACAATCACAATGGCTGACACCAACAACAATAAACAACAAGAAGAGACGGTGACGTCCTTGCCATCATCATCATCATCGCAAGACTTAACTTTTAGAAATCCACAATTCTCGTCGGAATCGAACCCGGTAACATTGGAAGTGATTCCGATTTCGGACGTTGCTACTGCTCCGACGGAACTGCCACGGTCAGCCTGCCTGCCCAGTGTGGCTTCCTCTACTGATATTATCGCTCACACGAGAGTAACCACTTTTTTAATTCGTTTTTGTCTAATTTTTGAAAGTTTTTTTTATTTTTGCAATTACTTATTATGCTCCTCTTGTTCGAGTGACGTCAATTTATTAGAATTTTTTTCCTATGCAAGAATTAATTTCTATTAATAATGGTTAATCAATAAAATACAATTTATTTCGAAAGTTAAAAGCAAAACACATTTTATGCATACACCGTTACTTAAATCTACAGCTTTTTAGAAAAGCTGAAAACAATTCACAACAACACACGCGCACGCACGCACACACACATACAGGAACACATACGAACACGCACAATTCCATCAAAATATTAAAATGAACATTTCATTTCACTAACAACACCAACAACAATGACAGCCGTAATTACCACAACCACACTTACCACCACAACTACAACTACCATAACACGATATCGAACAACGCCAGGACGACGAGGATCTGGTGCGACGAATGCGATCGAGTCGGCGTGCCTACTTGAACGTGGGCGGCACGAAGCACGAGATCATGTGGCGGACACTCGATCGACTGCCCAGGACGAGACTCGGGCGTCTGAGGTACTGCACTAGCGTGGAAGACGCGCGAATGCTCTGCGATGACGTCATAGCGATGGGCGAGGATTTCGTCGAATTTTTTTTCGACCGACATCCGACCTCGTTCGCGTCGGTTTTGAATTTTTACCGGACGAAGAAGTTGCATTTGATGGAGGACATCTGCGTCCTCTCCTTCAGCGATGATCTCGAGTACTGGGGCATCGACGAACTCTACATGGAGTCCTGCTGCCAGCATCGCTACCACCATCGCAAGGAAGGTGCGTTCCTGGTGGTGGTGATGATGGGAAAGATGATGATAAGAAAGATGATTGTAATAAAATTAATGTTGGTGATGATGAAGATGATGATAACAAAGAAGTTGATATTGATAATAAAAATGATATTCTGATATTCTTGAAGATGATGATGGTGATGGTCACGGTATTGATGATAATGATTGTGTTAAAAAGTTGAGAAGACAAGGGGTTTATGATAAAAAATCGATAATGCCAACAACAACATCATCATCATCATGAACACCAACAACAAACGACGATTGCTTCGTTATTTGCAACATATAGGTTGTAATATGTTGCAATTTTGAGATGATATCAGCGACATATTTCGATTTCCATCATAACATTAATATGAAACTATGACAAAAAATTGCAGGCGTGTTGGAAGAAATTCGCAAAGAAGCGGACAGCTTGCAAGAAACAGCTGAAGAAAACTTCGGAACTGGAAGGTGTTCCAGACCGAGGCAAAAAATTTGGAATCTGCTCGAAAAACCTCAAACATCTATGGCCGCCAGGGTATTTTATTTGTTTGTATTTGTGTATTTATCAGTATTTGTTTGTATCCGTCTGCATTTAAAATTTTATTGATTAGCTTTGTTTTCGCGATTATTTGCCGTTGTTGGCTTGTTGTTTGGGTTTAATGATGGTCGTTAATTTGATTGCTCGTTCATTTGTTTTGCTCGCATGCTCTTTTTAAAATACCTTCCGCTGTGTGGTTCGCAAATGAAATCTTTTATTTGTGCATGTCGTTATTTCCTATGTAATGTAAACATGGACAAACCGACTGAAGCAATTAACACATGTACGAACATACATAAATGTACTCGCAAACATTTCAAGCGCCTGCAGACACATTTCAATAAGAATACTCACAAAGAAAAAATAAAAATGTACTAATAAAACATGCTAAACAGCGTGTTGAGTTTGTAGAAAAACACTAAATAAAGGCAGCTACACAATCTTCAAATCTTATCTTATCTTCAAATCTTATCTTCAAATTAGTTAGTAAAAATGGCTTGGTTGAATGGTTGGTTAGTTGGCTGATGAGATGGATGAATTGACAGATTGGTTGATTGACTGGCTAGCCGGTTAAATGGTTCATGGTTTGTTGATTGGTTAGTTAAATAGTTTGTTAGTTAGCCGATTGGTTAGTTTGTTATCCAATCGGCCAGTTGGTTGGTTAGCATGATAAATAGATGATTAGTTGGTTTGTAAGAAAACATAACTAACCGAAACGGTAAAAAAGATGCATACAGACGTATAAAATCCACCTACGAACATTTAACAAACAAACATTATTGTCAGATTGTTGCAACACACATGTTAATAATTTTCGCATCAAACACATCATCCCACTTGCACAATAATTGGACTCCCACCAAACAGCTGCAAGAGGCACATTTTAAACTTTAATTTTAAATAATTAGATACACAAACAAACATAAACCATGCAAAAAACTGTTACTTCTCAAGATATATGAACGCACGAACGTGCCAATGTATAACCAAACATGCACATAAAACTTTTTTAGACACACGCACATACACACACACACACATGCACAAAAAACTTACATACGCGCACACGCACAAACAAATGTGTGCACGAACATGCGAACATGCAAACGTGGGAACAGAGGCATGCAAACATTTCTTCAGATGCTATTAAGCTAATGAATGAAACATCTGTATGAGTTATTAGTTCGCTGAAGCTAATGCAATCTTTGTCATCATTATTTTCTTGCTCTTCGTCATCATCTCACTTACTAACTGTCATCACGTCAACACCCTATCCACAATCATTCATCCCCTCATCTTGACATCAACACTACTAACGAGGCATCCCTTTATGGTAATTAGCCAATTATTATTATCATTGAATCATGAAAATTAAAATAAGATTAATGTATCATGATTTACACTAGGGTGAATATTTTAGCTGATTCATGAGAAGTTTATCGACAACTGAAAAAATGTCCTTTCCATATTATATGTAGAGTCTAGAGTTCACATACAGCGCTCATTCTGGTCCTCGTGAACGTTTTTTTTCAACAGATGCGCTTTGGTTTTTTTTCTAAAAACACTTTCTACAACTTCAATCATTCCTAAAAACACTCTACAACTTCAATCATTCCTAAATAAAAATCATTCCTAAAAACTTCAATCGTTTCTAAAAACACTCTCCACAACTTCAATCATTCCTAAAAACACTCTCTACAACTTCTATCATCTCTAAAAACACTCTCTACAACTTCTATCATCTCTAAAAACACTGTCCACAACTTCAATCATTTCTAAAAACACTCTTTACAACTTCCATCACCTCTTAAAACACTCTCTACAACTTCTACCATCTCTAAAACCACTCTCCACAACTTCTATCATCTCTAAAAACACTCTCCACAACTTCAATCATCTCTAAAAACAAACTCCACAACTTCAATCATTTCTAAAAACACTCTCTACAACTTCTATCATCTCTAAAAACACTCTCCACAACTTCAATCATTCCTAAAAACACTCTCTACAACTTCTATCATCTCTAAAAACACTCTCTACAACTTCTATCATTTCTAAAAATACTCTCCACAACTTCAATCATTTCTAAAAACACTCTTTACAACTTCCATCATCTCTAAAAACACTCTCTACAACTTCCATCATCTCTAAAAACACTCTCTACAACTTTTATCATCTCTAAAAACACTCTCTACAACTTCATTCATTCCTAAAAACACTCTACAACTTCAATAATCTCTAAAAACACTCTCCACAACTTCAATCATTCCTAAAAACACTCTCCACAACTTCAATCATCTTCAGTTCCGTACACCGTGAAACTTCTTGAAGCCACTCAACCCCCCGTGGTTCCTGGAAATAACTGTTCCCGAAGAACTTCAAAATTCTTCCACCTCGATCACATAGGGGCGATGTGACGCCAAAAAATGCCAACAAATACATTCGATCTAAGTTCGAACATTGCGGCTGTCAATTAATAATATCACAATGTTACTGTGACATATTTTAGTGTTTTGTTCGGTTGAAATAACACTTCCACTTATCAGTATGTCATACAATTTATTGTTTCTTTCATTTACTTTTCAAGAATTTATCACCAGTGGTGTAGTGTTTAAGGTGCCTGGCACTGTTGTTGCAGTGACAAGTTTTGAATGCAAAGAGGTCTCCGCCTATCACATGCATCTCTATGATTGATGTCTGAATTCACATGTTTGTTGCTGATACTTTTGACAAATTTTCAAATAAATCATAATTTAAAAATATCATAATTCATACATTATAGTTAATGGAAATGTTAGGCTATTGTTATGTTATAAACATAATTTAATTTATATTTTACATTTAACGACGCTAAATTTTAAAAATTTTATTGTTGATATCTTTATTTTCTTCAAGAGTATATGTTGTAAAGCTTGAAAGATTACTTAACTCATTAATTTATAGAAGTTCTAACAAAGGTTGTTGTGGTTGGTTGTGTCATTGTAAATAAAGGTCATCACACATCATTAATACTTTTGTTAGTTACTGGACAGAGTGGTAAGCAAAAAACAGTTCATCTCATAAACAAAATGTTCCTCAGTTCAAACAATCAGTTCATCCATCTAACCATATGTTCATCCATTTATCCATCTAACCATATGTTCATCCATTCATCCATCTAACCATATGTTCATCCATTCATCCATCTAACCATATGTTCATTCATTCATTTAACTACACGTTTCTTCATTTAACCATATTGTTAATTTATTTATTCATCTTATCAATTTTTTCATTCAATTACTCATAATTTCCGACTAATAACTAACCAGTATTTTATAACTTCACTAAAAACATACAAGTATATGAGCCCGCCTCAACATGGTATTACTTTCTTACCCACAAATGCTTGCAACGAATGTAGGCATGCTAGTATCAAGTAGGCTGGTGTTGCATGAATTAACACTATACAAACACGTGAACCATCACAAACAAATAATAAAACATGCACTCTTGCGTAAACATACAAATGTTTATACAAACATGCAAACATAACAAATGAACGTTTAGATGGATGCGTATGTGGATGTATAGCACTGATTCGTATACCAAAACAAATCCATAATTTGTTTATATAGCAAGACCCAGCTGTAATATAACGTTGAAATAATAAATAAACCAACTCATATTTATCATCATCACGTTTTTGTCTACAACAACAACAAGAAAATCACAACATCAACAACAACGCAACATCAACAACAACATCAAAAACAATGCAGCATCATTTACAACATGTTACAACAACGTTAATACTATTTACGATTTCAACAACATTACATCAGCAGCAGCAACAACATCAAAAAACATCAAACACATCGTAGAGCAACGATAAGACCAAAAATAAGAACATCAAATCAATAACACCAATACAACCGACCACTAATATAACGGTTCAAACTTCAAAATACATACAACCTGAAAAATACAAACGTTGATAAACAATAGTAATAATAAGCTGAATAAACAACTGACTCAACTTCATATCAGAGTATTAAAACTTTAGAGGTAGTGACGTCAGAGCAACAAAAGCACACGTGTTTCTCTTCACATGTGCAGAAAAGCTTCTATATACGATTATACATACATATGTGTCCATGTGTGCATGTATGAACGTAATGTTTATCTGTAAGTATATATATATTTTACAACATATATATATATCAACTCACGAAGTAAATATATATATTATATATTTTTTATATCCATAAATATATAAATCATCACCGTTCTCATATTCTCTTCATCATAATATATATATATATATATATATATACATATATACATATATATATATATATATATATATATGTATATATATTATTATTAAAAGAAAACTTAATTTACCGTTCGTTATAGCAGTTTTCACAAACGCTATCAAATTATAACCAATATTAATAACAAAATAGCATTTTCAAAGCAATTTACATCATTATCATCAACAACATCCCCATCATCATAGTCAAGATTCTCATCATACTGATATTTTCATTATCATAATTATCTTATATATATATATATATATATATATATATATACAAATGTATACAAACCCACATGTATGTATGCGTGGAAACGAACGCAAATTTTTCTTACTTAGTACGATGTAAGACGTTCGTCTTAGGTGCACTGATGCAATTCTATGCCGATCAAATTTAAATAAATTGATCGTCATCATTATTATCACCTTCGACATTGTTACTATAAATTTTATTTTCATCATCACTGTTCTCATATTCTCTTCATCATTACCAACGTTATCATCATCATCATCAACAACATGATCATCATAATTATCGTGTATTTTGACGAGATTTTTTTCATCATCGTCATTACTATCATCATTATTCTTATCACTATTGTATTCAATGCAGTTGATATCATCATATTATCATTACCGTCACCACCATCATCATCATCATCAAAGCAATTTACATCATTATCATCATCAACAACATCCCCATCATCATCATCAAGATTCTCATCATATCATTACCATTTTCATTATCATAATTATCATCATCATCATCATTGTTAACATTATGATGATGATCATCATCATTAACGTTTTCATCATCAACACTGTCGTCATCATTCTCTTTTTTTCATCGTTCATACTATCATCCTCATTAACACCATCATCATCACATCAACAACATCCTCAAAAGCTTCATCGACAGCATCGTTGCAATAATAACAATCGTCATCATCATCATTGTCATCGTCGTCGTCATCATCATCATTGCCATCATCACCAGGCAGTAGCCATTATCTCCATCCTCTTCATCATCGTCTCGACCATCGGGATGACCTTGAACACGATCCCAGAGTTGCAGGAGGATGACGGTGAGGGCAACAAAACTGACCGCAAGGAGCTGGCCACTATCGAGGCCACGTGCATCGGATGGTTCACGCTGGAGTACTTACTCAGGTGAGGATGATGATCGTAATGATGATGATGGTGAATGTGATGATGATGGTGAATGTGATGATGATGGTGAATGTGATGATGATGGTTGTGGTGACATTAACGATAATGGTGTTCGTTTGACTGTGAAGATGATGGATTTCTGTTGTTGTTCAGCTCAGTCAGGAAATGTCATACTTAGATATTTTAGCAATCCACTGTTGTTATCTTCATTATTTTCCAACTCATCAACACAATCAATATAACTTCGCCCCATGTTAGTCCTATTAAATTGTTTTTCATCATTTTATTTTATAACTACATAACTATAACAGCATCATCAACAACATTGTCATCATTTTCATCCTCATCATCAGATTCTGGGCCAGTCCAGCCAAGTGGGCCTTCTTCAAGAGTCCCCTGAACATCATCGACCTGCTGGCCATCCTGCCCTATTACATCTCCCTGGGTCTCGACGAGCACAGCAGCAGAACCAACCAGTTTCAAAACGTTCGCAGGGTCGTTCAAATATTCAGGTTGTCATTTATTTATTTAATTTTTATTCATTCTTTGAATTTTAACAAAAAATTTCTCGATATTTTATCAACATTTCATGTATTATCTGTATATTTTATACTTTGTAGCTTTCATTAAATTAATTTTTAGAACGTATGAGCAATCTCAAATGATCAGCAAATTGTTCCACATGCCTCATGGCAGTGGTGCTCTGTCGTACGACAGAAACTTGCAGGCGCCTCGCGAACTTGACACGTCGGCGTACAAATGAATATGTGTGTGGTGTTTCAGCACCTGAAAAAAGAAGTTTAACTGCAATTTAGTGAACATAGAACATGTTGTAAACAGCTGTCAGTTTCTTTAAACTGCATAAACACGTAGTTTAGAAAAAATAATTATTGGAACATTTTTCCAGTTCTATGTATAATATACACAACATGCGATGATGTTTTCAAATTTCTTTATTTCTATAATTGCCTTCTCAAAATTTTTTCAATTCAATTACATTCTATCCTACAGGATAATGAGAATAATGAGAATCCTGAAGTTGGCCCGCCACTCGACCGGCCTACAGTCTCTGGGTTACACCCTCCAGAGAAGCTACAAGGAGCTCGGGTTGCTTGTCATGTTTATGGCGATCGGTGTCCTTCTATTTTCTAGTCTTATATTCTGCGCTGAAAAAGAAGAAAATGGTAATTTATTCCGCAGTATACCAGAAACATTTTGGTGGGCAGTTATTACGATGACGACGGTGGGGTACGGAGATATATACCCCTCAACTCCATGGGGAAAGTTGGTTGGTTCTCTTTGCAGTATTTGCGGAGTGCTGGTCATCGCTCTACCTATCCCGATCATCGTTAACAACTTCGCCGAGTACTACCAAGATCAGATGAGGAGAGAGAAAGCCCTGAAACGTCGTGAGGCCATCAACAGAGCCCGCATGTCAGGCAGTCTCATTTCTCTCGACACCGAGGCTGAAGAGTTCCTAAAGTCGACGACCAGTACGATTGACGTGCTGGATCAAAAAATGGATAACAAACTTCATTCCGACATCGAAGTCCTACCAAACCGCTACCAGATCACTCGCTACAAAAGCAAAAAACCTCTCAAAAGCAGCGCCCTCGACGAAAGCAGATTTGACGTTCAATCTAAGAATCCAGACAGGAAGGATTCAGCCGAGCAGAGGTTGCTGCAACAACATCGGCAGCTGCAACGGTTGGAAGACAACGATGCAACCGCTCCCACATGTGATAACAAAATAGCTGATGCTTCAAACATCAACAGACCCCCGCCAGCCTACGATGAAGGTCATCACCATCAACATTCTCCTCATCTTCGTCAGCATCTTTATCCCAATCCTCACCACCACTCGCCCTCCCAGCAGCATCACGTGACGATGGACGCTGATGACGACCACAAATCGTCCGCGGTTGGCATTCCTTCCTCCATCTATTTATTTTTCTTTACAATTTCTCTCAAGCACTTAATACAATTACAACCAACCTCTCGTAATACTTTGTTTTTTCTTCTTATTTTAAAAAATGTATAAGTTAAAACTTCAAACATACGCTCATACATACATTTGAGCACAAACATACATACACAATAAGAGCGAACGAAAAGACACATACAAACAAAAACATGCAAGCACACATAAACATGCAAACACACATGCAGACCATCATTACCAAACATCGTTAACAAAAATATTGAGTTCGCATTCGAGCCTAAGTGCAAATTGCGCTATAATAATAATAATAATAAAATAATAATAATAATATAAATAATAATAATAATAATATAAATAATAATAATACTGGTGATAATAATGGTGATGTTAAATAAATAAAAATGAAAAAAATAATAATAATGGTGATAATGAAATGATGATAATAATAATAACAATAATAATAATGGAAACACTTTTTATTATTGAACCTCAAAAATCTAAAATCAAATTTCATAAATATATAAATGATTATAGTCATCAATGCTCATCATTCACATCTGAGTACAAGGATGATAAAAAATGATAAAAAATTGTTCACGTTTTGTTCCTTTCACAGTATATTGCATACGCTGAACTAATTGCACAATTTGTTAGGTTATCTTTAAAAATGTCTGGCCAAGTTAAATCGATTAATGACAGTTTAAAAGGATTGTAGAAACCTATAGGACTAATCTCAAAAGTTTTAATTAAAACATTAAAATTTAAATAATCATTTGACAAATCATTTTTGAGATTCTCATTGTATTTTTCCAGTTTGTAGAGTTTGGATGAAGTGAAGTTTGTCTCGTGACAAACCGTCAGCTCCAGAATCTCGATGGTATTGTTCTCGACTATTGCGATATCAGGACGGAGCGATTTGAATACTTGCGATACTGGACGGATTGTTTCATTATCGAGATCCGCAAATATGTTTAATTCTGGTTTCGCACATGATTTCAAGTGGTCAACGATTAAAGCAAGAATTTTGTTGTGACGCTCCAAATATCTTCCCAATGCAACGGTTGAGCCGCAGTTTGATAGAACATGCTTGTTCGTTTGTTTCGCATTACATAATGGGCACAAGTCACTACTTGCCTTCCCCCATCTAAACAAATTTGAGTTGGTCGGCAGTTGCTGGATTAGATATTTTCTTTTGAATTTGAATAGAATATCTGGTGCTTTTCTCGTCAAATCAGACCATCGCGTGACTTCAGAAGCATTAATGTGGTCTTTTATTGATCTTAACAAGATTCCTTGGTATTGTAATGAAGATATATGATTAAAGTCCAGGTCATGCTGACGTTGTTTACATATTTTGAGTGCCTGTTTGAGATCGACTTTTTGGATAATGTTGTCTATATTTTTGTTACCATTGGCTGATTCTTCCCACAGACATTTCATTTCATCATCTGCATTAAATCTTAGACCACCACGCAGCTTCATTCTTAATAACTCAGCATGATTTTTCAGTAATCGAATGTTGAGGCCTCCGTTTTTATAGGGCAAAGTCAGAATTTCCGCAGCGGTGGTGTCTAACTGATCAATTGCGTTCAGCATGGTTCTTAGTTTAATATGGAGATGGTCTTTTACTTTCGTATTTTTGCCTTCAAAATCATATTTTCTACCCAAATATGTAAATTGTTCGTTGATACATATTTGAGGCATTGACACATCATCAAGTGATAATCTGGGTAGAAATTGTTCAAACTGACCTTCTTTCTTGCGCATTCCAAATGTGCAGCATTTTTCAGGTCTTATCTTCATGCCTGTCCATTGACACCATGCATTGTTGATATCGATCAGCCTCTGGGCACCTTCTGTGCTGTTGGCGACAATTGCGGTATCATCTGCAAATTGGAGCCATGCTTTTGATTTTAGATTAGCTGCTGGACCCCAAAGATAGCCACATTGCCGGTATTTTTTCCCCACTACTTTCATTAGTGGGTTAAAAAAAAGATTAAATAGTAGGGTGAACAAGGATCGCCCTGGAGCACTCCACGTCCCACTTGAATGAACGGTGTCAGTTCATCGCTTGCTGATACCGTTATCGAGTAATCATTATAAATTGATTTGATTAGATTGCTCACATGTGTCGGAACATAGTGATACTTCAGAGCTGATATGATGAGAGCATGACTAACCTCACCGAACGCGTTTCTTAGGTCAAAAAGAGTGACGATGATTGATCGTTGATGCCTTTTGGCATCTTTTAGCAGATGCGTCAACAGTTGAGTATGCTCTGCAACGCCGTCAATCCCTGGGTAGAAACCTTTCTGAGTTGTTGTGTCGATAAGGTTGTTCATTTTTTCATAATAATAATAATAATAATAATAATAATGGTGATGATGAAAGGATAACGTGACAATGAGATAAGTAGAGAATTATGAGAAAGATTAAAACGATGCAAATTATGGTGTCTTACATTTTATAATAATATGACAACAACAACAGTAATAATAATATTATTATTATTATTAATAATAAAAAGAATATACTGATAATTTTTACAAAATTGTGAAATTACTTCAATTTTTTCATTTTTTATTTTCAATTGTAGAGTTCAACTTTCTGAAATATTTATCCGAGAAATTTTTCAACGTTTCTCCATTCGGTTCATATTACACATACCAAGAATGCATATCATACATGTTTTAAAACACATACACACACAAAAACACATACATTCATACATGCACACAAATACATACTCACAAATTTAAACCAAGCATAAAAAAGTAAATAAACACATATGCATTTACTATAAACAAACACATAAAAGTGTATGCGGAGAAACACGTGCTAAAACATGATAGTGTGTGTAATACCAACATCCACACATGTAACAAACACATGTGTATATTGACGCTACATAAACCTATCTCTATACACACAAACAAATATATACATACATACATACATACATACATACATACATACATACATACATACATACATACATACATACATACACACACACACACACACACATACATACATACATACACACACACACACATACATACATACATACATACTTACATATATACATACTTACGTACGTACGTACGTACATACATACATACTATCGCACAATGCATACTTTGCATATAATTTTATTCATTCAATAACAACTAGAAGGAAAAAGTTTTTTTTCCTGATTTTTATTTTGTTTATACTAATTTACAGAGCCTGGCAGAAGCGATGTATAGAGCGAAGCAAGCTTTCTTCTCCAAACGATCAAAACCATCATGATGATAATAGAACAACAACAACAACAACAACAGTACTACTACTAATAATAATAACAACAATAATAATAACAACAAAAAATGATAATAAGATTATTATATAACAATGATAACAAAGATTATTATATAACAATAATACTTCGAAAGTATAACATAGCAATATTATCCTTATCATCGTCATCATATTTTTATTATCACCTAATAATATGTAATTGTCATATATACGTCAATAAAAACTAATAATCCTTTTAGTTGATGATATTTTTTTATCATATATATATATATATTATATATATATATATATATATATATATATATATATATATATATATATATATGTCTTGATAAACAAATATATTAAAATGTACATAATTAATTAAAGTCACACACACACAAACAAACAAACAAATACACAGACACCTACAAATTATTGATGAAAATCACATCATGTTCAATAAATGTATATAATTAATTAAAGTCACACATATATATATATATATATATATATATATATATATATATATATATATATATTCATACAGTATTGTATGAATTGATGATTTGTAATAAATCGAAATAAGGCCTATTGGCATGATGAATTTGACTAACAAATGTTTTGTTAAATCTTTATGATGAACTTGGATAATAATTAAATCTTCAATAAAGCGAACAATTTCCAGAAAATTCTAGTAAGAAAAATTAAAAAGACAAACTTGATTAATTGATTAATGCTAACAGTTTTGTAGAATTCATACAATACTGTATGAAATATTGTCTCCTTCCAACATATAATTATATATGTACATATATATATATATATATATATATATATATATATATATATATATATATTATTCCTGTATATATATATATATATATATATATAATATAATTTATTTAGTTGAATTTACTAAATGTATATAGTATAGATGGGTGCCCACAATTTAAACTTCACTGCAATTGAGATGGTCTTGATCTTCGTTAACATTTTAAAAAATTGTGGTCATCACCTCCATCATCGTTATTATTGCCATCATCATCGCCATCATCGTCATCATCGCGATAGATGATAATTAGTAAAGGTGTATTATCTTTGTATCATTCAGGCACTGTGATATATAGTTCATTTGTTTCTTTTTCCCGCTCTTCCTTGATTTTCGCTTCGGTGTTTGTCATTGTACGTCTCATCCTCCATCATCGTCCTCTTTCTTTTCTCACACTGTTTATCTTTCGCTCACTCTTTTTCTTTCTTTATCTCTCTTTTTCAATCTTTAGAACATAGTTAATTTTTCTAGTTATAATAAAATCTGTACCTATTTGTTTACAAACATTTTAAAATTGTTATTATAATTATGTGAGTGTGTGTGTTATTATTATATTGTTTGGTCGTGCAGTGTAGCTGATGTAGGTTCGTGTGTTTTTTCTGCTTTCAGTTCTTTGTTTCTCCGATTCTATTGTTCGTTTGCGCTTGTTAACATCAAGAAATTTTTTCATTAGCCAAAACCTTTTATTTATTTTTTTAAATTTTCTTCTGAGATTTTGCCTAGAAACATTACAAGTGTCATTTACTAAGTGCTCTCTCTCTTTCTCTCTCTCTTTCTCTAACTTTCTTTCCCTAATGTGATTGTGTTTATGTGTACGTGCAGGACATTATTTCGACCGGGCGCCGATGCACATATTTTTTTTCTATTTTTTGTGTGCAATTTATTTGCTGTTCACTAATGAATCACGATAAGAAACATGCGCATGTTTCATTATTACATTTGCGTCGTCAGAGCATATTTCAACTCTGACATTAAATAATTTTATTTTAAACTCAATTTTTATGATTATGGATTTTTATTTGCTTATTTTTACATGAAAGTTATGCCTTGTACATCACGAGCGATGTTTGATTGATTGATAACACACGCTCATTTTGTATGCGCGCGTGTATGTGTGTATACCTATGCATGCATGTATACAAGTATAAATTTTCGTATTTATATGTCTCTGTGTGTTTGTATGTATGGGATTGTTTGCGTGTGAGAATTTCATGGGTATATGGGAGAATGATTACGTGCGTGATGTTTGTATTAATGTTTTAGCGTATTTTGCATGTATTTCGTATTATGTTTGTAATATAATAATTGTGCATTATTTGAATGTTTGAATGAAAGTGACTGCAACTTCAATAACTACAAGTGATCAAGTGATATCTTGTGTGTGTGTGTGTGTGTCTGTCGGTGTGTTTGTGTTTTGTGTGTGTGTGTCGGTGTGTGTGTGAGTGAGTGAGTGTTCTTCGTCAACGTCATGTTTATAATTAAGAAATATTGACAAGTTATGTTGATATCTATATAATTGAATTATCTAATTTTGGCAAAATTCAAAGTTAACAATGACAGTCTGTGGCTACGTATGATATTGTCGCGTTCAAATGTTTTTTTGCTCTCAATTTCTCGTGTCATCGGTATTATTTTCGTCGTCTGTATTAGACTTTTATCGTTTAATATATCATTGAAATGTCGTTATTAGTGACGTTCTAACTAATAAATTGGTCGTATTATTTTTCCGATTTAATTAATCTGTATTTCGAAGTAACCTATTCTAATGTTTTAATAAAAAATTTTGAAAAAAAAAATTAATTTGTTAATATTTGCAGTATAATCGTTACTGCATTTTAATAAATATCAGAATGAAGAATAAGCTTCAATTGGGACAACCAATTTTTCGAATATTCGTAATTACAAATGTTATTAGCTTATTTTATTTTTTTACTATTATAAAATTTAAATATTTATTTTTCTTAGAAAATGGAGAATTACTTTTTTAAATTATCGACGGTAAAAAAATAACTAGACCATAAATTAATCTTTAATCCTACCAATAAAAATTTATTTTCATTGGTCAGTTCAGATTTACGATGCGTTTATTATAAATTAACGCAAATATCATTTACCACTGGCTTTCCATGTTAATCCTAACTTTTCTTTGTAAGTGGACACTATATAACCCAATGCCAGCCGCAGGAGACAATCATTAACTTCTGTATCGATTATATTTCCTATTACAATATTATTAGTTGTCAGCGTTAATCATGCCTAAAAAAAGTAATTTCATTACCATTTGTTTTAGATTTCCAACAATTTCTTTGCGGAAATCAAAGTCAAAGACGAAAAAGAAATGTAGCCAGATTTTCAAACGGGATTTAGACTGGAAGATGGATGATCAGCAAAAAAGAGAACTTTTTATGGAAACGGTAAAAGAAGAAGATGATGTTTTGATGGGACAGAAAGATAGGTTCCTAACTCCAAAGACATTTGAATCAGAATGCGAACAGCAACAAACGAGTTTAAATATTGCTTTGAAAGTTGGATTTGACTATTGGGATAACGATGTTGTTTTGCATCATTAGAAAAATTGTAAAAATTTGAATGTTGCCGTTCGTTCTGAATAAACGGTCTATAAGGGCTTAGAAAAGAAAGATGAAAAAGATGCTTTTGACGTAGAAGCATCAACACGGAAGCGTCAACACAGACTTCAATGAAAATTAAATCGCCCGATCGGTGACTTTAGGGTCAATAAAACAAGTAGCAGAGCCAGAGCCAATGGATCATACGTATCCATCGATGAGTTCAAATGTTACGTGACATCCAAAATATACTTTTGAGTGAATCAAGATTTGATGCAGAAAACTTTTATAAAAATTCGTATATCAAAAAACGTTTAACTAAAAGGATAAAATTTTACAGGCAAAGAAAACAAAGTGAGTCACTGGCTAACACTATACAAGTCCGTAACAACATTTATCAAACAATGATGATAATAAGATTGAAAAGACTAGAATGTTTGAAGAAAAAATCAACGATCGGCTTTACCATTAAAAAATGATGACGAATAGACAGAGAAGACTAAAATTTCTAAAAGATAAATCAACGATAGGCACAAACAGCCCTATTAACAAACTATTGTATTGATATCTGGTAATTTTGAAAGTTACAGCTTAGCATACAACTATGCAGTAAAAACAATTATAACTATATACGTATCATTATAAAGTTAAACGTTAATAGAGTATAGTTACCATTTTTGAGATATATGATATGTATATATAAAAAAAATTACTGTTTATGTAATTTTCTATCGTTAGCGCTGTTAAACCGTTTACTGATATTACAGTGTCAATTAATCTCTGTTTCGTTTGTGGTCCATTTTCAACTTAAAACAGTGTTTTCCTATGTAAAAATTGAGTATTGCCTCGGTCGCTATTATCATTACTAATTTTTTTTACAAAATACTGCTTACAACGTCATGTGACTTGTATGGAATACCAAATGATAATTATAACAATGATGTCCTTGGTACATTATCAAGTCGTTGAGTGTTCATGCTTAATTGAGAAATATTGAAAAATTATGCTGATATCTCTGGATATGGTTATTATCGTATTTAAGCAAAAAGTCAACGTTACCAGTGACTGATGCGTTCAAACATTTTTTTTGTTCTTAATTTCTCTTGTCATCGGTATTATTTTCTTCGTCTGTATTAGACTTTTATCGAGAAATATATCATTGAAATGTCGTTATTAGTGATGTTCTAACTAATAAATTAGTCATATTCTTTCCGATTTCATTAATCTCTATTTTGAAGTGGCCATTAATATTTTCAACTCTAATGTTTTAATAAAAAATTTTGGAAAAAATAAAAATTAATTTGTTAATATTTGCAGTATAATCGTTCCTGCGTTGTACTGAATATCAAAATGATTTACAAGATTTAATATGTTTCAATGGGACAACCAAATCTATATATTTTCAATTATTTTCTTAATTACAATTGTTATAAGCTTATTTTAAATCAATTTAAATTAGTTTTTTCTGATTAATTTTTTATAATAAAACTTAATAAAACTTATTTTTCTTAAAAAATAGTTTTCCGAAAAGTTTTCCGACGGAGGACGACGATCTAACGTCTTATTTTTTAAATTACCGATCGTAAAAATAAAATGGTCAGACCATTAATTAATTGATTTATTTTCAATGGTCAGTTTAAATTTACGATGCGTTCATTAAATACGAATATTATTTACCACTGGCTTTCCATGTTAATCCTAACTTTTTTTGGACACTATATAACCCAGTGCCAGCCGCAGGAGACAATCATTAACTTCTGTATCGATTATATTTCCTATTACAATATTATTGGTTGTCAGCGTTAATCATGCCAAAAAAGTAATTTCATCATCATTTGTTTTGGATTTCCAACAATTTCTTTGCGAAAATCAAAGTCAAAGACGAAAAAGAAATGTAGCCAGAGTATCGAACGGGATTTAGACTGGAAGATGGATGATCAGCAAAAAAGATAACTTTTTATGGAAACGGTAAAAGAAGATGATATTTTGATGGGGCAGAAAGATAGGTTCCTAGCTCCAAAGACATTTGAATCAGAATGCGAACAGCAACAAACGAGTCCAAATATTACTTTAAAAGTTGGATTTGACTATTGGGATAATGATGTTGTTTTGCATGATTACGAAGATTGTAGAAACTCGAATGTTGCTGTTTGTTCTGAAAAAAACGGTCAATCAGGACTTTGAAAAAAAAATGAAAAACTGGAAAAAAATGCTTTTGACGTAAAAGCATCAACACAGAAGCATAAACACAAACTTCAACGAGAATGAAATCGCCTCGATCAGTGACTTTAGTGTCAAACGATAAAACATGTGGCAGAGCCAATGGATCATACGTACTCATCGATGAGTTTAAATGCTATTGTGACATCTAAAATCAGAAAATTGTTACAAAAATTCGTACATTAAAAAATGTACGACTGAAAGGACAGAATTTTACAAGCAGAGAAAACGGTCACTGGCTAACACCATACATGTCAGTAACGATATTCATCAAACAATGATGATGATACGATCGAAAAAACTAGAATGTTTGAAGGAAAAATCAACGATCGGCTTAACCATTAAATATAATGTTGAATAAACAGAAAAGGCTTAAATTTTTAACGAAGAAATCAATGATCGCTGTTAATTTTGATCTTAGATAAATCGTCGTCGCAAACCTAGGCCGTCTCCCTTTTGGCTGGGACACGTCTCCTCCCAATGAGTTATCTCTGGTCATGAAAACGAGGGCCCGGCGGAAAAACTATCGCACCCAGCTTGCCAGTCGGTTAATCCAGCCTTGCTAGCCATCGACATGTCCTTCCGACATATTTGTCATGTTTCAAAAAAGTCGAACAGAAACTTATTTAAACACGTTAAATGGTTAAATAAAACAAAATAAAATACTAACAATGTCCTTCAATATAAATTCCAATTTCAAATGTTTACAGCTTAAACAACTTCTAACGTTTTAATTAATTAATATTGAAAATTTTTAACAGAATAAATAACTGAAAATCAACTTTTACGATAACAGCGCATATGTTGAACCCAATAAGATAATAAAATCCAAGAGACCCAGCAATAAACAAATCACGAGAAACAAATTAAGAACCAACTAGAAAAAAAACAAGAACCCCATTCCATGCTCGTACACCGTGTTCATGCACACAACCTTACACACTAATTAAAAAACGATTCAGCTCATACTGACTCTACTCGCATGTACTCACCTACATTTATTTTATCGTACAAACACGCAAACAGCACCGAATTCACACGACCTTCTACCAACATGCGCGCCATTCAAATCTCACAGAACTTATGTTCAATAACAAACAAAGCCTTAACATTTTTTATCGAGACAAACAATTTTTCAACTTTTTTCAACTTTTATTTATTTCAATAAATTTAGTTTCAATTATTTTCTGAATTACATGGGTACATTATTAGCTATTTAGTTGTAATATTTGAAATAAATTTAAATTTGAGCATTCATTTTTGTTAGAGAAGGGAGAATTAATTTTTTAAATTATCGAAAGTAAAAATACTTAGACCATTAATTAATTTTTATTTTTCAGTCCCGACAAAAATTTATTTTCAAAACCTTGTTTCTAAATTAACAGGAATATTATTTACAACAATAGGCTTTCCATGTTAATTCTAACTTTTTTGGTAAGTGACACTATATAACCTAGTGCAAGCCACAAAAGACAATCATAATCCCATTACAATACTATTGGTTGTCAGCGTTAATCATGCCTAAAAAAAGTAATTTCATCACCATTCGTTTTGGATTTCCAACAATTTTTTTACGGAAATCATAGTCGGAGAAAAAGAAATGTAATAAGGGCATTGAAGTGGATTTAGATTAGATAATGGATGATCGGCAAAAAGAGAACTTTTGATTCAACGGAAAAGAGGAAGATAAAATTTTGTTGGGACAGAAAGATAGGTTCTTAACACCAAGAGAGTTTGAATTTGGAAATGAGCAGCAACAAAGAGATCCCAAAATTGCTTTGAAAATTGGATTGAACTATTAAAGACAATGATTTTGTCTTGCATCATAACGAAGATCGTACAAACTTGAATGTTGCTGTTCTTTGTGAAAAATACGGCCAATAAGGAAAAGATGCTTTCGAAGCATCAACACAGACTGTAATAAAATTAAATTAGCTTTAAATGATGCGTAAAGATTTGATGCAAAAAAGCTTTTATATAAAAAATTAGTATATTTTCGTACAAATTCGAAAAAAGTTCCGCTGAAAGGATAGAATTTTACATGCAGAAAAAACAAAGTGTGTCATTGGCTAACACGATATGAGTTGGTAACAAAGTAATAAAAAAATGATTATGGGTAGATTGAAAAGACTGAAATTTCTGAACAAAAATCAAAGATCAACTTCGCCATCAAGAAATAATGACAAATAGACGGATAAAACTGAAATTTCTGAAAGAGAAATCAACAATCGGCAGCAACAGCGCTGTTGACAGGCTATGATTTTGATCTGAAATATTTGAAATTTACAGTTTTGAATACATTTATTACTATATATCATTGTAAGGTAAAAACGTTATTAAAGTATCGTTTTTATATAATAAAATTACAGTTAAGTAAAAAAAACTATCTATCATGTTAAATTGTTTACTGATATTACAGTTTCAATTGATTTTGGTTTCGTTTGTGTCGAAGATTGGTTTTTAGACAAACTTTTTTTAACAGAGTCAAATTTAACAATATATTTGTCAAAATTTTTTGGATTTATTCCTGACTTTTCTGCTTTTACAAAATCTTTTAGAATTTTTCTTTCGCTATCTCTTCTCTTTCTTTCATTTCTCTGCTTTCTTTCCTCGTTCCTTTTCTCAAGTTTTTTTTGCAATATGAGATCTTTGAGTTCTTCTTCTTTCAATCTTATTTTTCTTTTTGCTTCTCTTCTTTGGTAATCTTTCTCGATTCTTCGCCTTTCGATAGCCTTGACCAATTCATTTTCAAGTTCGTGCATCTTAAATTCGTTCTCCTCCTCCAGCATCTGTTCCTTCTTCATTTCAATTTCCTTTTTAATAGTTTCAAATTGTATTCGTTGTTCCTCAGCTTTCTTGACCTCAATGATGTCTTCCAGCAACTTCTTCTCTTTCTCCAGTTCTCGAGTTACGACCAATTTTGCTTCGGATATAGAATTTTTTTTGGACAGGCATGCAAAGTAGCAGCATGTTAATACTGTACATCTGTTGCATTATTATGTTAATTAGGTACACGCAAATTTCGGTTTGAAGTAATTTTAATGTTTAATTATAGGAAAATATACATACATAACGAAAAGAGTTGCTATGACAGTCATTCCGATCAACACAAAGTGATCTTTACCAGTAAAAGCACTTTTAATTTCTAAGAGGTATGAAAATATTTATTTTATATAAAATCTTTTAATTAACTGCATAGGTTATTTTTTTATTTAAAATAAAAATATGACAGACTTGATAAAACAACGAGTGGTGTAGTATGATGATGAGATTTTTCGTAAAGAACTAAATAAGCTTCCTCGTCATATAACAAATAATTGTCTCTATCTGAATCTATTTTGTACATTTTGCGTAAAAGTTATCAATTTATATTGACAATTTTGTTTATTCACCATATGCATGCAAGTTAACATTTAAAAAGTAAATATAAGATGCGTCAAACAAATAGATATGAAAATTTGGTTCCGTACCCTAATTCTTTTAGAAGTGCCATAAGAAATAAACCAAAATTACAATACGGACATCAGTCTATATAAAAATTATCTTTTTCTTTTTTCTTCACTCTTCTTTTTCTTCTTCTTTTCATTTTTTTTCTACTAAACTCAATTTTTTTCTCTAGCATTCTTTCTTCTTCAAGCAGTTTTGCCATTTTCTCTAACTGATTTGTTTTCACTTTCAGACTATCTTTAGTCTTCTTTTTTTCTTTTTGTCTTTTTTCAGCAAGTTTTTTAATCTCCAACCCCACATCTTCAATCTTTTGAGCTTTGATCTCTTCCAACAGGAGTTCTTTGTCTAGCCGATCTTGTCTATTTATGGCTTCTTTCATGGCTCTCTCTTCTTCTTTTTTCTTGACTTCGATCATTTCTTGAAAGGTTTTTGCGTCGTGATAACCCGGCCTGCCTAGGAGTGTGTTGATAGCATTTTCATCTTTCTTCGGGCAGCAGACGTATTTGTAGAGCACGTATATAATGACTCTGTTGCCAAATAAGCATCATTTAAAAAATGAGACAAAAATTAAAGTATATAACAATACTCCGTAGTTTAATTTTATCAATTAAGACGTTTACTATTTTTTTACTATTTTTCTAATGCTGACGTTTGTGAATAAAAATTTACATAAAAGTGACGAAGCTGACCATGATGATAAGATACCATGACATGACAGGCCAAATTGTTTTTACGGCTCCTATAGAAAAACAATTAAAAAATTAAATGTTATTAGTAAATCTTTTATTTATCATCATTACAATCGCTATTTCATTTCCCCATCATTATTACCACCATATTAATCTTCGCTTAACCTCCCAGAACATTCCTGTTTCTTCCATTTTTATCTGGAGACAAAATATTGGCATCAACCCTCGAAGGTTCATCTCTTGGAGGGTTTGCAAGTCCGGGCTGCTGTATCGATTCCACTTCCTCACCCTCTTCATCATCTACCTCCTTGTTTTTCACAGTAGTAACTCGAGCAGCCGGTCTGACTTTATTTGGTCTCCTCGCAGGAGCACGTTTTTGTCGTCTCATTTTTAAAAAGTTAAAAAAAGATGAAAAAGACGACTTCAAAAAATTGACTTTTTATTTTGATTCATCAAGATTTGTACAATAAAATTTGTTCGGATAGGTAAATTATGCCAAACGTAAATGAATTAAAAATGATCAGTTGATTGGCGTAATTATGTAAGAATGTTAATATTCAAATAAAAATAATAAACATATTTACAATTGTAAATAACAAAAAAAGCGCGTCATTTGGAATTAAGTACATTTTCATCATCATCGCCTCAATTATTATCAATATCATTCGTCATTTTCATCTTTTTCCGATTTTTCAGCATTTTCATCATTTTCTGCTTTTTTACCATTTTTATTATTTTTATGGCTTTTCTGTATCATTTTCACCTTTTTCTGGTTTATCGGACTTCAAACCATTATTTAGTTTTTTTGCAGTAACATCCTGCTTAGCTTTCTCAGCATTTTCATTATCAGGTTCTGTTTGATTTGAAATTTGTTTCTGTTTGGGTGTATCAGACTTATTTTTCAATTGTTTTTTGATCAATGTCCAATCATTCCACACTCTCATCTGGTAGTTATATTTTTCATCCCACACTCTTTTCTGTTTCTCCAATTCGTTCAGTTTTTCATCTTCAATTTTCAATAATTTTTCTTTTAATTTTTGCTGCTCTTCTTTTATTCGATTTTTTTCATTTATCCAATCCCTTTCTCTTTCGTTTTTTTCAATTGCATCATCTGGAGCACAAAAATTTGCCACAAATTTGCGAAAGGTTCCACCAGTCTTGCTTTTTGAGTTATTCATTAATTTTAATTTTTCCTCTCTCTCCTTTATTTTTCTATACTTGTTTACGCCTCTATAAATGCAGCAGCTAAATGATTGAATATCGATTTAACTATTAGAATGTTTGATATGAAGGATAAAATGAAATCTAAAAATAAGTTTTTAATGCCGCAAATAATTTTTAAATTACATCAAAAAATAATATTAAAAAACAGTTTACCAAATTATGATAAAGATGACAACCAAAATAGCAAACTGAGCGATTAGTACAAGAGTGGTCCGTTTTGGCAGAAAGTCTGCCGCGGTTCTTGAACCTTAAGTAAAGTTACCGTTCATTTAAATGATTAATCATTTATGTGGTTACTATTTGTTTAAATATTATCCCCAGAAAGGACCGTAAAAGTAGTAAGTAAATTATCTTAAAAGATTCATCAACTTCAAATTATTTTTATTTTAAAATTTATTTAAATTTGTTAGAATTTATTTTTTCAAAATCCTGAAGTAAAGTAAGTAACATCTGAAGGTCATTTGACAAAAAATTACGAATGCAAGAGAACTGATTGTCAGGGTCCGGATCATACCCTTTTCTACAGAAACACGTTTCGCCAATGCAATGAGTGCTTTTGGGATCGCATGGATCCCTTTTTAATTTGCACCTTGATCCTCTTCTCGACGAATCTTCGTTATCCGACTGATAGCTCATAACTTCTTTCTTAAAAAATCAATTATGTCTTGTGGAGGTTAAAAATAGAGTCTATTTTACTATATTCTTGAAATTAAGTAAAATTTTGAAAAACATGTCTTTAAAAATATCTTAAAATTTATTGTATTTAAATATTTAATAAGTTTGTATCTTGTCACACATTCGTTTGAATTATTTGCTTAGCAATGTTTTCTGAATAGGCGGCACGTTTGTTATTGAACTTCAATGTAAACATAAAACCATAATTCGAATGGTTTGAATGATTTCTCATTTATTCAAATAAAGGACTCTATATAGATAAACATTGTAAGATTTATGTTTTCATGTAGTTTTTATAAAATTAAATTGAAAATAAATTGAATAAACAAATGATGAGGCTTTTTTATTATCAGAATTTTTGTTAAGCATGCTTGAAAATAATTATTGAGCACTTTCTTCATCCCCAGCAGATTTTTCATCTCCTGATTCGCCTGAGTCTTTTATTCTTTTACTCCAGAACTTTCATCACCTTTTTCTTCTTCTTCGTTTTCTTCTTCTTCTTCTTCTTTTCCTTCTTTATTCGCGATTGCGCTTTTCACACTGGATGGAATTTTAGGAAGTTGTTGTATGCTTGGAATTATTTTATTTTTTTCTTTTGGTTTACTTTCAGTTATTTTTAAAATGCCTTGTGTTGGTTTCATTCTTTGAACATCTTTTTTCTTATTTTGTTTTTCTTGTGTTGGTTTCATTTTTTGAACATCTTTTTTCTTATTTTGTTTTTCTTCTGGTTTCTTTTTACCATCCTTCTTCTCTGCGAGTTTGCCTTTTAGAATATCAATACTAAAACTCTTAATAACCTTTTGGTTTGGATGTGCTGTTTTGTCATTTTTCGAATGTTCGTTTGTTTCTTTAAACATTTCGCCAAACAAACTTTTTCTACTACCAACGACAGTGTTCTTATGGGAACCGACATTTTTATCGCTTCCCAATAAAGATTTCTTTTCATTTTTCAATGTCTTTTCATCTCTTGCGTGAAGTTTTTTAGCTCTCCCTGTGACGTCGATTATTACCTTCTTAGGTACTTTTTTGGCTTCGTCGTCTGGAAGAATTTGTGTTGCATCAGATGGAGCTGCTTCTCTGCTAGAATGTTTCTTTCTCTGGTAACAGACCCAGATAAGGTTGCTATTGGTATTATTATTATCACTATTATCATTAGTACTTATTTTCATTGATACAGTGTCAAATTGTCATTGTTATATTTTAATTAGCAATACAAATTGAGTTAATTCACTTTAAAATTAAAAAAAAAATTATTGCCTAGAGCTTTATTAATATTTAACCATCACATTGAATGACTTTGAAAGTAATTGATGATTTGTAATTTGAAGAGATGCTTACCACAAAACAAATACGACTGCGATAAGTAAAACGGCAATAATCGCATTCCTCAATACATTTGATCTTTCCTTCCTTTCCTATTGTCACTACCAATACCGATAGATGTTAGCAATACCAATATCAACACCCATATTTTGGTATTTTTTATAAATCCACGTGACACTCAAAAATATTGGTATCAAGTATCGATTTGACGATTTTGTTTGACCTATTTACTAACCATCACATGAATATGGGTCGTCACCGACTTTGTAACCAACGTTACAGACGCACGCAAGTCCAACGCATTTTTGCGTCCAATTCTATTAAAAATTTCTGAAGGAATGATATTAGATTATTGATTTTATCTCTGGAAAAAATTTTTTCTACTTCTGAAGGGATGTCATGTCGTTTCCTACTATTATTGTGACTATTACATTTGACCAAAATGTGATGGATAGTTAGTTTTTGGTTACAAGAGTTGAATGTAGGCGAATTTGTTTTGTTGAGAATCCAGGAATGAGTCAAACTTGAATGGCCTATTTTTAATCTGTTGATGATTGTCTGAGGTTTACGTTTTAAACCTTTAAATTCATTTTTTGGCTGAGAAATGGTGTGGATAATTTAAGAAAGTTTGATGTTTGGTTCCATTCAAGTTGCCATTTCTCCATTGAAACCTTTTTGTCCAAAATCTTAAATCATTGTGTGGGATGGGAAGATTTGATATTGGAATATTGTGAGCTTGTGATGCCAGTTGATCGACTTCCTCATTACCCTGAATTTCTATGTGACTGGGTATCCATATCAGAGTTATTTTCTTACCATTGTTATCATATAAGTTATCATGTATCCTGTTTTGCGTTTGAATTATAAGGTTGTGTGGAGGTCTATATTGTTTAAGCGCCGTAACTGTTGATAATGAATCTGAAAATATTATGAAATTTTTATTATTGGATTTAGATATGAAGTTTATTGCCATCTGAATGGCAATGATTTCTGCTGTGAAGATTGAAGCATGGTTTGGAAGATGTTGCATGATTTTGTTTATGCATTTTTGTTGTCTGTAGACCACTACTGCTGCTGTAGTTGATATTCCTTTTTTTTGAGCCATCAGTATATATTTCAATTGAATTGTGATTCTCTTGAATTTTTTCTTTGAATAACATTTTTGCTAAGTTTTTGTCTTTTTCTATTTTTGCTATACTGGTATCAATATCTGCATGTAGCAACAGCCAGGGAGGAATTTTATAATCATTCTCTTTAACAATTTTTGTTTTTTCATGTTCTTTGATGTATTCATTTATTCTTGTTGGAAAAGTTTGAATAGATTTGGATTTAATGTGACATATTTTATCGATATATTTATAATTTGGATTTTCTGGTTGCGATCTCAGTTTTAGATAGTAATTCGATGCTAATTTTTGATGTCTATAAGATATGGGCATTTCCCCTGAGAGATGTTGAATATACAATCATGATGATGATTGTATATTCAACAATCATGATACAATCATGATGATGATTGTTGAATATAATTACGAGTAATATTTATTTATCATACTTCTTGTAATTATATTGAGAGATTTTGCAACAAAAATGAAAACTAATTATCGAATATAAAATTTCATCAAGATGCATCTCATCATAAACATTAGTAGAAACTGGCAAAAATAAAAAAATAATTTATTGACTATGTTGTTTTTGTGTCATATATAATAATAAACTACTCAACAGTATGATGCTTGCATATCTAGTCGTAAAATTTATCATTGATCTGAAAAAATTTTCCGCTTACAGTAGGTAAAATAATTTATTTATTCATACACTTAAATTTATCATTCAGCAATCGAGTTCCATCACTCTTTTTCAATTCATCTAACCAGCTGAAAAATGAATAATTTAATAGACCAATTAATCGACCAGGCGATCAATCAATCAATAAATCATATCAAATCAATCGATTGATTGATGTAATGAGTTAAATATCACAATGTTTGCAAACAACATAGGTGCTAACAGCTTCTTGTTTACCGGTAACAATTCAAATCTCATCACTAGCAATCTTTCGCTGCTATCTGGAAGTTTTACAACTGAAAAAGTATCAACGACAAAAAACGAAACGAAAAATGAGGTCATTGATCAGTTAAAACTTAGGTCAAGTTTTGTGGGGATGAAACGTGGCTGCTTAATGGAGCCTGACGTGTGTGAAGCTGCTTCCTCTTATTGTTTTGGAGTCAAATGCCACTGCAAGAGAGGTTTCTATAAAGAGGATATCAATTCGAATTACTGTTACGGTTGGTTGGTTGGATGGTTGCTTGGATAAATGGTTGACTGGTTGATTGATTTCTTTGCTGGTTGGTTCGTTGGGTGGCTGTCTTTTTGGCTAAATGGTTGGTTGGTTTGTTGGTTGATTGATGCTGGTTGGTTGATTGATTACCTCGTTATTAATAATTCAAAAATCAAACTAAAATATTTTTGCCGTGATTTATTTATGAAATAAAAATGCCTGGTAGTAAAACATGTGTTGTGATCGACCAAATACCAGATTCTCAATATTTTTATTGTTTAAGAAAGGATTTATACATTGAACATGTTACAAACATTTGTTACAATTAGAAACAATGATCAAAATAATGACAACAACAATAATAATAATAATAACAACAATAATAATAATAACAATAAAAATAATAATAATAATAAAACGGTTGACACGATAATTATGACATGCACGTACAAGACATTGACGAATGCAGCTCCAATGCCGCAAAGTGTGCGAAGAACGTTTCCAAGTGTGTCAACACGCCTGGAGATTACACCTGCACCTGTTTCCCAGGTTACAAAGCTCGGGGCAAACATGCTTGTGTCGGTGGGTTTTCTTTTCAACTTTTTTATTCTCAGTTTCGATTTAAGAGCTGTATGCAAATTTTTTCCCACTTAATTTGTTTGAATGTTTGCTTCACACCATGCTCTCGAATTAACATGACACGACAGCATATGAGTTTGTTTGTATGTTTTACCATCCAACCAACCGAACAATCAAACAACCAACTAACCAACCAAACAACCAACCAAAAAAACAAACAACCAACCAAACATCACATCTTTGACCAATGAGTTTGCTAGACGGGTTTTGAACCGGTCAGTGCTCAATAGCAACAAAAATTACAACACTGCTTTAACATAATTTTTACCGTTAAATGTTTTTAAAATCAATTTTGGTGTTAGCTTATTTAACTTCCATTATTTTCACAAAAGTTTTCCACAAGACCACCGATAGGGAAAGATTTGGATTGGGACTGTGGACTGTCTGGATACTTTTTGCCATACTCCTGGCTTTGTCTCCGTAATTATTTCATTTTACTTTATTACATAAATAATTTTTCAGTTTTCAAATTTTTCCTCTTTCTTAAGAATATTTATTACATGTACATATTTTTCGAGGTTCATTGTTTTGCTGTGCGAGAAAAATTTAAAGAAGAGTAAAAAATTTCCGAAAGAGACGGCGAGATTTCAAAGTGAGATTTCAATCAGAAATTGCATGCAAGTACATGGAAGTTTGCAAGTTTTATTGATAACCAACCAATAGGGAGATGAGTGAATGACAATAAGTTAATAAATCTCTGATCTTATAACTTTTGACAATTTAGAGCAAGACAAACTTTCCGATCTGAAGGTAATTCATCCTCCGTCTAAGAAATCCACCTTGAAACAAAAACCTTCAAAAATTTTTAATAACAAAAATAAAACAACTGTTAACAAAGGCAGAAGTAGTAATAGTAGCAGCGGCATTAACAGCAGCAGCAGTGGTAGCAACGGTGGCCATAGAGTTGGAATGAAACACAAAATAAATTCAAAATATAAATTAACGAGATCTGAATTTATGACTCAACGCGTACTCCTACCAAAAGACAAAAGACCCATTGAGCCGCCGCGTAAAATAAAAACACTCTACAACATGCTGGAAGCCGCCAAACAAAAAGTAGCCGATGAAAAGGCAGCCGAACTTGCAGTTTTATTTGGCGTAAAAAAGACTGCTTCCACCAGAGCTGCAGGTGCAACTAGGACCAGCCACAGTTCGGCAACAAACACGTCCAGTGGTACGGTTCGAAGTAGCATAAAAAATAGCAGCGGTAAAAATAGATATACCGGTCAAAGAAGTAGCGACAGTTTTGCCGTTAGTGGTGTCAGTAGTGGCAGTGGTGGCAGCAATTACGTCAGTAGTAGCCCTAGCGACATCAGCCTGGATGACAACAGTATCAAACAAACTGGTTATCTAGCGAGTGGTAGTAGGGTCAAGAGGTTTAATAATTTGCGAAGAGGGAAAAATAATTTAAAACCTGAAAATATAGCAATAGGTGACGTGAGCAGAAGTGTCAGCAACATTTCTAGTGACGTAAAAAGCAGAAGTACAAGTATTAAAGTTAAAAGTGATCAAAAAGCCCTAAAGACCAGTGATGTGCGACTACTCAATGTTCAGTCCGGTAAATTTAATGATGGGGAAACTAAAGAAAATAATATCGGAAATAAATCAGTTCACAAACAGGAAAGTGGTAAAAATTATGGAAAGAAGCAAAACAACGGTGGTGGATATGGGGTTAAGGGACGTAGTCTTCAAACTTCTATGAAAAAAGTTGATAGCAGTGATGGTGCTGAAATTAAACTAATACCATCATCACCATTAGCATCTCAAACATCACCATCATCATCACCTTCTTCACCATCCATACCACCAACGCTACAAATTTCACTTCCAAAGTCTCCAACATCGCACGAACGACAAAACACTGTAAAAAAACTGGCTGCAGAAAAATGGAAAAGATACTTCTGAAAGATGAACTTGATGATGGGAAATACGATGATAATGAAGATGATGATGAAGAAGATGATGATGGAAAATAGGATGATGATGAAGATGATGATGAAACAAAATGATGATGAAGAAGATTATGATGAAACAAATGATGATGATGAAGATGATGATGAAACAAAATGATGATGAAGTAGATGATGATGAAAAAAAAACGATTATGGAGAAGATGATGATGGAAAATAGGATGATGATGAAATGGTAGTGGGACAAAGTGCTGACGAGATTATGATGGAAATAATGAAGATGAAATAAAAAAAATGAATGTAATGGATAGTCAGATGATAGTATTAAAATGATAATGAAGATGACATAATAATGTGATGATGATGAAGAAGATGATGGTTAAATGATGCTTAGGATGATGGTAAAACAAAATGAAGATGACGATGACGATGGTTGAAATATTGAAAGGGAAATGAAGAATAACGTGAATGGATGGAGCAAATAGACAGTGATAAAATAAAGATAATGATAAAAAAAATATTGTCAAAATATGATAATGATGAAGATGATGATGAAACAAAATGATGGTGGAGTAAGATGATGAGGATGATGAAGAAGATGAAACAAAAAACCAAGCATATAATTATGTTGAAAATAATGATGATGACAATTATAAACAGAGCTTATTAATTTTTGCTAGTAAAAGATTTTTTGACTAGAACTCTTTAGAAGTCATTTGGTTATTCTTTGCTAATAAATTTATTTAGGTACGCCGCTATTTCTTCTAACAATAGAAATGTAAATAATAAAATTGCTTGTAAACAAAAACAAGATACATTAATATAACTAACAATAATAATAATAATAATTATTATTATTATAATTATTATCATTATTGTTTATTAAATATAATTTGAAAATTATGATATGTGAATCCGGTCTAGTTTGGCAGTTAATCATCATCATCGTTCTTGTACCAGGTCTTAATTCCAATAATAAAAGTAGGTTGTTATTATTGTTATTGTTTATTATTATTATTATAATTTAATTTATTATTATTATTATTATCTCACCCAAGACCATCATCACAGATGTCTACTCAAGCCTAACAAGTGCAACGAGAATAGTTCGATATGCGTTCTTGATGGCTGCCAGTGTTTAGCAGGATTCCGAGAGGTACCTGGCAACCTCTACGCCTGTGAAGGTGCTTTTTGACATTTGTGTGTTTGTTTGTGTGTGTGTGTGTGGTGTGTGTGCCTAGTGAATGATTGGATGATTGACTGAAAACACGAGCTAAATAAATGAATGAATAAATAAATTAAAGAATCAAAATACGAATGAATGAAAAAATGAATGGATCTATGAACGAACGAACGAACGAACAAAGGAATGGAATGAACGAACGCATGAATGAACGAAAAATGAATAAATGAATAAATTATAAAGTGAAAAAACGAGTGAAAGAATGAATGTTTCCTTGAATTCATGAACGAACAATGAACGAATGATGTATTAAAAGAATAAATATATGAAAGAATAAGAGAAAAATGAATGAAAGAAAGAATGAATGAATGAACAAGTAAACGAATCAATAAATCCTTTCAATAACAACGATAAATAATAAATAGAAATAAAATGAAGTTAGTACGTGATTTATTGATATTTAAACATTTAATTCGTTGAAAATCTTTTTTAAAAATAAACTCTAAATATAATAAAATATTTAATAATATTATTAAACATTAGAGAGAATTAAATCATATTAAATAAAATATTAAAATAAAATATTATTGAACGCAAGACATTGATGAATGTGCGGACGGCGAGAGCCTGTGTGACACACGCTTCTCCACATGCCTCAACATTCCGGGTCAGAATTATTTATTTATTATTATTTATTATTACTATTCATTATTATTCTTATCATCATTATTATTTTTATTTATCGTAACTATTATTATTATTATTATCACTATTTATCATTTCATTATTATTATCATTATTATAATTAATAATAGTAATAACATTGGTATATTTTGTTATTTATAATAATAATAATAAAAATATTAAATAATAATAATATTATTATTATTATTATTATTGCTGTTTAATATTTTTGATGTTTTGTTTGTACGTACGTGTTGTCATTTGAAGAGCAATTTGAGTTGAACCACTGCAGGCGACTACATGTGTGCGTGCATGGGCGGCTTTCAAGAAGAGGGACGATACAGCTGCGTCCGTAAGTTTTTTGTGATGGTGTAATGGTTAAGATGCCTGGCATTGACGTTACAGTGATTGGCTTCGAATGCATAGAGATCCCCGCCTATCACACGGATCGTTTTTGATGCGTTTATGCACGTGTATTGAATTCATACACTGTTGTGTGCAGTGGCGGATTTTTGATGGGAAGAGACAACATTTTAAAGATGTTTAAATTTTGACGGAAGAGCTAAATTTCGACGGGGATGCCAAGTTTTGACGGGGGAGCTAAATTTTGACAAAGGAGCTAAATTTAGATAGGGGCAACATTTGTGGTAGTGTGGCTGACGACTTATTTTGCTCGTAACGTCCATTTTTGTTCGATTCTCCACACACAGAACGGTGCTTTTCGGTCAAGACTGGCCCTCTAGGCCCCACAGAGATTTGCGTGTTCGTTGTTGAAACTTCTAGAAACAAGTTTAAGAGAGCAAGCATTATAAGAAAAATAATAAAAATTACGAACGTAGGGAACACAAAGAGTAACAATAAATATCATCCTCATCATTATGTAATATTATCGTTAGTACGGATGTTATGATAATTTTGCTGTTATTGTTATCATATGACCACCACCACCTACGCAGTCTCACCATGGTCAGTGCGGACAGTGATGGGCAGTGTCTGTTTGGTCATTTCAGTGCTGGCTCTCTTCATTATTCTTCTGTTTGTAACATTCAACAGTTCTTTAAACAAATTTTTTATTTGTGCTACATGCGTCAGAAGTTTTTGTCTCAAATTAAGTTATTCAATATTTGTTTCAAACTTATTTCTATTATTTTATTTCATCAGTTTATAATTATTTATAATAAGCAGTTAAATCTCTCACCCGCTCTCTGTCTAAAAAATTTACCTATATATTAGTATATGTATATATTTGTGATCATCCCACCATATATCCAACTAAACACGTATCCGAGCCTCACCCACACTCACACCCACTCCGCAGAATTTTCGGTCTGAGGCTCAAACACGACAGCGAGAAGAGCGTCTACTCGAAGAAGTTTCGACTGAAGAAACTGAGAGAAGCCAAAGACAGGAAAGAATTTCTAAAAATCTTCAAAGAAAACTCCCTCCTAATTTATTACCAGGCCAGTCTCGGCTACAGGAGCGCCAGGAAAGTAGAGAAGGAGTTGGTGGAGATGGTTAAAATAATGGAGGAGCGCAACAAGACGAACTTAAGCAGGTCCGATCGCTATCGAGATGGGCGGGAAAATGTTTCCAGACCAAATCAAACCACAAAATTAAAGACGGACGATTATAACATCAAGGAAGAAGAGCAAATCAAGTCGGTCATCTGGCTGCTAGAGAAGATGAAAAAAATAAATGAAAGAAATTTAAAGAGGAAGAGAAGGAAGAAGAAGAGATGGAGTGATAGTGCTGGTCACGATGCTGGTGGAGGTGATGGTGATGCTGGAAATGATGATGATGTTGATGATGATGAAAGTGTGGTCCTACTGAATGAACATGAAGGGGGGAGAACAAACTATCGCTGAAATGATAAGAATAATAATATTATTATTTCTATTATTATCCTTATTATTATTATTCATAATATTATTAATATTAATAATTGTTGCTTAATTGTTACAAATAATTTTTGTTATAGATGTTATTAATTATTTACGTTAATTTTTATATTTTTATGAAGCTGTTGTTGGTATTACTATAATGTTATTATTACTATTATTACTATTCTTGCTATTATTATTATCATCATAATTATCATTAACATTATTATTTATTATTATTATTATTTATTATTATTATTATTATTATTATTATTATTATTGCAAGTTTAATAACAGTGCTCATGTTTTTTCGTGGTTAAAAAATTTTTTTGTATAAAAATATTTAAAGATAAACAGTTTTGAAAACAACCCTCTTCAATTTACTTGTAAATATATTTCTTTATATGTGAATTCATTCGTTTATTCATGCGTTCATTCATTCATTCATTCATTCACTCACTCATTCATTCACTTATTAATTTATTCTTACTTTCTTTCATTTTATTCTTACATTCATTCGATTTGCTCATTCGTTTATTTATTCGTTCGTACGTTCGTTTATTTATTCGTTCGTTCATTCAATCATTCGTTTCTCGATACATTTATCCATTCAACTATCCATCCATCTATCCATCTATCCATCCATCCAAAAACCCATCCATCCACCCACCCAAACATCTATCCATCCATTCGCTCATCCATCCATCCATCTATCTATCGACTCATTCAATGAGTATACTCCTTTCATGAATTAACTCTGAACTTTCGTCATCATTCCCCGTCTTCTGATCCAGCGCGTAGTTCTTTCTTCTTACGTTTGCCCACTTGTGGTGGTGGTGATGTTGATGACGATGATGATAATAATAACAACAACAACAATAATAATAATAATAATAATAATAATAATAAAGGTTGCAGTAAATCTGGTGTAAAAAGTGCTAGTGGAAGGTGATGTTGAAATCAATCAAAAGTGGTGTTGCAGGTTAGGTCGCAGTCTTTCATCACCTTTAACATTATCATCATGGCTATATTATTATCACTTGCACCATTATTACCATCATTATCATCATCATTATAAACATCATCACCATCCTCATCACCATCATCATTACCATCGTCATCATCATCATTATAAACATCATCACCACCAAAATGACCATCACCATGGTCATCACCATCACCTGAAAATCATCACTAGCGGCATCACTAAGGTCAAGGTCACGGTCACCACCACCAATAATGCCCCTCATCTTCATCCTCCTCAACTTCATCAGCGGCGTCATCTGTCTTTCCGGTGTGCAAACGTAGTACCAGAGGCTGGGTGGAGGTGAGGAAGACGATGATGGAGGTGATGAGGACGATAATGATGATGACGACGATGATGATCACGACGATAAATGACGATGCTGATAATGATAATAATAATTAGCATGATGACGATGGAAGAATGACGATGACGATCATAATAAAGTAGTGCCATAGTGACAACTCATGACTAAATGGCGCCTGAAAACATGCAACCAGCCACAGTGTAACCTAAGAAGACTATCTACCTTTCAATTCACAAAACATCATAACATTTCACTGTAATGATACTAAAGTATCATCAGAAATACTACAGTTATTTTACTTTAAAGCGAGACTAACTAGAGGAAGAGGAGGAGGAGGACGGCGTGGCAGGCCATCATCAGGTACTTCCGCACGAACTGGTTGCCAGTCAGTGGTTTGTATGCAGTCTCCAACTCGTCCAGCGATTTGAAGGCTTTTATTATTATTATTGTTATTAAATTTTATAAAATAAACTTTTAATATGCACAAACAACGGAAATAAATAACGGTAGAGAATCATCACATCGGCAATTGAGTATCCTCTAGCAATGTTGATTCTTCAATGATATTATTGCAATTATTTTTGTTATCACTATTGATCTTATTATCGGCGATATTGTTTTTTTTATTGTTATTTATATCGTCACTGCATTTAGCAGGCTCCAGGGTGCCTGTTGCATCGTAGTTGACATTCTCGCAGGAGTTCTTCCTTCTCTCATCATACTGTAGCGGGAGTGCCGCGTCATGCAACTTGTCCACGAAGTCTGGAATGCCGGACTTGGCCATACAACACTGAGCCACTTTTGGTATATTTGGGCTCGTCAAAGTACGTCACCACGTAATTAAACCCATTCTCATCAAAGCTAGTGTGTGGTCTGATGACCATCTTAGATGTATGCTCGGTGACTCGCACGTGGTTGGTCTTGTCGGGTACGCAGGGATGTCCATCGGTGCTTCGACTGACAATCACCATCAACTTGTTCTTATCATCCACCTTGTGCCTCCGTACATAAACATATTCTCTATTGGACAGAGGGTAAGGAAAGTGAGTGATCCAGTGAACAATCTCGGATCCCGAGTCATCAACCTTGTCAATGATGTTCAAACTGATCACATGTCTGTCCAACTGTTTGCGAAACTCCAGATCAACTTGAGTGTTGTAGAAGGCTCGAGCTGACACATCTTTGTATGAACCATTAACTTTGTACTGCTACAGATCACTGTTCGGCATTGGAGTCCTCCAAATTCCAACCTCACTCTTGCTGACAACAGATTCCCATTTTTTTTGGCATTGTCTTTCAGTTGTCGAATTAAGTCAATCTCATGAGTCACTTGATGAAGATGTGTCAGAAATCTGATCATTGTTCCAGCTGAACAGGACGGCCCCCATGAGCAGGGAGAGTGAGGAAGTGTTGATAGTTTGCTTCTAAATGAGCGTCACTAAATTCTTACAGATCCTCTTCAGGGCATTACAATCGTAATCTAAATTTTTATGGAAGATGATCACCTGTCCCGCTCGACGAATTTTCTGAGCGGCGATTGAATGGAAATGTCTGGCATGCAAAAATGCCAAGACTCTGCTGTTGACGGTGGAAGTGAAAGATTAAACGCAGTTGGAACAGTGCCCACCCTTGATGACAACCTTAATTTTATTCCCTGCCGTTGAAAAACATGCCTGGAAGTCGTGGGGTTGCTCGTGTGACTTACTGAATTAAAGTTGGGCAGTAATTCGCGAAAAATTGCAAATGTACGGCACAAATTATTTTGGGACATTGCGGTAGAGTGAAATTTGTATGTTGAACGACTTTTTAAGTTTTAACCGCAAAAAAGCGAAGAAAACTTACGAGTTCAACTAATTCTAGGTTGTTACAAGAGCATAGACAATTAAACAAAAAAAATTATTATTATTATTATTATTATTATTATTGCTATTACAATATTTTATTACAAATTATTCTCATTATTTGGATTTGGCTTTCGAGAAATAAAAGAGAGTTCTCATAGCAACAATAATAGTCATTGTCATCATCATCTTCCTCATCTTCCTCATCATCATCACCATCCTCATCATTATCGTCATCCTCATCATCATTATCGTCATCACCATCCTCCTCCTCATTATCATCATCATCATCGTCATCACCATCCTCATCACCATCATTATTATCGTCATCATCATCATCACCATCATCGTCATCAGCATCCTCATCACCGCCTCTTCCCACCAGTCTCCTCGATGATCTGCTTGACGTAGCACTTGGGGTTGTCCTCTAGGACCCTGGTGTAGCCCTCCTTGCAGACGCACCTGAACGACCCCACCGTGTTTTCGCAGTCCGTCGTCAGCTTGTCGCACCGATTCATCTGGCACTCGTCTACGTCTGTTGGTAGTAGTAATAATAACAACAATAATAATAATTATTATTATTTTTATTATGAGGACAGCACTGAGTTACGACTGAGTTTATAATGACTCTAAATAAATAATTAGTTAATTAATTAGATAAATAAATAAATATTTAATTAATTAAATGAATAAATAAATAAATAATCGATAAATACCACCAGCAGTTTGTAATAATGACCTTGACATTGCCTTGTGCGTGGTTGAAGTTGGAACCCGACTTTGCATCTGCAGGTGTAGGTGCCTGGCGTGTTGAGGCAAGTGGATGTCGCTACGTCACAGGCCGCCATCAGGCATTCGTTTATATCTGGTGGTGGTAGTGGTGGTGGTGGTGGTGGTGCGTTGTTATCGTTTGGGCGATTTTTTGCAACGATATGTTTAGTTTTTACAAACTTGTGTTAATAACTTTCTGATGTTGTTACTTGTGTGATGCTGTTGCTTGTTGTTAAGTGTGTGTTGTTGTTTTGTGTGGTTATTTGTTGTTATGTGTGTTGTTGTTTGTTGTTATGTGTGAATGTTGTTGTTTGTTGCTATGTGTACGTGTATGTGTTGTTTGTTGTTATGTGTGAGTGTTGTTGTTTGTTGTTATGTGTGTGTATGTGTGTGTGAGTGTGTGTTTTGTTCGTGGCCAGTCAGTGAATCATGTCTATTATCAGTTGATCAGGTTTTGAGTCCCATATGTGTCCTAACTGATATTTTTCAGTCGGCCATTATGGTGCATCTTTTATTCTCATCGTAGCAATGCAAAACCGCAAAACTATTACAGTTTTCATTAACTGACCAAATAGAGAGAATAAATTAATGAAAGTTTATTGAGCTACGTTTGAGAAATAGCAGGTTGAAAATGAAAAGATAGGAAAATGTTTTTTGTGGCAGTTTTATTCCGTTGTGGATTTGAAATGATAGCCTGCAATGTAATGCATGACTGATGGATTAAATTTATTCAAGTTGAAACCAAGAAATAAGTTATGAAGTCTACGGGTTAATTTATTTCACAACGTGACAGTCATCATTCTAACCGTCGTCATCATCATCACCATCGCTGACGTCATTATCATCATCCTCATCTTCGACATCGTTAAATCATCTTAATTTTTATCGTCAGTACCACCATCATCTTCATTATCATCACCACAGCAACAAACATCAACTTCATTAGAATCTCCATCACCACCACCACAACCACCACCACCACCATCATCACACCATTACATCGTCATAATCATCATCATCGTCATAATCATCATCGTGATGATAACCTTCACAATTCTTCGTGATGATACTGAACATGAATCCGGTCGGACAGATGCAAGTGAACGTTCCATCCAGGTTCTGACACTGATGACGACCGCACGGTTGGTTATCCAGGCATTCATTTATGTCTTCCATCACAGATGAATGGATGGTGCATTGATAGATGCATGAATGGACGAATGAATGAATGATTGGTTGGATAAACGAATAGATTTATTGATAAATAAGGGAATTTATTAACGAATAGATAGACTGCCACATAGATGGTCGAGTGGATGGATGGATGAATGGATGGATGCATGAATGAATGAATTGATGTGAATGATTGAGGTGAAAACTGATTGGATACGCAGACAGACGTTAGATTGAGATAAAACGATGATTGAGTCATTCAATGAACAGACAATTAAATAATTGAATGAACATTTAATTAGAAAAGTTAATAAATATATAACTGAATTAATGAATGGGTAATTGAATGAATGAATTAGTAGATAGAGAATGTATAAATGATCCAGTGAATGATTGAGTAAGTGATCGAGTAAATGATCGAATGAATGATCGAGTGAATGATCGAGTGAATGATCGAGTGAATGATTGAGTGAATGATCGAGTGAATGATGATCGAGTGAATGATGATCGAGTGGATAGTTTGAACAACCGCATAAAAGAATAAATGCGTGAATGAGCTGACCAACAATGTTTCAAAGAATTGAATAAATCATGGGTAGGCAAAACATAAGGTCGTCAACCACAAATCTTAAAAACATCGTAAAAAAAATCCCCCCCCCTTGGTTAGCGCGAGTTGTAAAAATTTGCTACTTAAATACAAATGTGGCCCTTCAAAGATAAAAGAGTTCTCAACGCGGCCCTCGCTGCAAAAAGTTTGCCCACCCTTTGGGAAAATCAACGAAACAAGTCAGTACGATCGTTGTAGAGAAGGAAATTTGAATGAATCCATTGGGCAGAGTGACCACAAAACTTAAAAAATAATTTAACAACGCCTTTTCAGCAGCATCAGTTAAAAAAATTTGAATCTACTACAGTGCTTCCCAACTTTTTCAAGTCGTTACCTCAATTAGTTTTTAACGAGTGCCTTTGAAATTTTCTGAATTTCAAAAAATATTAAATCTACTGGCCCCCCTCCTCCAAAGAAGCCTTAGCGGTCCGAACCCATTTGTGATGGCGACCCACTGTTGGGAATCACTGATCTATCATCAAATAAATTTCTATACAAACAAACAGAACATTTATCATCTAATAGATTTTAAATAAAAGCCAGCTAACAAAGGACATAACGTAAACTGAATAGTTTATCAATGTTTTTGCACCTTCACACACGTCCAAATCGATCATCTTGAATCCGGGCATGCACGAACACTTGTACGTCCCTTTCTTGTTCTGACAGATCGATCCAATGCCCTTGCATGGAGAAGACCTACATTTCAAGTCAGCTGGTTGGTTGGTTGGTTGGGTGGTTAATTAGTTGGCTGGCTGATTGGTTGGTTGGTTAATTGGATAGTTGGCAGTGTTGAAAGACGTGATAAGTTGGAATGGTAAATAAATAAGTTTTTAATTTAAAAAAAGATTTAAATTTATCTCAAAAGAATCGTTAAAAATAACTTTAATCAACTAAAATGAAAACGAAGATGGTAAAGATGTCTATCAATTAATGGACGAATCAACAGATCAGGATCGGTCGGTAGGCTAGCCAGATGGTCGGTTACCCACCCAGCTAATCAGTCAATTAATCAACATATCAATCAATCTACAAATTAATCAATCAGTCCACAAACAAAAAATTATCTTTTACGTTTACAATGGGCCGATTCAAATCCACTTTTACACTGGCACTCGTATGATCCAAACAAATTGACGCAATCGGATGTCAATGGATTGCAAGAATTATCCACCATGCATTCATCTATGTCTGTGAGATCATTTAAATAATGAATGGATAGATGTATGGGTGGATGGATAGATAGATGGATGGATAGATAGATGGTTGAATGAATAGATAGATGGGTATATGGACGGATGGATTGATGTATAGATAGATGGATAGATGGCTGGATAACAAAAAGGTTTATCAGACGATTAAAAAGTTTGATAAATGAATGTTCATATACAAAATTAAGTTTATCGGCAGCTAAATACTGAATGCACGAACATCTGGGTGAGCAAACAAGAGAACAATAGACCAATCTATTAATTTGTATAGTGCCATCTTAGTGGTGTTTAAAAACAATTTTATAGGAATTTCGCTAAAAAAAGATGGTTTTTATTTTCAGATCTTCTCTGAACTTCGTAAGTGGTTGTTAATTAATATTAATAGTTAAAGAAGATGAGAGAAGAAAGAGTTTAAGAAGAAGGACTAAAAAAGAAAAAGCATGGAGTGTATAACGAGATTCAAAAAAATTTGATTTGTCCAAGGTCATTCAAATCTTAAAATTTCAGAAAAAATCTCAAAGGTCACACATCAATGAACAGACCTTCGCATTTTGTTGGGTCATCTGCGGACCCCTGGAAGCCAGCATTGCACTGACATCGGTAATCATCTTCACCATCTTCCATACACTGCTCGTCAAGAAATCACATGGTTCTCTTCTGCAGGGACTTTCTTGTTTGTCTTCAGAAATATAAAATTTTACAATTTTTGAATTGATTAAGTAACATTTTTAGTTTTAATTTATGATTTTAAATTTATGATTTTAAATTTATGAAAAGAAAGTAAAACAAGATCTACGGAAAAATTGTAGCAAAAATTTTAAAATTTGGAAGTCATCGAGTATTTAAAGTAGCTAACACGTTTCTAATTTGAATCAAAAATTTGAATCTAATTGTTTTAAAAAGTTATGAGTCTTTAAAAAAGAAAATTAAAAAAAGTTGGCGATCATGCAAATTGCAACATTGATTTCTAAAGAAAAATTCCGACCAACCTGTCTTCGACACATGGAACAAATAAAAAATAAAACACACGAAAGTACAAATTTGAACCATCAATACTTATATACAATTAGTTCAACTTGCTGAGGTTCATTTAATGTAGTTACTAAACTATGCAGATGCATTTGAAAAAGTTATCGCTGGCTATATGAAGTACAAATTCTACATTTTTCTGAACGGGTCAGTAAATATTTACGTGACGTAACTACCATGGAGGGCATATTTTACGCATATATAAATAATAAAAATAATAATTATAGTAGCGTCAGAGGCGCCTGGATAAACAAATGTCAACATGGCCACCAAAGGTCTGTTCAAACGCGTTTTAAACAGTTTCATTGATCAGAGGGGGCCACTGCACGTACTGCCTTCAACCACTAAGTCACCACGCTACCCTAAGACGCACTGGCTTCATACGCTGGAGTGAGCGTCATACAAACTGGCTCTCATCGTAAGAGATTGTCTGGGTAGAGATGCACTATCCTACTTGAGAGAGCAGATTCGAACAGTCTCAGAAATTCAATACAGGGCAATAACTGACTGATACTACTAACCACGGTGACCTATCGATTTCAAATCGGAAATATAGTTTGTATCAGCCAGGGCCAAATATTTTCGAAATGTTATCGTTGACTGGGGAGAAATTTAGAAAAAAAAGGTTGACCGGGAGGAGAGTGATGTTTCAATGTTGACCAGGGGGGCCAACATTTCTGGTAATGTGCTCATAATGTCAATTTTCATCCAAATATAGTACTTTTTACAAACAGTTTTACCCACTTTTAATACAAATACGGCTGACCCGCCGCAGGTATTAATTGCTCAAATTCGGAACGCCTTTAGTCCATCTAAAAATATCAACATCACCATCTAAAGTGATTAAGAAACGTCAGAAAAACCATCTGCTCCAGCTCCAACAGTGAAGAAAAAGAAGAGTGTGCTTCCGAAAACTTTGACGTTAACTTTGACGCTCCACCCATCGAAGGTCCGAAAGCTATGAAAGATGGAAAGGCAGCAGGGCTCTCTGGACTCACAAATGACATTATCAATGCATCTGGTACTGCAGGTATCCAAACTTTGCCGTGAAATCTGGAGAAATTGCTCAATGCCGACTGAATGGAACTATAGCATGACAGTCCCGCTATACAAAGGCAAAGGTGATCCATTGAACTGTTCATCATATCGGGGTATACGTCTGTTAAAACACTCCCTGAAAATTGTCGAAAAAATCATTGAGAGAAGATTAACGTCGTGCATCACAATCGGAAGTTATCAATTTGGTTTTCTAGCGGGGAAATCAACAATTGATGCAATTCACATCCTTCGGCAACTGCAAGAAAAGTACCTCGCAAAGCATCAACAACTATCACACATTTTGTAGACCTTGAAAAAGCATTTGATCGAGTTCCCCGTGAAGCAATCAGATGGAGTCTACGTCGACAATTCATTACAGAATATCTTGTTCGACTTGTGATGGAAATGTTTACGAATACTAAGACTTTTGTCAGCAGAACGGTTGGAAACACAGATGCATTTGACATCGGCGTTGGAGTTCACCAAGGCTCGATTCTCAGTCCACTGTTATTTATAACTGTGATGGAAGAACTCACAAAACCGATACGCACTAGTGACATTTGGAATCTAGTATATGCTGATGATATCGTTTTAACAGCCACGTCTGAGCAGAATGCAGCACAGATGTTTGAAGATTGGAACACCAGACTCACCGATCATGGATTCAAAGTCAACATCAGCAAAACCAAAGCAATGAACACTGGTGAACCCATCCAATCCACAGCTACTGGACGATGGCCCTGTTCAGTTTGTAAAGCTGGTGTAGGTAGCAATTCAATCAAGTGTCAGCAGTGTAACCAGTGGTGTCACAAACGTTGTTCAAAAATAATTGGTACTTTATCTAAAGTGTCCAATTTTGTTTGTCCTGCTTGCGTCAATCCACAACAACAAATTCGAAATAGCACTGTTTTTGAAGCCATTAAAATAGAGAAAGTCACATCGTTTCAATATCTAGGGGATGTTCTGGATTGTACTGGAACAGCTGAAGCTGCCGTTCGAGCACGCATACGTGCAGACTGGAATAAATGGCATCTCCTTGCATCTATATTGATGCGGCGTGACATCCCACTACCACTTCGATCAAGACTTTATAAATTTGTGATACGTCCTGTGTTGTTATATGGTGCAGAAACATGGCCAATGACAACCAAATTAGAACAACAACTTCAACGAACCGACATGAAAATGCTCCGATGGATGCAACGAATTAGTCTGAAGGACCACATCAAATCTACCGAAATCCTGCGTCGTGCTGGTTTAGATGATATAAAGGACGAATGCCGGCTACACCGTCTGCGGTGGTTTGGTCATGTCAAACGAAGTAGAAACAGTGCCATAACTTCTCTTGCAGATGTTGAAGTACCTGGCACAAGTCCAAAGGCCGTCCAAAGAAGTCCTGGTCGCAAACAATCGAGCAAGACATGAAAGCTCTAAATTTAAATGAAATAGATACAACTGATCGTCTAATTTGGCGCAAAAAGTTGATGGCAAAGAAAACAACGTCCTACCTCGGGAAACCGGGTCTCTGGACGCAAAACAAAGATTGATTGATTGCTTCCGAACCCAATTTAAGAAAAGCACACTACAAGCAAATCCAGCAATACAATACAAAATTAACAATAACAAGAACGCATATTTTAAAAGTTAAAACCATTTTTTTCTAGTCAAAAATGACGATTTTTATAAATAAAAATTCAAGAAAAAATAAAACAAATAAGAACAGTTAAAATCAAAAAATGAAACAAACAAATAAATTAAAATATTGAAACTATGTGTAAATACTTATATACATATATTGATACAGAATGCCATTAACATTCTTAAATGTATTTTTTAATTTATAATTTTAGCAGTATATATCATGCTCACTTGCAATCTTACCCACGCTAATAAATAAAAAATATATAACATTCAACGTTAATGCAGATCATTCAAAAGTCGAACTCGACATACAATTTCTTCATTTGTACAATTCTTCATAAAAATTTTGTTTCTTTTTATTTCTTATATTTAAATATAGTTGAACGGAATAATTGTTTCTTAATCTAAGCTTTTTTTAATTTTAACATTTTTTTAATTTTAATAGGCAAATTTTTCATTGCAGAATTTTTTCTAAAACCAAAATAATGGACCACTATTTTGCAGCAGCCCCCTCCTTACCATCAGATCGTAAGATAATCATGGCTCATCATCATCATACTATTATAATACGATGAATGGTGATGAGGAGATGAGTTCATCAAGCTCCTTCATTGTCTTCCGCAAGGTCAGCGGCCAACTTGGCATTGTGTGCCTGCAGAACGGCGACCGCCTCCTCAACCTGCGTCATCATCAAAGAGGAATTATTGAATAAATTAATGACATTGACAGCATGTCAGAAGAATTGATGAATACATAAATAAATATGAATATATAAAAAGATATCTCTTATGTATCATTTAGAGGTATCAGCAACACACACATGGAGCAAGGCACGACGTACATTACATATGACAGGTGAGGGACCTCATGTTAATGTTGTAATAGGACTACTAGGTGTCTGTAACCATACATCACGCCTCTCAAAAATTTAACATGTGCATAAATATGCTCAAAAATTTAAAAATATAAATGTGATAGATGAAAAAAAGCCAAGATACAAATAATAAACTATTGATCGAGTGGACATTAATTCAAATATTTTACTTTTTTAAAAATTTAAACTCATAGTCAAAATTTAAAAGTTTTACAATCTGCTTACAAAAACCTAAGTTCATTGGTTTTTAAACAAAAGCCTCACAAGTTTCCACAGTTCATAGTTAATTAAGTTTTTTTAATTAACAAAAACTTGTAAAATGTCATCCTTCGAAACAAGTCTTATCTTGAATTCACTTGTTAGCATTTCATATAATATATTACAGAAATGTTTTGAAATTAGTGTCATGATTTTCCGTATTATAAAACTGAAACTTCTTCATAACTTGTAATAAAACAAATTTATTAAACAGCCCTGATAATTTACAACAATAAATGTTTAAACATCATGCTTATGAATACTATCACACCATGGTCATCAATACATAGCAACCATCATCAACACCGTCATCACGGTTACCTTAGATCTGAGCAATTCTCTGGACTCCAGCATATGAAGAAGTTCACAGTTGTCTATCTCTAGCAACATACCTACGGGTGAGTTTTTGAAAGATAGGAGCTTAAGTATTTATGGAGGTGCATGAGTAGATATGGGCCTAAGTATTTATGCAGGTATATGAGTAATTACGTGGCTGCAAGCGTTTCTAGGTAAACATTTGTACATATGTTAGTGCAAAAGTAATATGTATGTACTTGTTTAAATATGCAGGCGCATGCGCCCTTTGGTAGGTGCATGATTAAATAGCAGGTGCAATTGTACTTAAGCAGGTACATGCGTAAGTATGTTGGTGCATGTGTAAGTACATTATGTAGGTGCTTAAATTCATGTTGGTGTAAAAATACCTAGGTAGGTAAATGTGAAAGTAAATACGACATGTGAAAGCTTGCATGTAACTGTGCTAATGACAGAGATCAGTTCCTAACTCAAGCCAAAAATGTAATTGTCTAATTTGTATATATCCTCACAATAAACTTTCATTTTTACAAGACAGAGCACCCTGTCACCACCACCCTACATATTCCCACCCCTCCCAGCCTCGTGATCACCACCAGCAATGAACACCTGTAATCTTTCCAGCTTGCTCAGGATACATAGATTGTATGAGTGGATACAACCTCTCCCCCAGCATTTGTTTCTGCTCATTGGCGGGGGCACGAGCCAACATGGTGGATGTCAGGGGTTCCTGGCCCTGGATGTGGAGGGCCTGAAGTGATTTTGAAACCGTTACTATGAAATGTTAATTTAATACTCTTTGTTCTAATAGAGAAGAAACATTTGCCACAATCATTTTAATCACATTACTGTCTCTATTATTCAAAGCAATCATAAAAATTATGGCCGGCAACACGAGTATAAGCATAACAATCATTGTCAGCACTATCCAAAAATCACCACTGCATTATTATTTCGCCATAATAATAGTCGGTGGTTTAGTCAAAAATCTTCTTTAGGAAGGATTGGAGTTTATGGAAAAAATGACATGAACCTATTTTTTGCTCCACCCACCTATCTATAGTCACTTACATGAAACAAAGTTATTCGACATTGTAGATTTTTTGTTGAGAACAAGATAAGATTTCTATCAAGTCAAATCTGTACAAATCTTTCTATAAAGACAAGGGTGTTCACTTAAGTTCATTCTTCATCAACATACTGACGACCACATCCTTCAACAAGTCATCCTCTTAATCTTCATAAGCTTCATCCCATAATTATATCATTGTAACCACTGCATAGAAAATTACATATTCATCACTCCAGCCATAATCATCAGCAAATTCAGTACGCTCACGACAATCACCATCATAATGATGGCATAATAGTGACTAACATGTTGTGGTTGCTGTTGCAGAGCAGCAATCCCCTGATGGATAGGGACGATGGGGCTCATGTAAGGGGCTGGCTGTGCTTGATAGGGTGTGTACTTCAGTGGCAAGCGAGGTGAAGGTAGGTGCACGATGTTTGACTGCATGATGCCAACCGGGTACGCTGGTGATTTGTTAATTACATGTTCGCCAATGAAAACCAACAGAAAATATTATTTATGATAGTTTCTAATGAACGGAGCTGCACTGAGGTGAGGAAGAATTTTATTTATCCCATTTCACAAAAAAATGTGAAACCAATTATGTACATAACGAATCAAGATTGAAGGATTAGCCAACTAGATTATGGCACCCTTCATTGACCAACGATATAATTAAGTTTCATTTTCGAAAAAATGCTGCAAACACTGACCAGGTGATGAAAGTCTGTGAGATTGCGGAACCTGTTGGTGCTGGCCAGTGATTGGTCGAGCCTGGTTCGACCCCCTCATCGGCAACTGTCCAACTGACCTGGCTTGACGGGTCAGCGTTCCATTGCTTGGCTGGTATCCTGCGCATCATAATGATAATAATGTTATATACAAAATTATGATGCGCCTGATGACCAAGCTAATGGTTGTAATCAACGACTCACTATCATTCCTGCCATGTTGCGACATGCGTCCCGACGGCCTAATTGCTGGTGGAGCATAAAAATTTTGGGCCGATTGAGTTGGAAAACTTGGTGAAATGTAAAATCCTGTGTTACTAGGAGTGAAAAACTGGCCACCTTGATAGCTCTGAAAAAAGAGAACAGCAAATTATATTTTTTTATTAAGAGAATAAACGAATGTGCCTACAATGCCAGCATTACTAACTGGAGAAACAGTTAAACAAATGATAATGATAAAAAACGGAACGAACCAGCTGTGGGAAAGTGCAGTATCTCTTCTGATATTGGCTGGCCAGTTGAGCCTTCCTCTCTTCCTTTCGTTGAGCTAGAGCAACATACAATGGCTTCGTTCCCACCAGACGGCCATTCATTTCCTGTTGAGCCTTTGATGCATCATCTGGATTTTTAAAGCACACGAAGCCAAAACATTTGGAACGCTCTCCATCCATCATGACCTTGTTAGTTGAAAACACAATGTATCATTTTTATACAATGGCAGAATTTCTTAACATTTTTCTTCAAACCTTTACACTAGACAATTCCCCAAACTTGCTAAATTCAGCACGCAAAGCCTCATCATCAACTGAATCATCCAAATTTTTCACATACAAATTAACTCCATGGCAGCGACCTAGGAGACTAGCCTTGAACCTGTGCGAAGAACATGATATGAACCTATGTGGACAGGTTGTGTAACCAGCACTCAAAAAATATTTAATATTTTAAAACCTTTCAAATTTTTCTCTTAGCTCTGCTTGCCTTTCTGCCTTCTTTTGAGCTCTGGCCACATAAAGTTCACGTCCATTCAACTCCTTTCCATTCAACTGTTCAACAGCCTTCAATTAATAGTTTATATAAGAAAAATATGAAAATATAAATAACATAATAAAATCAGTTGACTGAACAATAAATATGATTCTTATAAAAATATTACCTTCAAAGCTGACTCATGTTCCTCAAAGCAAACGAAACCAAAACCTTTGGGAATTCCAAGTTCATTCGTCATGACCTTGCAGCTTAAAATTTTTCCGAAGCACTCAAACATTTCACGCAGCTTGGCCGTATCCAAGTATTCACCAAAATTTTTAACGAAAACATTTGTAAACTTTTTTGACTGGTCACCCATCTGATTGACACGTTCACGACGTGACATGAAACGCCCAACAAAACTGAAGGAAGTTGCATTAAAGAAACTATATGCATATATATACATTCATACAACATGATCATTGTTAGGATTTATAAAGAGAAAATCACACTGAAATGAATATTAAAACGAACACTTTCTTATCATTCATGAGCATGCCATTGACTTTTTCAATGGCCAACTTTGCCACTTCTTCTGTTTCAAAATGTACAAACCCATAACCTTTGCTACCATTGCAATCTGTGGCAATCTGGTTTATCAGGTAATTAGTTTATTGACTTATAAATACTAAAATTTTCTTCTCCTTTAGAAAATGAAAAATAAGATTGAAATTTATTTTGGAAAACATTCAACTAAATGTTCACAATTTCAATCTATTTAAAAAATAACTTAATGTGTTATTGGAAGTGCAAAAAAATGTTCTACTTTGCAAGAAAGAATGTTGCCAAAAGTAGAAAATGTATCATAAAGTGCTTTGTTATCAATTGACTTGTCCAAATTTTTGATAAATATATTTCCAATTCCTGATTTTCTCAATGAAGGGTCCCTCTGGGACCACATTATTCTAATTGGTGAACCATTTACAGGGTCAAAGTTCATTGTGTCTAGTGCTCTTTCAGCTTTGTGTAAATAAATTAATTAATTAATTTCAAGGAAAAATATGTAGAAAAATTAAATATAATTATTTAATGCAGCACATGTACCACATAGTTTTGAAGTACACAAAATGACGAAAAATTAATTTTCAAATGCTAAGTCTTGAAAGGCAAAATAAATTTATTTTCAAACAAAAAACATAAACCCATACTAAAGCAGTTATTTAGAATTTTAGATAAATATGTCTTTGACAACCTTGAAAGTCAATATTATAAAAAGTCAGATTATACAGCAATGCAGCTTAATAAATTATTCATCAACCAGTAAAATCATAAATGACAAAAGAATCAAACTAACCATCCAGTGGATTTTGAAAGTTGACGTAGGCGTATCCGAGACTCCTTCTGGTGATCATATCTCTGCAGACCCTGATGCTCAAAACCGGTCCTACCAGGGAGAACTTTTCGTAAAGGACTGCCTCAGTCACATCTGGGTGCAGATCTCCAACGTACAGTGAAGCATTTGGGTAGGCAGGAAGCGAATGATCCATTTTTATTTGATTTTTTTTGCTTTTATAATTTTTAAATTTTCAAATTTTTAAATTTTTATCAGCAGTTTTTTTACATTCAAATTAAATTTTTATATCTCTTGGGCGATTGTCCAAGTCGAAAACATCGCTGGTGTAAAATTAATTTTTTTTTTAATTTATTCGATGCAGAATTTAAATTTTTTTATTTTAAACTTTGAAATTTTTATTGGAAACTAATGTGAATTCATCCTAACTTTCAGGTGGTAACCGCCAATAATAGACGACTAGATTTAATTTCAGGAAGTTACGCTTTGTAGGGATGGGCGTTTCAACTGTTTTCATCGCAAACAATTTTTTCATAATAATAACGATTTATAAAAGTAAATTTATGCGTTACAACCGAGCCACATAAATATAACATTAAAATAGTTAATATATACATATAGTTCAGTGGGCGTAACCCATTTTAATTATATAATTCAAAGTTAGCATTAATATAATTTTTGATTCGCAACGATATACTTTGCTAACTTTGCTCCACACATTTCTTTAATTTGCTTTAGTGAAGTTAAAATTATTAAACTACAACATTTTTATTATGAAGTTTTTTTTATAATTTACGCTGCATGTCTTGAACGATTTGAATTCATCATTCACGATCTTATATTTTTTAGCTTATGCATGCGCAGGTCTTATTAATTTCAAGTTATTCGCAGTTTAGCGCAAATACACTTGCGAGATCTTTATTCAAGTAGATAGGCAACGACTTTCTAGGCCTTACTCTGAAAGCACTTTCTTTTTCGACTAGATCAAGTTATTTGATGGTTACTGGTACATCGTCTGCCACCCTGAAGACACTACTATGCATTTATCACCGCTATTCGAGTAATTTCCGCATCAAACCTTTGATACTACATGGGCTGTACAGAATGGGCTGTACTAATGCTTAACCGATCGAACCTGACAACTACAAAGTGTTTGTAGTTATCCCAATCCTGTTTTGTTAGTGACCATGTGCACGCGATCCTACTGAACTGAACAGACGTACGTCTCAAGCAGTACTACTATGCTTTTTCGCTTTTACTTCCTTACGGATCAACTGAAATTTCTTGAACATTCAGATCGACTGAAGCTTCTTGAATGCAAGAGCAGCGACTTACTTTTTACACTTATATCGCAGGTTAAAAAATCATTAATTGTAAGGTTTATCAAAAAATTTGTCTTGATAGTTCGTCGACAGCTTAATAAATTGGTCAACACCTGTGACTGACAACCAGTCCAGTTTTTGCCTTTTATTGCAAGTAATCATAATTATAAAGTAATCATAATTATATTATATAAACGTGATAAATAAGATCATATAAAATACTAATATTAAAAAATTAATAGAAAAAAAATTATGAAAAATAAGTCAATAAATCTTCAACGACAAATTATGAAATACCCAGACCAGATGAATTGTATAAATGCAATTATTGCTTTAAAGCTTGCAATGATCTGTCAACAAATAAAAAGAGAAAAGACATATACACAGAAACACACAAAAAAAAATGTACACACACGTCTTTGGACGTACGACAAAACTCATGACTGAAAATATAATATATACCCTAACGAACAAAAGAAAAGCTTATTATTGTTATTAGGATTAAGAATAAAATATATAATAATTTTAGAATCTGAAAACCAAAATATTTTGGGTGCGTAACCTGGCACCGTTATGACATCATATGAAACAAGGCAGCCAATCATGGTGAAGAAGTGATGAGTGGGTGAGATGCCTTACGAAAATGCGCGCACACACACACACACAAATATGATTAACAACATTAATAATAATAACGACGATGATAATGATGACCAGGAACGTATACCACGACGACACATCAACAATTTGAATATGTTTTTTATTGTTTGTATTTGAATTAGTTGCTATAATTGTTTTTATTATTTTCTGCTAATTTAAATTCATAATTTCACTGATATTGATAAATTTTTATCGAGATAGATCTATATGCTTACAATTAAATTAAATTTATAATAAAATATAAATAATAACAATGTTTTCCGCTTTTTAATAATTTAAATTCCCAACATAGACAATGCAGTCTACCGAATTTCTAGCGTTGGATAGTTTTTTATTACATTTCTCAATATTTCGAACAAAATTCTTGTCGTCATTTTTTATTTTAGTAAAGTTAGAATAACATAGTTTTTCAATTCATTTTCGAGCGTATAGGACCTATTTCGATTCACTAGCCATCTCCAGAACTTGTTGTAGTTGATATAGACAATTAGTATAACCCAGTGCTTGTTGCAGTTTATATAGGGAATTTGTATAAATCAGGCCTTTGTTCCTGTGATTTGTAACAAAGGCCTGGGTTATACAAATAGGTCCTATACACTCGAGAATGAATTGAAAAACTGTTGATTAGATGGAGTTAAAGAAAGAAGTATAAATATAGGAATTGTCAGCATATAGTTGACTAGTAAAAAAAGTTTTAATAATATGAGGTAGTTCAGAAACCTAGAGTATAAATAAAAGAGGGCCAAGGATAGATATATGAGGTACCCCAAAAGTAAGAGTAGAGGAGTTAGAAGTAGCGTTATTGAGAAAAACAGAAAAAAAACGATTACAGAGATAAGAAAACCATGAGGGACAAGAATATAATGATAATAAATAATATTAAATACAATAAAACATAATATGAATTAAAATAACTAAAATATAATAGTAAAAACAACGATTAATATTTTTATCATTATTAAAATTCTGTTTATTACATAATTTCTCCTAGTGGGGAGGCACATTCAGTGAAATACGTAAAAATACTAAGTTCGCTCAACCGAAAACAGCAACCACCATGCTAAATTCATTATATAGTAGTGTAGATGATATTTTGACGGTGGTCGCTTCGTACGAGTGGGACTCATTTCTGAAAGCCATTTTGACCTCAAAAACATATAATTTGACATCAAACTCAATATAATAGGTTGAGCGGTTTTAACAATAAAATAAAAAAATTGGATCGGCCATTTTATAAAATGGCTTCCAGCAGTTAATCTCACCCATACAAAGCGACCATCAGTAAAATATCCCAGCGGTTCTCTACCTGTGGTCCGCGAGCAATGTGAAGTTTTTTAAATAAAAAAATGAAAAAGATGAACTCCGATTGAGCCTTTCGAGCATTACGCCTCGTTTGGATAAGCAATGCTCAACTGTGCAAGCTCAAGACTCACACTGAAATTAAATGTAGCCTTATTTCTAATGCACTTGGCACGTTAAAAAACCGCCTGTTTATTATTATTCGTTATTGTTAGCAAGTGACATTTGTTCACTGTAAAAGATGCAATTACAATTTGTTTCATATTTGACATAAAAATTGATGATACACCATCAGATACGCTGTATGCAAACATCAACGTAAAACGAACCTTAAACTTTTTAATTTGAAGTTAAAACATTTATTCAATTAATCTTCGTTTTGCGTCCAGAGACCCAGTTTCCCGAGGTAGGACGTTGTTTTCTTTGCCATCAACTTTTTGCGCCAAATTAGACGATCAGTTGTATCTATTTCATTTAAATTTAGAGCTTTTCACGTCTTGCTCGATTGTTTGCGACCAGGACTTCTTTGGACGGCCTTTGGACGTGTGCCAGGTACTTCAACATCTGCAAGAGAAGTTATGGCACTGTTTCTACTTCGTTTGACATGACCAAACCACCGCAGACGGTGTAGCCGGCATTCGTCCTTTATATCATCTAAACCAGCACGAACAGGATTTCGGTAGATTTGATGTGGTCCTTCAGACTAATTCGTTGCATCCATCGGAGCATTTTCATGTCGGTTCGTTGAAGTTGTTGTTCCAGTTTGGTTGTCATTGGCCATGTTTCTGCACCATATAACAACACCGGACGTATCACAGATTTATAAAGTCTTGATCGTAGTGGTAATGGGATGTCACGCCGCATCAATATAGATGCATGGAGATGCCATTTATTCCAGGCTGCACGTATGCGTGCTCGAACGGCAGCTTCAGCTGTTCCAGTACAATCCAGAACATTCCCTAGATATTGAAACGATGTGACTTTCTCTATTTTAATGGCTTCAAAAACAGTGCTATTTCGAATTTGTTGTTGTGGATTGACGCAAGCAGGACAAACAAAATTGGACACTTTAGATAAAGTACCAATTATTTTTGAACAACGTTTGTGACACCACTGGTTACACTGCTGACACTTGATTGAATTGTTACCTACACCAGCTTTACAAACTGAACAGGGCCATCGTCCAGTAGCTGTGGATTGGATGGGTTCACCAATGTTCATTGCTTTGGTTTTGCTGATGTTGACTTTGAATCCATGATCGGTGAGTCTGGTGTTCCAATCTTCAAACATCTGTGCTGCATTCTGCTCAGACGTGGCTGTTAAAACGATATCATCAGCATATATTAGATTCCAAATGTCACCAGTGCGTATCGGTTTTGGGATTTCTTCCATCAGATATAAATAACAGTGGACTGAGAATCGAGCCTTGGTGAACTCCAACGCCGATGTCAAATGCATCTGTGTTTCCAACCGTTGTGCTGACAAAAGTTTTAGTATTCGTATACATTTCCATCACAAGTCGAACAAGATACTCTGGAATGAGTTGTCGACGTAGACTCCATCTGATTGCTTCACGGGGAACTCGATCAAATGCTTTTTCAAGGTCTACAAAAATAGGTGAGAGTTAATGATGCTTTGCGATGTACTTTTCTTGCAGTAGCCGAAGGATGTGAATTGCATCAATTGTTGATTTCCCCGCTAGGTAACCAAATTGATAATTTCCGATTGTGATGCACGACGTTAATCTTCTCTCAATGATTTTCTCGACAATTTTTAGGGAGTGTTCTAACAGACGTATACCCCGATATGATGAACAGTTCAATGGATCACCTTTGCCTTTGTATAGCGGTACTGTCATGCTATAGTTCCATTCAGTCGGCATTGAGCAATTTCTCCAGATTTCACGGCAAAGTTGTAGTAACGTTTGGATACCTGCAGTACTAGATGCTTTGATAATGTCATTTGTGAGTCCCGAGAGCCCTGTTGTCTTTCCATCCTTCATAGCTTTCAGAGCTTCTGTAAGTTCCTCTACAGTGAAGTCTGGAATCGGACCTTCGATGGGTGGAGCATCAAAGTTTGTTTCGTTTAACAGACGGTTGAAGTATTCTCTCCACTGTTGCTTGATCTCATCTTGTTCAAGAACCATCTCATTTTTGTCGTTTTTGATACATGAGGCACCAACTATGTCTTTTTTCGTACGCTTTGCTTGTTTTGCTGTACGATACAGAGATTTCATTTGTTCACCTTTGCTTTAGTGAGCCACTCTCTGCACTGATCTGTCTGAGCCAGTGCAACTTGACGTCTTGCATAGTTGTTCTTCTCACGGAAAATTTTTGGTCATCAAAAGACTGATTTTTGCCATTGCTTGTATCCAACTTTCTTTTCAGCTATTGCATTTTGTACACTGTCATTCCACCAGTTCATGCTGACGTTTTGTACCAGTTTTCCCACAAACCGTATTTGCAGCGTTTATCAATACGGTTTTATATGTACTCCAATCTGTACTGGCTTGCGATTGGTGGTCTAACTGTGTGGCCACAATCTGTTGAAATTTTTCTCAATGAATATTGCTTTTCAGCTTCACGATTTGATTCTCCGAGGCATTTGTTTAGACTTATGTTTTGACAGTTCGACAACCAGGTCTGCCACAAGGAGTCTATGTTGGGCGACACATGATTCGCCAGGTATAACTTTGACGTTTTTGAACAGCCTTCGGTGTTGTTGCTTGACAGCGAAGAAATCAATTTGCGTGGCTGATGGTCCACTTTTGTATGTTATGAGATGTTCCAACCTCTTTCTAAAATATGTGTTCAGTAAACAAAACCCGTGACTTTCCGCAAACTCAAGGATGCGGTTGCCATCTTCAATCCATTCTCCATAGCCAAAACCGCCATGTACGTTGTCAAAACCATCTGTTTTCTCTCCAACGTGGCCATTGAAATCGCCTCCAATCAGAATTGTTTCAGATTTTGATATTGTAGAGATGGTGTCAGAGAATGCGGCCCAGAAGTCATTTTTCATCTCTTCTGATTCGCCTGTCTGTGGTGCGTATGCAGAAAAAAATAATCATTGTTTGCTTTTCTATGCGAAGCTTGATCCACATGAGACGTGAATTAATCCTTTTAATATCCAGTACTTCTTGGGCTAGCGGTTCTCTGACAAAAATTCCAACACCATTTTTGGCCGTCTTTTGACCATTCCAGAATAGTTTATATATATAGATATTTTTTATATTTTAAAGTTAAAACATTTATTAAAATATATAATAAATAATTTTAAATAACAATTTTAATACACCTATAGTTAAGTGTGGTAACTGTAGTTCTCTAAGTTACGACGTTCAATAGTTATACTAAGAACTGTTATACTAACTATGTGTTGCTGTTACGTCATTATATGAAATAATAATTATATATATATATATATATATATATATATATATATATATATATATATATATATAAATTTCAAGTGCACTAGTAGCAATATTTTCAGTGGTGGTCCGCGACTGGGACGCACATTTTTAAGAGGTCCTTGAATCTCAAAATATATGAACTTAGCGTAGTGGTTGCTGGTTAGGTTTTGTGGTTTTTTGGCTGACTGCCTCCCTTTTATCCAAAACGTCTAGAACATTTTAAAAACTAGATGTTCCCTAAAAATATAAAATAAACAACACTTAAAAATACACACAAAATTTCAGAAAAATTTTAAAAGCATATAAAACTTTTTAAATTATTCTTTGATCTGTATGATGTACGATAAAAGACTGGTTCAAACTATATATATACATAAATACATATAAATAATAGCATATATAAACATCATTAACGTAAATTAAACGATTTATTTGTTTCTTTCGTAGCCTTCTACATGGAATCTGGGAATCGTGGAAGACAGCTTGCCATACTTGCTGCATGGTAAACAAATTAATTGATATGATTAGTATCATTATTATTATTATTATCATCATCATCATCTTACAACAAATGAATCGACATAGAGACACATAGAAGTGCCTCAAATATTTTCAAATTGGCTGGTTCACCACTTCCATAACAAGAGTGGTTTTTAGCTTAGCATCTTTTACCATTCATAAAAACTTTTAAATTGTAGCTAACTCAATTACTTTCTTATACCAAACACCAAGTCACTCACTCTATACCTTCAATATTCTTATTGGATGCTGATCTACCATTCTTCACCACCATTTCTGCATCATCTAAACTTTCTACACTTTAGCGCTGTTATGAGGGTGCCCTATAAACCAATCTTTTAAACTTTTTTTTACAGACTATCATCATTATCAGCGTTTGATCCAATCTTGCAATACTGAGCATGTCATTAGCTTACGAACAGGGTGTTATGAAGGGTCTATCTAAGTTCATACGTACTGAGAACTACCTAGACCCGAAAATTATGAAACAAAAATAAATTAGCTCACGTTGCATATTTAATGCAAGTTTCTCAAAAGTTGCACGACAACTTCATCAGAGCATCCTGCGGTTGACACACTGGAACCGCACCAAGAAAAGCTTTATATTTATGCTTACTATGGTGTTCCATGTTATGCAGCTCATCCATTCCTCCCTAACGTATCAACCTTATAGCTGAAAGTTGAAAGAAGTCAGGTTTTCTTTCCTATTCTCAACACCATATAATACATTTCCACAGCCCACATATAAAATGTTTTGACAGGTCAAAACTTATTCAATAGCATTTTTTATGAGAAAAACAAACTACATAATATCAAAATAGTGCCAGACTGCATACTACAATCTCACAAATCCAATTCAACTGCATATAACATTCTCCAATGTAATATAATTTCATTCCCTTGTCACACACATGATAAACAACAAACGGCTCAGCTTTGTATGGAATAAATCAAACACTTAAAAATAATTTTTATAACTAAGAGCACAATAGTGAATGAATTTAATTAGGAAATGATCAATGAATGAACATACATTTGACAAATTAATAATGGTTAAATATTTATAGTTTCTAACGGTTGATGTCTTGTGAGATCAGATCATATAAGGCTCGATGCAGTTTGTGGCTCTGTGACCTAGCTGAGCACAATTGGAGCAATATATCCTTCTACTAAGGTCACTGCTATTCAAATTATCTTGAAACGTAGGGGGTACAATTGATTGAGGGATGTAATTGGGTGGAGGTACTGATGGATTGAATGGAACTATTCCTGGAGGAAATGCAGTTGGTTGCTGTTGTTGCTGTGTGACAGAGAAAAATGTTGATGATGGCGCAGCATATGTTGAGTTTGTGGATGGTAATGTCGTCAGATTTGACACCCTTGATAGCAGTATAGATGCGTTTTGGTTAATCAGCTGATTAGGATAGACAAAATTAGAATAAGACACATTACGTTGTGAAAAGTAATGACCAGAACAGTGGTTGGAATAACAAGGATTTTCGATGAATGTATAGATAGGACAGTATACAACACGAAATTGTGGTAGTTGTTGATATGTTGTGTTGTAGTTCTTGTTGCTGCTACTGTTTTTGTTGTAGTTGTTGGCTTTAGATCTATCAAATCTATAATCGTTACTGTATAGTGAGTTACTGATAAGATTATTATCACTGTTGTTTGCTGGTTTGTTGTTGTTGTTACTGATAAGATTATTATTACTGTTGTTTACTGGTTTGTTGTTGTTGTTTCTACCACCGTATGTCATCTTAGTTGTACAATCCTGATAACTTTTGTTGTTGTTTTGATTATTATGATTGTTGTTGCGATTGACGTTTCGTGACCAATGATTTAACCTCTGAGGAAATAGTTGTTGTTGTTGTTGTTGTTGAGGCAGAATTTGTTGATGTTGTTGCATTCTGAACGAGGGTGGTGCATGATTGTGGAAGGGTGTAGAGTGTTGTGGCCGAGATTGTTTATGCTTGTTCAAACTGACAAGATTATCATTCTTAGCTTTAACGTTTGTAGCAACAGAACAAGTAGCAGTAGCAGTAGTAGTAGAAGTAGTGGTTGTAGGCTGAGAAACAATACTAGGAATTAAGGCAGAAGGTATCGCAGAAGGTACCGAGGTCACAGCATTCTCAATATTGTTATTGGCTGTAGTAGTTGAGTTAGTAGTGCTGATACTCACTGAAGGTTCCACTGACGTTTGCTGCTTTCCAGCTGTTAACACTACATTTCTATTGCAGTTGTTGCTGCAGTTAGAAGAACTCTTGCCATTTCCTCTGTTATCAGAATTCAACAACTCAAATGAGTAATTTTCCTTGTTGCTGTTTTTGTTGTCGCCCTGCTCACTTGAGTTGCACACATTTTTACACTTTTCACATGCTTTCGAATAGCGAATGATGATTTTGCTTTTTTGCTCCAATGAATTTTCTGTCACATTATGTGGTTCATTGTTGCATAAATGATCAGGTGTTGATGAGAAAGAAGTTTCCCTGACATCACTGTTGTTGGTTTTAATGCTGGTAGATAGAGTGTCTGAAGATAAGGATGACGAAGAAGACACTTGAGGTGGAAAAGATGATTCTAATGATGGTTCTGAAGAAGGTGATGATGCAGCAGGGCTACTCCCACTCTTGTTAACCATAGTGGCCGCCATGCTGTAGTAAAGTAATTATGTAATTAGACAATGATTTTTATATTGTAAATTGAATTGACAGTCACTGAAACATTTTTACCATAGAATTTTCATAGAATATATTAGCATTGCATTGTCATTTTTCATTAAGACTTAAACTGTTCACAAGAAGAACTAAAAGAAGAACTCCACAAATTAGGTGTAATTGACATCTTCAACATCCGAATAGCCAAAACCAACACTAACACATTTATTCTCACTTTTCAAAATACTGTGCTACAAAGTGAAATTAAAGTTTGCCATCTCAACATAAAGGTGGAAGAATATATCCAACCTCCAATCGAATGCACCAAGTGCCAGAAGTGTATGGCCACAATCAAAAAATCTATAAGAGCAAGAATATGGCATGCACAAACTGCCGAAAAATAGGACACAGACATCCTGCACTTAAAAGGCCAAATGCTGCCACTGCAACAAAAGACAGCCAACATTTGATAAAAAATATGTTATAGAAAAACAATTAATAATCAAAAATATGAGAACAATATTACTTATAAACATGCCAGGACTTTGGTCTCCAGGGAACATAAAATAACTTATGCAAATGCACTCAAAAGTAAAACTATGGTTGATAAAAGTGTCCTATGCAACCTAATAAATATTCAACTAACAAAACGATTTTTAAAAAATGCAGAAGCAAACACAGATATTAATAAAGAAACCTGTGACTTAAACCCAGACCTATATCTACTATATTCCAGAAATGAAACTGACAAGGATGAGTTTAAATTTAATACTAACCTCCAAATATGCCAAACACTATTCCAAAACCAAATCTAAGCCCAAAAATAAATGGCAATTAACAGATGATAAAATGAACTTGATCCAATGGAATGTTAGAGGAGCCAAAAGTAATTATGTAGAAGTATTAATATTAAAAGAGAAATATAATCTGCATATTTTATGTTTACAAAAAAAAAAATTAATAGATAACAAGAAATTATAAATAAAAAATTATTACTTATATAAAGTACATACCAAGTTAACAGAGGCAAACTCTAGTGGATGAATATCAGTATATGTCCACAATGAAGTTGCACAATTTCAAAGAAATGTTCCTTTCAATTCTATTGTTTGTGTTGTAAATGTCAATTTAAATAGATCAATAACAATTTGCAATTTCCATAATCCTCCATCATGAAAAAAAATATACTTGAATTCTAAAATTTAATAGATAAGTTGCCGAAACCAAGGATAATGTAGGAGATTTTAAGATAGACAATACAATTTGGAACAGCGATAATAATGATGGTAATGGTGAAAAAATTGCTTCTCTGCAATATTTGATTAATTAAGCCCATGTAGCCTACTTACTTTCAATCTCATTCAAATACATGGTCAACAATAGACCTATCATTTGCTTCATCTATTATTTTTAATCAAATTGAATGGAATCATGAAGATGATCCACACAATAGTGACCCTTTTCCAATCATATTCTGTATTCATATTCATAATCAAGCTCTAAGCTCTAGTTATACCAATACAGAAGCCTAAAAAAACCTAAAAATGATCCCTTAAGTTATCGATCGATATCGTAAATTTTTTGTAAAAATTGTTCAACACTTTACCACTTAAACATTAATAAAATAATCAGTCCAAACCAATGTGGAGGTCAGAAATGTTGTCTAGAAATAGTGTATAGAGTACTACGAATGATTGTCTATGGTTTTGAGTCCAGACCATCTCATTTCCTTTGAATCATTCATGAGAGATGCACTCATTTGCAACGAGCAGATGGAAGCAATCTTTTTCCACATCGAAGAAGCTAATGATCAAAAATGAAGATACATATCTTGAAAAATCTCCATCGAATTAGATTAAAAGGCAAGCTACCTCTCTACTTCATATCCCAATTGTTAGCTAACTTAAATTACAAACATTAGGTTGGTCTCTCTCCTCTATGCACTTCCCTTGCAAGTTCCAGGAATCACCGAGTCAGTTCAGTTAATACTGAAAGTGCCATGTATGCCTCATACTGCTATTACTAATAAGGCAATGACATGGTTCGAATACTCCAAAATTGAAAGATTAGCATACTCTTATGAGGCGAGGCATGAGTTGCATATATTACTACATGCATGCCTATGTGCCTCAAGTTGGAAAACTCGAAGACCACAATTAAATAATTAAACTAAATAGAGCTTTTTGTTCAGGGATCGTACAGTGTACATAACTGCCATTATACTTAAATGTTTTAAAATTTGTTGCTTGTGATGTGTTCATTCGCTTAATTAACAATGAAAAAATCTTACTGAATTAACTCAACATGCACAGACATAAATGCAAGAATTATTTTTCTGCTGATTATAAGAACATTAAAAAAAATTAAACGGTTTTTTGATAATTTTTATTTTATAATTCTTATTGAGTTTAAAAAGAAAAACGATAGACAATGTAATCCACTTTTCAACAATTTCTTTATCAATTTATTAGTCGGTTTTAAAGAAAAATTGGACAAAAGCACCATCTGCAAGTATAATGGCAGTTATGTACACTGTACGGTCCCTAGGCAACGAACAAGCAGCTCTATTTAGTTTAATTATTAGTTGCAACGTGGGAGGAGCTAATGTGTCTTTTTAAGCTGTTGACTATAAATAAATATGGTAAACTCGTACTACTCCACGCTTATGTTTTTTACATAGAAAAATATTGAAAACTTTAAATTTGGCTCTGCCCTTCATTAATATTCATGACCAATCGAAGCGCTTCATTTTATTGTAAAAAATTATTAAACAAATAATTTAAAAAATTATATTTTAAAGTGTTTATTAATAATTTTGATGCCAAATAAAACAAAATAAGGTTACATATTAAAATTTAGATTAAATATAAATAAAATATAGATTAAGTTTAGATGTAATAGTTAAGCTCTGCAATCTCTTACATATTGCCTGACTGGTTCAATTTACATCGGGATTTATATATGGACTGAGCTCGTGATAACCCTGCACGAATAGGTGGCCAAGGACACATTGTTCAGATAGATGGAAGCTGTGGAATGCATGTCTAGTTAGGGCACGCTGGGTTTTTGACAGCATATGGTGGGAGTAGATAGACGAGATGCTGCCACGTTGTTGCCATTGATACAGCGACATGTTCAGCCCGGTTGGTTCCATAAAGTTTAATGTTTTAAAATTCATTTTGGTTGGTTATAAAATATAGTTCGATTTTAATAATTTTAGGAACAACGTTTGGACGGATCAATGGGCTGCTTGTAACAGGATAACAACCGTAACCGGTCCAACCCACCAAACCGTAAATCACTCCATTACATTTCGGGCCGTAAACGGAATGTACACAAATGGAGTGGAGAATTTGTGGCGATGCACCAAACAAAAATTCAAAAGAATGAATGATACGTGCAATGTTCACGTATAATCATACCTTGATAAATTTATGTGGCTGCGCACCATAGGAGATAGAAAAAGCGGTTCCAAAAAACCCTGGAACTTATACTATATGACATTATTACGTGGTTTAACATTTTGAAACTTTTTTGTATTTTTTTTAACTAATAATAATTATTAGATACTTCTGTTTTCTTTTTTCTATGAAAATATAATGTGCAAATAAAATTACAAATAGTTCTCATGTTTATAAGAATATCATTAAAAATTACAAATAGAAAAAAATAAAGCGATTCGGTTAAAAATTCACAAATTGAAAAAATAAAGTGCTTTGCTTGGTCATGAATATTAATGAAAGGCGAAGTCAAATTTAAAAGTCTTCAATATTATTCTATGTAAACAACAAAAGCTTGGTGGGTAGAGTTTACCAATAAATATTACTGGAAAAACCACTTTGTGGTCTCCGGGTTTGTGTAAATATTACCAGAAGAACCACTTTGTGTTCTCCGGATTTGCCAATCATGTCAACTTTTGATGTAGAATTGTGAATAGTATAGAGCACAGTCTTTGTCTTCTTCATGGCTTGCTTAATTTATTAATTTAATTAATCTAGTCTAGAATAAAAATAAAATAACATGTAAGCAGCACTGCATAGTAAAGAATAAAAAAATAACTTCTTTGTTTTGTTGAACGCGCAACGACCACGAGGCTACTACCGGACCACACACATGTACCAACATCATAAAACAAAAGAAAACAAACCAGGGAGGATGCTTTTGTCCAATTTTTCTTTAAAACCAATTAATAAATTGATTAAGATCGTATTTAAAATTTCATTTCTGCCGACAACTAATTTCACAAAATAAGCCTGGATAAACAAAAAGTTTACGGTGAGATTCGGTTAGGAAAATATAATTTATTAAAATTTAATAAAATAAGCGACCAAACCACGATCGAACATTCAATCAAACTTCCAAAATAGCGCAAACGGAATTCACTTTTAACCCAGCTTAAAAGCCAAAAACTAAAAATAGTAAAAATAACTTGCTTAAAATAAATTAGTAAAGTACTTTGATAATTCTATATTAATTATATATTTTATTTTCTATAAATAATTCTATATATATAAAGTATATGTATATCATATAATAAAGTCTATAATTATTAATTTTTTCATTATTTTACAATCTAATTAGAAAATATTTTAATAATTTTCATACACTGAATTTAGTTTTTAGTTTAAAATTCCATAAATTTTGCAACAGTTTCATTATAATATATATATTGAATGGGGTTTCATATGAATAATTGATTATAAATTAAAATATAAACCTAAAAACTAGCATTGAACAAATTATAAATGAGTTTCATGTTTAACTAAATCGCCAAAATTAACTGGTTTAATTAAATTTGAATTATTCGGTAAAAATTCAAGAATTTGTCTGGAATCCGATGAGGACAGGTAATCATCTGGAGAGACGTCTGTGAAAATTACTTTAAAAATTAAATGAAATTGAATTAAAGTTACCAAAATGAAACCCTACATTTCAAAATTAAAGTTACATTTGAAGAAATATCACAAATTAGTGTGAATAAATAAAATATTCTCACCCCCAACAAGATTCTTCCTGTAACGAATAAATTAATTTATGGATATTATAATATGAAATGATAAGAAATCGGCAAAAATGAGTTACCAAATTTGGTTTAAAAGTATGAAACAACTAAATGGAAATAAATTGTTGGAGTGAAAATAAACTAATGGAGTAAAATGAATTGTTGGAGTGAAAACGAATTGTTGGAATGAAAAGAATTGTTGGTGTGGAAACGAATTGTTGGAATGGAAACGAGTTGTTGGAGGGAAAATGAATTGTTGGAGTAAAAATGAATTGTTAGAGTGAAAATGAATTGAAAAACCTGCTTTGAGCTGAGTTATCGAACGAATCAACAGTTGAATTAGTTGCAAAATATTTGACGCCATCTGTGGAGCAAATAAATCGTTTCTTACTCTCATGCAAAAATACTCATCGCCATCACTATCAGCATCGCTATCGCCATCATAATCATCGTTTTAAGCCACATCATCATCTCAAACATCAGTCATCATTCTTTTCATCATCATCATTATCATCCAATCGTCATTATCATCATCACCACCGCCATCATCACCACATTCATCATCATCTTCATCACCATCATCATCATCACTAACGAAATTTTTTTCTTTCCGACATTTTGTTGTAGAACTTTTTGGTGATGGCGAAGACGACGACAACGATGACGAGTGTAAGTAACAACAGAACAAGCAACAAACCGACTATTAGTAAAACGCTCGCTGGTCTGTCTTTGCTATTGAAGTTGTTGTTTTTGTTGATGTTTTTGTTGTTGTTGGTGCTGTTGGTGCTGTTGTTGTTGGCGTTTTTGTTTATGAGGGAAATTCCAAGTTGTTCAATTGAATTGATGGCCGTGTTAATAACGTTGGAATTGTTGTTGTTGTTGTTTTTGTTGTGTCTGTTACCGTAGTAAATAAGTGTGTTGTTGTGATTGTTGTTGCTGTTGTTGTAGAAATTTACGTTGTTAATACTCATGTTGTTGCCTATGTTATTCGTGTTGTTGTTGTAGTTGTTGTTGCTGATATGAACATCGGAAGGGTTCTTAAACTGATACTTGCTATGAAGTGCCTTCTTCAGTGGCAGCGATTGATCTTTCCTTCTTACGTCACCATCAACGTCATCGTCGTCGTCGTCGTCATTATCATTATCATTACCATCGTCACTGCTGTGACGGTCATGATAATGATGCTTGTGAAACTGATAATGATCCCCGTCGTTGCTGACATTGTTCTTGTCGTCATCGCCTTTGAATGGTTAAGTATAGATGATGAATTTGCCTTTTTTTTTAAAAACATAATTTACAAACATTCACCACAACTATCCTCTGCCGGCTTCGTAGATGCTCTCCTATTTCCGGTTAGCACATCCCTGTTTTTGTTTGGAACATTCCTATTTTCAGTCGGCACATCTCTACTTCCGGTGACATCATTTTGGTCGTTTATCTTGAAATATGTCGAAGTCTCGGAGCAAACGTGCGTGACTGGGTGGTGATGATGACGATGATGTTGATGGTGATGATGGTGATGACGATGATGTTGATGGTAATGATGACGATGAGGATGATGATGACGATAATGTTGACGGTGATGATGACAATGATGATGATGATGGTGATGATGTTGATGGTGATGATGACGATGATGAAGATGATGACGACGATAATGATGATGATGGTAATGATGGTGGCTGTGATGATGATGATTACTTGAATGTGGAAAAACAAGGAATGTTTAAAAACAAATTTTTAAAAATTTAGTTGATTAAATATTCTTCTAATTCATTCTGCTTTCAAAATCTAAGGACTTTGAATTATTTAAATAATTATCATCATTTTCAATGTCGTCATCATCATCATCACAATCATCGTCATCATCATCATCATCTTCATCATCGTCATCATCATCGTCATCATCATCATCGTCATCATCATAATCTTCTTCACACACAATAATAAATTACCTTCATTGCATTTGATTTCTTCATATTTTTTTTCACCCTCCTCCTCCTCAACATCATCATCATCATCATCATCATCATCAACAACATCCTTGTCGACTTCAATAACGATAATATCACTAGTCATTGATAAAAAATGTGATGATGATGACGACGATGATGATGATGATAATGATGATTTGATGTATTTTCTCGCTTCTATTATTAACGAAAGAAAACAACGTCTGACGATGTTGTTGTTGTTGCTATTGTTGTTGTTTTTGTTTTTGATGTTGTTATTTTCACTGTTGATGTTATGGTTAATGTTTTTGTTATTTTTGTCGTTCACGATGTTGTTGTTGATATTGTTGTTGTTGATGTTGTTGATGATGTTGTTGTTGTTGATGTTGTTTTTGTTGATGTTGTTGTTGTTGTTGATGTTGTTTTTGTTGATGTTGTTGTTGTTGTTGATGTAGTTGTTGTTGATGTTGTTGTTGATGTTGTTGTTGTTGATGATACTTTTTTCGCCATGCATCTCATTATTAATGATGGTTTTGAAGTGTTTGTTGCTGTCGTTGTTGTTATTGTTGTTGCGTTTTTTGTTGTTGTTTTTCTTTTTACTGAATTTAATCCAAGAAGGCGATTTCATTTTAATGTGCAATTCCTGCCAGACATTAATATCGATGTTGTTATTGTTGATACTATTGTTGTTGTTGACGCTATTGTTGTTGTTGATGTTGTTGTTGCTGATGTTTTCGCTGTTAATGTTGTAGTTGATGTTGTTGTTGCTAGTGTAGTTTGTGCGGTTGTTTAAAATGGTGTTGTTGTTTACGTTGATTTGATTTTTGTTGTTGAATTCGACGTTGGTGATGATGCCTTTGTAGTTGTTGCTGTTATTGTTGACGTTGTTGATGTTGTTGATGTTGTTGTTGATGTTGAGGTGGTTTTTGATGTTAATGTTGTAGTTGCTGTTGTTGTTGTTGTCGATGTTGATGTTGTTGAAGTTGATGTTGTTGAAGTTACTGTTGATGCTGTTGTTGTTGCTGTTGTTATTGATGTTGTTGTTGTTGATGTTGAAATTGTTGTTGAAGATGTTGAAATTGTTGAAATTGTTGTTGTTGTTGATGTTGTTTTTATTACTTTGGGACGTCGTGATACATTCGCTTTTATATCTGTTCGAATGTGCATGTTATAAAAATGAATTAAGATAATTCATACTTTTATTATTGGCGTCCTCATCGCCATCACTAATGTCTTTTTATCGTCATTTTGTGTTTTTCATCGTCATCCTCTTCATCATCATCATCTTCGTCATCATCATCATCATTATCGTAGTCATCTTCTTCGCCATCATCATCTTTTTTATCATCATCATCATCATCATCATCATCATCATCATCATCATCATCATCATCATCATCATCATCATCTTCATCGTCATCATCATCATCATCACCATCATCATCATCATCATCAAATTTCTTAATATCATAACCTTTAAAAATAATGACTCACCTCAGATAATGATGCAGGCCGCTACCACCTTCCTCACCACCACCGTCATCACCATCATTCTTTTTTTCATCATCATCATCATCATCATCCTCTTCTTCCTCATGAACGTTACCATCATCGTCATCACTATTTACGTCATGACTGACGTCATCATCATCATCGTCGTCATCATCATCATCACTAATGAGTCCTGGCAGCCAATCAATGTAAAGCATGTCATCTTCTGTTATAGTTGCGTGCTTTATCATTGGTCGGTAATTAACGCCAGGTTCTGGTAATGATGGCGGGGGAAATGATGATGATGATGATGATAATAATAATAATAACAATAAGAAGAAGAAGAAAAAGAAGAAGAAGTATGACGTCATGATAATGGTTGTATGCAGTTTTGAATGATTAAAAGTTAACTTTCATAAACATCACCGTTATCAAAATGATCATCACAGGCTTCGTATTTTTTTTTTCATACATTTCGTCACGCAACTTCAACGTAAGCCGCTTACATACTTTGCAGCATTTTCGTAATAATAATAATAATAATAATAATAATAATAATAATAATTCAATTTCAATCCAATTCAATGATATGTTTATTATTATTTATAATAATAATAATAATAATAATAATAATAATCATCATCACCATCTGCTGCATCCACACGTCCTGAACATTTTTATGTTCACTAAGAATTGAATATAAAAAGTATTTGAATTTTGAACAGATGGTTTTTGAACCAGGTTGACGAGCAATAAAGGGCATCACGAGATGCGGCGTATCTACCTTCTGAGCTAATGCGCAAAAGTTACAATAACATCTCTTGTCACGTTAATGATGATCGTCATAACAATCATATTCATCGCCATCATCATCAACACCATCATCAAACATCCTCATCTTCATCATCGTCTTCATCATCATCATCGTCGTTGCCTAACCTAGAACTTGAAGGAAGAAATGATTAGTGACGGAGCATGCATCGTTGCTAACCAAACATACGTACTTGCCCGAGTCATCATAATCCACATTCTTTATGACGATGTTGTTGTTGATGATGTTGTTGTAGTTGCTGTTAACGTTGTTGTTGTTGTGGTGAAGATGATTTTGAGAGTGGTTGTTGATACTAGAGATTATAAACATATCTGTCAGTCTGCTCTTCTTCGAGTTAATATAACTATTGTTGTTGTTGATGTTTTTGTTGTTACTGTCAGCATCGTGACGGATATCGTAGATGAGCTTGTTGATGTTATTTTTGTTGTTGTTATTGTTGCGATTTTCACCCAGACTGCTCTTCTTTATGGTACTGTTGCTACTACTGTTAACGTTATTTTTAAAATTCTTGTTGTTGATAGTGCTGTTTTTGCTGTTGTTGATGTTGTTGTTGTTGTTAATGTTGTTGTTGTTGTTGTTGTTGCTGGAAAGCACTTGTGTCCACAATCCAATTCTTTCATCGAACTAATTAAAATTTGAAACAAAAATATTTCCGTACTTACATCCGTTGTTGTACCACGAACGAGACAGACATACTACTACATTCTTGCACTTGTGGCTATGTGCAATCACTACTACCTCACTTGCGGTACTATTTTATTAATGCTACCATTACTACTGTTAATAATATTGCCACAACTACTTCTGTTACTTCTACTTCTACTAATATTACTACTACTACTACCGCCAATACTACATACCAACACTATCACTACTACTACTACTACTACTACTCCTCCTACTACTACTACTACCCCTACTACTACCCCTACTACTACTACCACTATCACTACTACTACCACTACCACTACTACTACCCTTACTACTACCACTACCACTACCACTACTACTAATACTACTACTACTACTACTGCTACAACTATTATTATTACTACTACTACTATAACTACAACAACTACTATTACTATAATACTAATAATACTTTGAGCCAGAAGATCTTGACATTGGGGCTGGCCAGGGCACTGCATGGCAGCACTATGGTTGGGTGTCTCCGTGTTAGCCGGATGTGTTGGGGCTGTGGTCGTCTTATTATCACTGGAACATCTGTCACGATGATGGTGACGGCGATGATGAAGATGATGACGATGATGATGAT